ATATCTAACATCTACAACCATGTTTGCATAAAAAACGGAGAATAGTGAATATTCATTTAAAAAACGGACATCTGTATTTTCAAAGATGAATTTGACTGTCTTCTTAAATCATATTGATATCGCATCCTTAAAAGAATTAATAAACAATATATAAGTTGAATTATGAAAAAAAAATGAACAGAATTTGTTAAAATTTGATTCTTACAATAACAATTAGTGTTTTATGTAAATTCTACAGAGGTCCAAAAAATTCTAAGAATCAGAATGAATGGAAATAGATAAATGTTTCGGTGTAATAAGGCAAGAGTTAAGAAAAAATATTGAAATTATATGTTTTTGGTATATAATGAAGCAATAAAAAGTAATTTGTTATTTTTTTCTCTGATACAGATAGTCTATCAGTGGAAACAATAGTGAATTTTTAATTTATTCCTGTATTAATAAAATATCTGTGTTGAAAGATTAAAAAATGGATGTCAATAATATGGCTGCAGCTTTGATACTCTATAGGCATATAAAGAAAAGAAGAAGAAATAGAACATATTAGGTTCATCCTATAAATTTATACCGTTTCATTTATTTATTACTGTTTTGTTTATTTATTCATTCATTTTACTTACTTTCTTTTCCTTTTACAATAACTTTTAATTTCGACTTTGGTTCAATTTTTTTAGATGTTAATACAATTAGTAACTTCTATATATTAATTAAATCTTGTAGAACAATATATTTTGTATTTATTTACTTTATTTGATTTTTTTTTTTTTTTTTTTTTTTTTTTTTTTTTTTTTTTTTTTTTTTTTTTTTTTTTTTTTGAAATATACACCTCTTTCGTAGGTTTATTGCAGAGGAGAAAAAAAAACCAAATAAAGAAATATATAGATATTTCAATTTGTTGCTACTTTATTCGTTTTAATAAAAATACCCTATTTTTGTTTTGGTCATTGGTGATTCTCTTATCTGTTGATATAAATGAAAAGTAATTAACAAGTATTTTTTATTTTTAATAAAGTATTCACTAAAATATAGTTAACATGAAGAATACTCTTTTTGTAAAACAATCGTGTTAAACTTTTCTCAATTTTAATGCAGTAATAATCTGTTTAATGTAGATATCATATTGAACCATAACTTCACAATATTATAGTCAGAAGGAACGGTCAAAGGCACATGTGGTGAATACCGCCTATGCAGTTGGGGTCTCTCAATCGTTGTTTTAACCAGATTCAGAAAAACTTGAAGTAATAATTAAAAACCTCTTAATGGATCTCATTACATTTGGCACCAAGGGATGGCAGAAATATTGGTATTACTGCAAGAAGAATCCTTTTTCATAGTCCCGAATATAGCCTAAATGAAGTGTTGAATGTTCTGCCTAGGTCCATACCAATACAAACTGTTCACAATTTTTCATGAGAAGTTTATCTAACATCTTAAACCCTTTTAAATCGACCTGCAGCAACAGTGCATCGCCGGCAGCTCCTCAGATTATGGTGCAGCATAGATGACGATACAACTTGAAATGCTGAAATGTTTACAAACAATTTGCGTTTCTTTATTTATAGCGATCTTAGGTGCTCAAGATTCTACTGAGAACAGAGGATGGGTAGACTGCCACAATTTGTGCTTTCTTTAATGCAGTCTAGAGGTGCAATCTACTCAGGAGAACAGACTCAACTTCATATAGTGAAAGGTAATCTCATTGCAGTTTTTTATGTTCAAGAAATTATAGAGGAGTACATTCTTCAAACCAGGGCCATAATTGGCAGAAATTTCTTTCTTTTTTTTTGGCGATAATATACGAACTCAAAGGGGAAGAGTTGTTCATCAATAAAAATGTGGACATTTCACACCTGTCCCTTTCCTTATTGTCTCCACATCTCAATCCCATAGAGTACAAGTGGGATGCACTGCAATGAAGACCTTTTGATCACCATTTACAGGTTCTTAATCTAAAGTAACTGAAAGCAGTATTGCTATGTATATGGGATGAAATCCCTAGTGCAATCAGTGACAATATTATAAACAGTAAGCTTAATAGGTACAGAATGATGCTCAAAAGAAAGAAATGGCGTAACAGAGGATATTACACCGATTATTAAATTTTACAAAATGTTTACAATTCGGTATCATAAATCCAAGATCACATAAACCTTTAATTTTATTATTTTTCAAAAGCATCTCTAATAACATTTCTGGTGGTCAAATATTATTTATATTAATTTTCATTATAATTTATGAAAAAATAAATTATACATTATAGGGAAAATAAATCATACGTAACGAGCAATATTCATCTTATCGCAGTATATATATGTTAGATTTGTCCTGCACTGATAAGAGCAGTGAAAATCTAACCTATGAATTCCACGACAATGCCAGTCGTCCAAACGTTGCTGGGTATCCAGAACACAAGGACGACTGTCGTCTTGCCGTTTATCTGGCAATGAAGATTGTCAATTATCATTAGGACAACATTAGCATGGCAATTCGTGTCGTTTAATTGACAATGACAATTATCGGACTAGTGTGAAAGGTCTCTATTACTCTCTGTCCCGATACTAGCTATCCGGCATCGTTTAAAGGACAGTCGGGTAAGTATGAAACTAAATTGTCGTTTAACCGACAACGACTATGTCGGATAAACGACAGCACGACAATTTTGTGTAGTTTAAACGATAACAACAAAAATCGGATTAGTGTGAAAACTCACTATTATTCTCTGTCCCGAATGCACTGCACACGGCGTCGTTTACCCGGCTGCTGGGTAGGTGTGAAATAAACCTTATAAATTATAATATTGTTATTAATTCTAAAATCAATTGAATATAACTCTAATAATTTTAGGATATTACCAGATTGATTAAGTAAATAAAACCTAAAAATTATTAATATAATAACATTTTTTAAAATATAATACATACTGTTCATTTATTGAAAAGAGAGATGACACTTTCAAATAAAATGAAGAATATTGAAATTCCATCTTCTGCTGTGTTCCATTTGGCCAATATTTGTTTGAAAATTTTTAATATGGAAGAAATATTAAAGCCATCGAATACTGATTTAATTTCCTTTATAATATCCATCAGAGAAGGTTCCTTTTCTTTATCTTGTCGTACAAAAGTTTCTTGTGGCCATTTAGCTGAGGATTTTGGAAACTCTGAAAATTCTTTTTTAGATTTTATGTTTCTCAGACTGGATAGTTGGACTCTAGGAGTTTGTTTACTGGGTCTTAGAGTAGCATTTTTTTCATAGTGTGTGCATTCTTTAGAGATCGCGATGTGTGTACCCTCGCAGTTGGCACATTTCGGAATAAAGTTTTCAATATTTTTTGTTTAGGTGGCATTCATTAGAATGATATTGGCCAGAGCATTTCAGACAAATGGGTTTTTTATAGCAGTTGATAGATAGATGATTATAAGCTTGCCAGTTGGAACATTGAATAACTTATTTTTTTATTAATATATTTTTCCCAAGAGACTATGACATTGCCTGTTGCATTTATTTTTTTAATCATATTTTCTTACTGTTTTTCTTTGAGCATGATAATCCATATTGGTAATCTTACATGTGGATTTTTTCTTTTTTTTTTTTTTTTTTTTTTTTTTTATCATTTGACTTACTTTGTTAACTGGTATTCCTTTCGTAGCAAAGTCATTTTTAATTAAATCACATTCAAAATTAGGGGGAGTTCCTTTCATGACAATTTATGGTTTATTTCACTTTTTGGGGTATAAGAATGAAATTCATGTCCTTTTTCTAATAATTGTGATTGGACCTTCTTAAAATCTTTGATATTATAAGTTATCAAAATTTTATTTTCATTTATTGATTTTAACAACTGTTCATAATTATCAAATGTTATGGACAATTATTGGTTGGAACGACTTTATTTGTACACTATTTATTTATTCTTCTAACGATTCTTGATAATCTTTGTCATCGGATAATTGTAAAAAACTTACTTACAGGGAAGTTGGATTGATGCATTTTGGTTTTCTTTTTTTTTTATGAAGCCGTTTTGTCCATATTAGGCTGAATTTGGAGCCCTGAGATTCCAGCACATTGTTGTGAACACGTATTTACACTAATTGTTAACAAAAAAAAATACATTAATAACAAAATAACTAAAATAGATTATAGGTGTGCAATCAAAATTCTGAACGATCCAAGGGTCGAGCAGACACTGATCCAACATAATGCCATTGGTACCTAATCCTGTGTTGGTGGAAGACAAGGATTATGAGAGGAAAATTGTAAGTAGCAGTGCTCCATCATCAAGATTGTATTTTCACTACATTTTTATTTGAAAAATGTATAAAATGTTTCATTACTGCTTACTTGAAGAAATTGAATAAATTTCAAAATCAATCGAATTGTCAAATTTCTTTCTCATATTTTTGCTTTCAACACTTCATGATTTGTTTTCAAATTCACTTTATTATAACGAATTGGATGGAAGAAAAAAATTTACATCCCAAATTCAAAGTTGACATTCCACAACAGCAATTCAATTCATATACAGATTTTTAACCCTCTAACTCAATTTTCAGGAGCAGTAAAAGTGGGGAAAACCTAAAAACTGCAAATAAATACCAGGGATAAGAGAAAAAAGTTGAGACTCCCAAAATCCACTTCTCCAGTTTCATTTGAATAAAAATTATACTGAAGAAGATGAATAATTTTAATTTTAAAAATTTATAAATTTTAAACACATATTTCAGGAATAAAAATTATCTTAGCAAACCTGCCAGGATCAATTTTAATTTAAACGAAAATGAAAATCTTTTTAATTATATTATTAAAAATCCCAAATTAAAACATCTCTCCTGATGACCTCCAATACTGTGATTTTTTTTTGTTTTATTTATAAGAGCTTTTAATTATTTATGAATTCATTTAATTAATGTCAAAAATATAAATTAAAAAAATGCAGTCAATGATATTGATTAAATTAAAACTAAATATTTTGTTTTAATAAAGATTAAAAATACAACCATGTCAATAACAGGAAGTGCAATCTCACTCAAATTTCCTGATTTAAGTAAGCCTGACATATCCATTAGTGCTCTGAATTCCTTTTCCCATTCTACAAGCTTATGTTCATAATCCAAGGCAGTCATTCCATTTGTAGAAGAAGTTAAACTGGTGGTAGCTAAAAAGTTTAATTCAATTACAACTCTTTTGAAACTAGAAAATGTATATAATATATGTATTAAATTTAGTCATTTTAATAGCATTATTTCAGAATCCTCCATTATAGATAGATGAAGTACAAATACAAGACCATTAGATGTGACAGACCTTGTGCCATTACATTTATGGTAAGTATAACAAGTAGAGAATTTGTTTATAACTAAAGAAAAAAACACACTTATGTAAACTTATTTTTAACGTATGTTGGCGTTTCAGTATGTAGGCCTTTGTCAGAGTTAAGTAAACCAAGATAATAACCAATGAGGTAGGATTAAAAAAAAAAATATATATATATATATATATATATATATCAAGAAAATATGAAGATTATAAGCAGTGTAAATATAATTACAATTAAGTTGTGAGTTTAAAATTTATTATTTAAAATATGTTTAAGTTAAAAAAACATATTGATGAGTTTTATTTGTTTTCTTGTTTTTGTTCTTTGTACCACAAACCCAACTAGCTTTTTCTACAATTACAGTAGTTCTACACAACAATATCTCCACAATTATAAGTATAGTAATTATTTAAGTTTTCTCCATAAAAGCTTAAGGTAAGATTGATAAAATATAGTTTGTTTCATGGTTCCAGAAATTTGAATCAGGCAAACATCCTAATTCTTTAACTAATCTAATTTTTACAGAATGCAAGGAAATTAAGAAAAAATAAATAAAAGTTTATAAAGATACTAACTAAGCCCTGCATCCACAGGGACATTACATGTCCAAGTGTAAAAAAAAAATGATTTGACAGAAAGTGTTTTCAATTTAATGGCCAAATTTTTTTATGAATATGGTATGTTCTAAACTATTCAAAGAAGACTATCTATAATCTTATAAATGTTATGATATGATAAGTAACCTCTTGTTTTGGAATTTTGAATGTTCATACCTTATTCAGAACTAGCACTCTGTAAAAATTTAAGGACAAGTTATAACACAGATAGACCACAATCTTATCTCCAGTAGGCACTTCAACAGTGAGCATGATACATAGACCTACCAAGGTCCTGATGTAGATTCAGATCATTACCTAGTGGTTACCAAGTTGGCATGCCAGATACATTAGGCACCCAGAGGAAGTTATGACCAGGAGCACTGGTGCGACAGAGAGAAGATAAATAAAGCGGAGGTAAAAATTATTTTCCTAAACTGCACTCGGAGAGGGATACAGACAATACCAGTAAGTGGATACGTTAGAAACATGCAAAAACAGAGGGACATACTTAGGCAAATAATAGAGAAAGCTGCTGATGAATGATGCAGGAAAGATAGAAGAGATACTCATGCTTCCTGGTATGATCAAAAGTGTGAGGCAATGATAAAAATCTGGAATATTAAGAGAACAAAATATCTGTATAGAGGCACTAGTCAAAATTGCAGAGTACCAAGACGTAAGGACTCATGCTAAGAAAGTGCTGAAACAGAAAAAAAGAAAAGACTTTCAGGGAAAACTTAAAACATTGAACAAGCAAGGCTTAGGAATGAAACAAGGAATTTTGTTCAGGATGTAAATCCTACCAAAATTAGTTCTGCTGTCAGGAGTCAGGTATGCTGAGAGATAAGAATGGTAAGATGTTTATTGTGTACGAGTTGCAAGAAAGATGGAAAGAGCATTTTCAAGAGATATTCAACCCCATCGCCCACTCAACCAACAGAAGTATGCAGCCAACAGCAGAAGATGATGTTTATGAAATCATACCACCTATTCTGACGACATCGTATATATCTCAGAAAAATTAAGAAACCAATAAGTCACCAGGATCAGACAGGGTTCCAGGACAATTTCTTAAACATGGTGGGGGGATTGCCTCTGAGATGATAGCTAAATTAGTAGCAAACATTTGGAAAACAGAAAAGCTGCCAGAAGAATAGTAAGAGTCACTCATTGTCCCAATTTATAAGAAGAAAGGAGATGCAAGTGATTGCAGAAATTATAGAGGTATCAATTTACTTAACTCTACTTCTAAGGTCTTCTCTATTAGTTTGTACAATCGTGTTGTGTCAGGTGTACAGCCAGCTTGGAGATTATCAAGGTGGTTTCAGGAAAATTCAATATACAATTGATAATATTTTTGCCCTTAGATAGATAATGAAAAAATGAGAGAGTATAATACTCTCTCATGGGGATATCATAAACTCAGTATGGATGCTTTTCATTGATTTTAGGGTGGCAGTGGTATACGACACAGTGATTATAGAGGAGCTTTGTTATGCAATGCAAGATTTGGGTATACTAGCAAAGTTGGCCCTGGCGTGGCGGCCCCCATCGCCCGGTCAAAGTACCACAGATAGCCACTGGCCCTCAAGGTTGGGGGAACAGTACACTGACACGCACACAGTGCACAGATTACAGTACACAACACTCACTCCCCACATTATAGACTAAGATCAATAACAGTACACACTTTAGGGTCACCTCCCCTAGGTAGCAGCCCCGGACAGGGGAGTACATCAGGATGCAGGAGGCACTCCCTCCACCTGATTCAGGGGCAGAGTATGGGTTGATATCCTTCTCCCCTTAAACCACTCTTTTCCCAAAAATCTCAAAGAGAAAACACTGGATTGATAAATGGTAAAAGACACAGGAACCGTCTTAAGGACGTAATAATTGGAAAATGGAACATTTTACTTAATAGACCCTTACTAGACAACTCTTAATAGACCCGGAGGAATTCAAGCCGCTCTTAAGCAAATTGAAAGTTACAGGATTGACCTCACTGCGATCCAAGAAATTTGTTAGACTGGAACAGGAATTTTGGAGAAATGGTATCACACAGTTTATTACAGCTGCCATAGAAAAAACTCGATGCTCGGCACCGGGTTTATTGTAGGAGGAGGAATTAGAGATCAAGTCATAGATTATGCTGCCATAAGTCCAAGGCTCTGTAGACTAAGGCTCAAGGGACTCTTCTATAATATCAGCCTGATTAATTGTCACGCTCCCACAGAAGAATCTCCTGAGGAGGAAAAGGAAGATTACTACGATGCAGTGAAGAGAGAGCTTGACAGGTGCCCTCGAAGTGATGCAAAAATCATGCTAGGGAACTTTAATGCCAAGGATGGCCAGGAAGAAATATATCGCCCTACGATTAGGAAATGGAGCCTCCATGAAGAAAGCAACGAGAATGGAAAGAGGTTAATAAATTTTGGTTTCTTGAGGGATTTGGTTATTGGGAGTAATTTATTCTCTGGTAAAAGGATCCACAAAAACCCTTGGTAGTCTCCAGAAGATAAAACATTCAGCCAAATTGACCACCTACTCATATCGTCTCGCCACAAATCCAACCTCATTAGCAGCAGAACCTTTCGTGGCGCTAACATGGATTCGGACCATTACTTGGTAATATCCAGAGTACGAGCTAGAATCTCCAATAGCCACAGTGTAAGGAGGAAGGCAAGTAAAAAAACCAACGCAAGAAAGTTGAAGGATCCTGAAACTTGCCAAAGATATGAAGAACAGTACAGCCATGTGATGGACATATGGAGTCATGAAAGAAATGGGCAATGATATTGAATTAGAAGATGAATGGAGGATTCTGAAAGAAGCTGTAATGAAGGCTGCAGAAGAAGAGTTGGGAAAGGAATCGAGAAACGTTTCGAGAGATGTGTGGTTTGATTCAGAATGTCAGGCAAAAAACCGAGCTTACAAATCGATGGTGCACAGGAGATACACCCGGTGCGTCACTTTGAAACTCTACTAAATGATATAACAGTGGAAGATGCAGAAGAAGTTGCCAGACGCAAAAATCGAAATGGGAACTCAGAGGAAGAGAATGAACCCCCTCCGGATTTTGAAGAAGTTATGGAAGTGATCCACAGAATGATAAATAACAAAAGCCTGGATTTGGATGGCTTTACAGTAGAGCTCCTTAAATACGGAGATGAAAACTTCCATAAGGATCTTCATAATTTTATGGTCCAAATTTGACTTGATGATAAGATGCCAACGGAGTGGAAAAAGGGAATAATTTGCTTAATCTACAAAAAGGGTGATAGACCTGATTGCCAAAATTATAGAGGAACATCGCTGTTACCAACAGCATACAAAATTCTTTCTGGAATTCTTCCGGAGGATTGAAAATAATATGAAAACCTACCATCTTTTCATAGATTTCAAGAATGGGTGCTTTAGCACCAACTGCTCCAAAATTTTCAGGGCACTTGAAGAATTTGGCATTCCCAGAAAGCTTATCTGCCTTGTTTAGATGATGATGCATGATGTGAGAAATGTCATCAGAATACAAGGAGACTACTCGAGCGAGTTTCAGGCCAATTAGGGGTTACGACAGGGGGGTGGTTTGGCATGTCTGCTATTCTATGTTGGCTTGAAAAGGCAGTAAGTCATTCAGATGTTCAGACAAGAGGAACTATTGCAAACAGAAGTGTCCAGATCTTGGCCTTTGCTGACGACATTGACATAGTTGCAAGATCAAAATCTGAGCTAACGCTTTTCTGATAATCCAACAGGTCTGATAATCCAACAATCCAGCCTCGCAGTTGGGCCTTGAAATAAATGTGGTCATAACCAAACATATGGTGGTAAAGGCTGATGGAGTTCAGTGTTCAGTGTTTCTAAGGGAAACACTATTTTTCCAATTTTAATAATCAATTATTTTGTCTTTTTACTACAGGAATTCAGGACTATTTCAGCAAATAGCTCATTTCCAAAATTAAAATGTATAAAAATATTCAGGAGGCAGTCATTATAAAATTTTTATTAGTGTCATCAGGACATGTTTATTCAAGGTATTCAAGTACTGACTGACTTGAATACCTTCAGTGCTCAAAACACGCTCAGATGACGACCCACATGTTTGGATTGAAACATCGGCACTAATAAAAGCTTTATAATGACTGTGTCTTGAATATTTATCACCCATAATATGTAGAACAGTCGACAAACTTCCTCCAATAAAATGTTATAACACTTAATTACAAGCAATTATAACACTTTGATTAAAAGTTTGTTTATTTGTAGGACTTTAAGACATAAAACCCCTCATGGCCTTGGCATATGCTTATAAGTTATAAACACTGAATAAAAAAATTCTTCAATAGAAATCTTCATTTTTGCTAGATTTTTTTTTAATTTAAAACAATTATATTAAGTGGCTTTTATACCATACAATTAATACAAATTACATACATCCTTCTTTCTTGTCAGTTTCCAAATTTTTTGTTTCAGAGTTAACTTGACTAATATTGCTGCTCACATGGAAAATTGGGCTCACATTAGACTTAAAATCAATGATATTAAGATCAGTAGATTCTTTCTTATTCATCATGTTATTGTAAAACTTAAAATCCTTTAATTTTTCTTCAATAACTACAACATGGTTAAATTATAAAAAATGATTTATATTAAAAATAAAAGTTTAAAAGGATACATTTTCTTCCTTAAAATTGAATAACCATAAAAATTTACTTAACCTTTTGGAAAAAAGTATGAATTTAGATCAGAAATGAAGTAGAACATTTAGCAAGTTCTTAGACTTAGTGCTATAATCATTGATAGGTATCTAAAATACATCAATGAAAAATTAGAAACCTACCCTTTATTACAATATAAGTTGCAGATGAAATACCTAAGTAGGGTTCTATTCTAAGTAAGACAAAAATAAATGGTTGTGAAGGTAAGAGATCTCCAGTAAAATCAAGAAAACAAGCCCTGAAAAGGAAGTAATCCAATGCTATTTGTCATGGTTAGTCAATAAGGAGCAGAAAAGTTCAGTGTTCAAGAAAAGGGACACTTGTTCAGAAAAGGGACACTCTTAAAAGAAATTGAGACAGACTTCCTCCTGATGGAGACAGGGTTTTTATGTGATTCCTTATTTACTTTGCCTATTTTTTTTTAATATATATTTCTTAACCAAATATCAATGGTGTACATATGAATATTTTAAAATTGAAGAAAACCGATTTTTTTATTTAAGATTTTTGAACTTTATTTATTAACTAAAATATAATTTACTACTGTGGATTATGCACATTTCGTATATATGGTGATAACTTTCTTTATCTCTTTCTTGATAAATCAATTTCTATGGTTTGATGGATGAAGCTTTTGGAATATAAAATTAATTAGAATAAATTAATAAACAGACTAATTTCAAATGTCTCTGAATAAAAGAATAAATTTTCCTTTGTATATAAGAATAAATTATAATGTATTTAAATTATAATTACTTCTAATTATTATAAATATTCTTTAAAATAACTTTTTTCATAATGTTTATAATTATTTGACTTTTTACTACTTCTGCCTTAATAAAATCGTTGAAAACTATACGAGGTGCAGGCTTGGCCTGGTGAGCTAGTCGGCGATAGCTAGTGGGCTTCCGGACAGAGAACCAAGTCATTTTTTAATATTATGCTAGTAACATAGCATGATGGGTTCCAAAAATAATTTGATTGTATTTTTCTTTTCATCGTAGACTTAAACTTAAACTGCAAATTGCACCGTCAAAAATTTTGTGGCGGTTTTAAATTTTTGAGAGTGACACATTTCGATATTGTTACGATTTCGATATTATGATATTGTTACGATTTTTTTAAATGAAAAATTTAAACCAGAGGACAAGGAGAAACATGAAATATACCGCAAATCCATATTTGTATATGATGATATAATACTTCATTGCATATGATCTACAACTTTTTAAATTCTATTTCCGCTTGTACTGTTTTTAAGAAGAGTACATCGACCTTCGGATTCGCAACCCTGTCTCCGATTATAACAGCATAACATCTAGTGACTTGGTATGCTTGGTCTCAAATTGTCTTGTATTTGTTTCTCACTGCAGAATTACTGGCGTCCCTCCAATGACCTCTAAGATCGTTGTTTTTATTTTTCTAGTATGTTGGTATGTTTGGTCTCAAAAATAATTGTCTTAAATGTTTTTCCGCAAATGTTCGGGCCTCTCCGGTGGAGCCTTTGTGTACAGTTGGAAAATGTCACTTCAAGATACAGCAAAAGCAGGTGAGCTGCTGGAAGAATTCTCGATGGACTAGGGTAAATGAACTTCATTGATCTACTACTGCCAAATTCTATGTTACTCAAAGATAAGTAAGGAAATAATAAATGAATTAATAGAGGTAAAAATCCAAGATAAATTATAAAGAAGACGGGATCAAGGAGCATGGGAGGAGGGCTGTAGAACACATAAGATTGTTATGATACATATTCCTCCTTGTTTTCTAGCCAATTTGATGGAATCAGAGACAGAAGATACCGAAAAAGAACTAAGGATATGTTTTTATATATGGCTATATGGGGTTATTTCAAGCCAGGGGAGGAGACGGAGGATGAATACCAGAATTAAAAGTCCCCTGACTTCGGAACGCGAACTCGTAATTATTTTATCATGTAAATCTTTATTTAATGTAAATGATTTATCAGGTTGCCGGCACCCCGCCCGCTATAGCCCTGGAGCCAGGACAGTGATTGACCTGATTGCACACGAAGGTATGCATGTAAGTTACGAAAATGTATGTTAGTCTAAGTAAAATGAACCTAGTCTGCTATTCCAGAGCCGCTGCCATCAAAAATGGTGTCTGCTTAAAGAATATTAAGGCAGTAATTTGAGGATCGAATCGGAAATATATTTCGAAAAAATGTGGGAAAAGTTGTTATTTTTTTTTAGCTTGTGTATATAGGTTCAAAAATAAATCGCTAATGCCAGCAACCAAGGAAAATTATTATTTTCATAAAAAGCGCCCTCAACAACATTAAAGTCGACCCTAATATCAATTAAATCCCAAAAGTGAGGAAAATGTGAGGAGCAATCTGAAATCCTACAGTATTTTCATAAATAGCCCCCCGACAACATTATTATTGGGGACCCAAATATCGATTAAATGCGAAAAGGTTAATAAAACATGATTCGCAATGGAGCAATCTCAAATCCGACATAATATGACAACTTTTTTTTATTTGTATTTATCTATTAGTTTTTAGTTGTAGCTAGAGATAAAGCTTATTAGATATTAACAATTAGGATAGTTAATAATTAGTTATAGCTAAAAATTAGCGGCCTGTTTCCGCTAATAGCTAATTTAGCTACAGAATTATCTTCATGCTAATAGATAATTAGTTGTTAGCTATATATAATTTTTGTCCACCTTTGGTAGGTAGTTAGGATGTGTCTTCTTCTTCCAAAGTAATAATCGTTATATATACAAAAACAAATGTAAAAAAAAAAAACTTCATAAGTTATTTGTTGATCCTTTCAGGGTCAGGTCTCTCATTGGATGTCTCGGTGGTTGTGTACAAGAATTTCCGCAAAAAGAAAATAAAAAAGAATTTGTGTACTTCACTGATTGCAGCAATCTCTGACCAACTCCTACTCTAAGTATCAACAGTCAACCGTTTCTCTACCTTTGATATATATATATATATATATATATATATATATATATATAAAATAATAATAATTTCACAATAATAATAATAATGAAAATAATAATAATTTCACTAGCTTCAGCAGACTGAAATAGATAAATCTTTGTCTGTTAGCTGGCTGGTAGGAGGAAGTCTGTTCTCCGAGACTGAAGGTTTTTTAACTGCAATCCAGGACCAGGTTATAGCTACCAGATCCTACTTGCGACACGTCTTGAAGCAACAGAATGTATCGAACACATAACTGGAGGCTGCGGAGCTCTTGCGGGTACAGAATACCTAAAAAGAAATGACGATGTTGCCAAAGTCTATCACCAGGCGATTGGTCTAAAAAGTAAATTATTAAACGATTCGGTGCTCTACTATAAATACTGCCCTCAAGGTATCTGCCAGAAAGATGGCTTAAAATTCTATTTGAATCAATCGTTCATAACAGACCATCTCGTGATCCACAACAGAACTGATATTATGTTAACTGACGGCAATATTAAAGTGGCTGAAATTATAGATATTGCTGTGCCAAATGACGGAAACATTAACTCAGTCTGTGCAGAAAAAATTCGAAAATATCAAGGTCTAGCAGCTGAGTTAAAAATTTTGTATAAACTTAATAAAGTAACCGTTACGGGCATTCTGATCTCCAGCAATGGCCTGATACCGGCGTCTACTGTGGAAGCTACTAACAGGCTGGGCCTCCCAACTCATGTAATAAAGGCAGCTCAGAAAGCGGTGCTGCTGAATACTGCCAGGATTGTAATAAGCTTTCTCAACATTCAATAGAAATTAAAATTGAACATACCTGAGGTGGTTGGAGTTGATTCTCTCCCTCTCAAGTAAACAAAAAAACCTTTTGTAAAAGTGTTGACAAATAAAATAATAATAATGAAGAGAAGAATAGTTTGGGTGATCAGTGAAATAAGAAGGCGAAAATAAATGATAATATTTTTTTTGACATTTGCCGACGTTTCGACCTGAAGTTCAGGCCTTCATCAGGACTAAGAAAAGAACCAGATAACAAGGTATGAGAAACATAAGTAGTGTAGGTAAAAAATTAAAGTAAAATGAAGTTGGTAGAATAATGACAATAGTAAGAACTAAGAGATAAATAATAATAACCGTTACAAAGTGTGGAATGATGAAGTAAACATAATCAAAAAAGGTGACATAAGTATTAAAATGGGAATCTTAGAATAAACTATTAAGAATAAACTATCTTAGAATAAATTATAAAATTAGAATAAATATAAATAAAGAATAAATTACCTTAGAATAAACTGTCCCAACTATTCTTCTCTTCATAATTCACGACAGTCAACCATTCACCCACAATTAATAATAATGATAATTTATTTAAAAGGAAATTTGATAATAAAAATTGTCTTACCTAATAAATCATAATCTGTTTTATGATCAAGGTACTTTACTGCTTTAAAATAAAAATGGAATGTAATAACACTCCCTGAGAGATTCAGCAAAACTGATAAAACAAAAATAAATTGATAATTTATAATTTTTAAATACATTAAAAAACAAAAAAAAGAAGTATACGTTACTTATCATGACCCGAACTTGTTCCTTTTCTTGTAATTCAGAAAACCAAGACAAGCTATTAGTCTTAGCTTCAGCTAATGGAATATCGGCTAAACACCGATTGTTGTCTAAAGGAGTCATGTCATATTTTGAAAATGTATATCTATAATAAATAATAAAATAATTTACGATTTTTTATTATATCCATTAAAAATATATATACACTGTTTTTTTTAGAATTTATCGTTTTATAATAATGCCAGACAAATAATTTAACCATTTTAAACAACTTTAATTTATTTCTTCTCAAAAAATTAGGTAACGTTTCGGACTAATTTATCCATCTTCAAGTTTGTCTAAATTTGATGCTCCTTTTTTCTTTATATTAAACACGAGTCATGATTCAAACGAAATGTATTATGACAATCAAATGGTTTTGACATGGATCTGTAAGATCCTGGAGCACATGATTGCAACCAGCCTTAGAGGGGTCCTAAACGCGGCTAGTCATCGACAGCAATTCGGCTCGACCCATGGTACCACTGATGCACTGCTAAGAGTGCGTAAGGACATAGAAGAGGGGGCGGAGAAGTAAATACTATTCATAATGTTCGACATATCCTCCGCTTTCGACAGCGTTTGGTGACTCTGCGCACACTGGCGGCTTCAAAAATTCAGCACCTCCAGAAACTTGTACTTCATCGTAAGTGGCTACTTTAGTGAAAGGAAAGTAAAAATTAGAGGTAGCTTCTATGAGGTCGAAAGAAATATTGAGAGAGGCTGTCCGATTTTGTTAATATTTTATACAGTGCCCCTCAAGTAGAGGGAATTTTTTATAAAAGTGATACTAGAACTCAAGAGCAACGAAAAAGTTCATATGGGCTAATTTTCAGCAGAAAAGGCAGTACAAAAACGTAAAGTAAGAAATGCAAGTTTTGTATTTTTATAAGTGTCACCCTTTTTGTTGAACCGGTAGCGATAATTAAATAAATGTTTAATTTAAGTAATTAATAATGGTTTCACTGTAAATTAGACAAAATTTCCTTCCCATTATATTATAGTTTGGCATTATTAAAACCAATTAAACAGGACTTTTGAGCAGCCAAACTAATTGTAAGCCAAGTTCAGTTTTTTTTTAAATCATAAATTATTCGCGATCATCAAATTATACCTTAGATATCCCACTTTTAGAAAAACTTTCTCGTTTAATAAGCTTTAAGTCCATATTAATTGAGTTTATCAGGCCAACAACTTGAGATTCGCCTCAAATTGTGTAGAAAAATTATGTTACTTTTTTTTTTTTTTTTATGTCACCTTTTTTTTTTTTTTGTTCTTCCCTACCTCGCCTTTTAGGCTATACGGGATTTTCCCGGGCCGGGGGGTGAGGGCGGGGAAATTTAAAATCCCCTCCGGCACCGATACGCGAACTCGTACTTTTTATATCATCTCAAATCTCTGTTATCCGGTTGCCAGGCAACTAGCGGTGCTGTTACACACGCTTTAGCCTATTCAGGCGTTTGGCCTATATAAGCTCGTTATTTAGACATATTGGGGGTGTATGTCGCTCCAAAAGGCTTAATATACACTGACAGGCAAAACAATAGACCAATCCAAAGCAGAAATATTTTTAGATAAAAACATGGAAAAATCAAGTGGGTGGAATTTTTTGCCTGTCAGTGTATTTGAAAGTCACCTTTTTTCTCGATTTTCTGCTCAAATTATCCTACGATTCAAATGGAAATCAAATGGGTATTTACGAGTTTTTAGTACCTTATTGAATAGACAATAGTTTGCCGATCTCTAGATTGAAAACGCCCCAATTCCAAGAATTTTCGTAAATAAAATACTTGCAGGTTACGATGAGATGAAGCTATTTTCGATGTTTCAGGTGGATGTCAATAATTTCATAACAAAGTGACTGTACCACGGACTACAAATCCAAGGTCATATGTACCTTCTATGATGCTTTTCAGTATAAGACCATTTGAAGAGATGATTATTGGGATTATTTTTACTTTTTACAAATGGTGCAACGTTTTTAACTTAAAGGCAAGTTCTTGATATTTACGATTTTTTCCAGCTCTAGTGGCTACTACGTTGGAACCACAAGGTATATCTATTATTGTTCCAGTTTTATTTGTTTTGTTTTATAATCAAAATATTAGGGCGGTTATACAGTACCCTATGGTCCGTTGTTATGTTTTCATCCCAATAATCTTTTATATATATATATATATATATATATATTCTTCAAGTTTTTCTGGGATTAACGGTAATAATAATAATAATCTTTTAATATAATAATAATTACAATAATAATAAGACATCTCATCACCGCCCGGCAGTCCAAGTGTTCTGCATATACTTTGATAGTATATTTTGCAAAAATATTGAGCCTTATCAGATATTTCGTATCAGCCAAAGTATCGCAGCCATTGGTTACATGCTGTATAGATTCATGGGTCTTTGAGTAAATGCGACATTTATCCGTAATCAAGTTTTCTTTTAGTATATATTTTCTGTAAGGTCTGATTAGGATAACTTGATCTTGAATAGCTAAATAAAAACCCTCGGTATCGCCATATGTTTGTTTATTGAGATTTATTTATTTACATTTAACCAGTCTATTGAGAAATCAGTGTCCATCTCTGGCTCATGTAAATGGCGATGAAATATGCCATACGATGCCTTCTCCTTCCATATGGTTTTGTAATAGTCGACATTTCTCTCTTCCGGTTGAATCGGATCGCCAAAATTCAGGTCAGTGTAACTTTCATCAAATTCTTTCATCCAGGCGATGACTGGTGACGCATTTGTCATAATGTATTCCTTCAGAGAGTTTTCTTGTTTTCGGCAAATCCTCAATCGAAATAAGGCCAAGGTCTCATTCTTTCCTTAGCAACTAGAGTCTTTCCATGAATGATTATTATTATTATGTTGATTTCAGGAAAGTCTCTTATCGAATTTTCACTCTGAAACATATGGCTTCTTCTGTGCGTTTGAGTTCTTCATTATTATAGTTCAAATTTATTTCGGGTGATTTGGTGGAGAGAGTAAAAAGCTGGCATTCTGTCTTTTTGGAATTAACGATCATCTATTTGTTATCGGCCCACTTCTTTAGTAATTTCAGTACCTGTTACCTGTGTTTTTCTAGTCCTTTGAAGTAACTACTTGTTGCCCAAATAACGAGGTCATCTGCTTACTAAAGAACCTTTGTATCTGGAATTGATTCGGTGAGTTCCGTTATATCATCAATCATAATGTTAAACAGAAAGGGACTCAACACTGAACCTTGCGGGAGGCCTTGTTTTGTTTGGCGATATGAGCTGGAGTATATTCAAAGGAATTTCAACTTGCCATCCAGGTCGGAAGGGTACCCACTTTGAAGGGGAAATGAGAGCCATTCTCTTTGCTCTTGAGAGAATGATTGAACGGCGAAACAAGAAAGTCGCTTCCTTTGTTGAATCGCAGGCAGCCATTTCATCTCTCCAAAATGGAAATAATATGAATCCAAATGACGAGGCTGACAGACTGACAAAAAAAAAAACATAAGGGCAAGTAAAGTAAGCCACGTTTATTAAAAATATAATTAAATAATAAAATAATTTATAAAAATATATAAATAATTGTTAAAGGAAGAAAATGAGATAACAAAACTTTCAATAGTATAGAATCTATTATTTTATGAGGTATCGTCAAAAACTGAGAAAGTGGCTGACAAATTGAACTGAAGGGACCTTGACAGTATGAAATAGGTAAACATCTATCAATGTCTAATACGAAGCATTAACTACCAATCTTATATATGAAATAACTTACTGGGTTTTGGCATAAATAAAATCTTTGGAAATCGGACCCAATATGTCAACTAATAAATTCGTATTTCTTTTTAGTACAACACTGAACATATTTAATAATTTAAGAACATAGCTCAATTTTTCTTTATGAGAAATCCGTATAAACCAACTCTGCAATGATGCAAAATTTGAATTGAATTCTCTTTGAGAAATTTCTTGATCTTCAGAAACTGAAATAAAATTATATCAGTGAAAAAATAAATTTCGAGTTAATGATAATGTAGATGTTTTCTAATAGTTTAACTAGGTGAATGTATAAATTACCAAACAGCTTAACACTTTTTTTTTTTTAAACTACCGAATTAAACAAATAATTCAACCTTCCAAGCGATTTTCGTAAAAATAAGTTTCGCTACATTTCTAATAAATTATAAAATATATTCCGTTTTAATGTATTTTTATTATTTTTTTAATTGAAAAAAGGGATGAAATCGCCAGTAACCTACTTAGTTTTTGAGAGATTGGAATCTTTCAAGAAAAGTCTTTTTCAATAATCAGTCAAGGGTTGTTGAGAATCAAGTTGTTAGCTGTATTTTTAAACAGTAACTTTAAATGAACATTGCTTAATATAATATTATGTGCATCTAAACTATATTCTTAAAAGAAAAATATTTAATTTGTCGACCTTATTTTCAATATTTTGTTGAAGAATATACTATATAAATTTTAACGCTGCCTATCTTAGGTTTTGGCGAAAATGAGTAAGAAGGTATCTAACTTAATTTGTTATTTCTCGCCCAATCGACTGAAACTCTTTCCAACAAGCTATATACCACAGAAATACAGCTATACAAATAGAGTTATATATCCCAGCAGGAAAATGAAACCAAAAAAAAAAACCACACCTTACCATTATATCTCTATAACGTTGATAGCACAATTTAATCCAAGAACGCTCTTAAGTCAATTGACTTACGAGTAATTGTCCTGGATTCTGGCCGTGTTCTTCCTTAGGTAAATATATATTGAACATAGAAAATCTTAATAAAAACTGTTATGATGGTGTATCTATTAATTAGTAAACGTGAATTATATTCCACTCAGAGAAAATGGCCGAACTATTGGGGCCAAGTATTGGGTACCTAGAACCTAAGATATTGTTGACCTGGTTGTTTTCGTCTACAACTCCAAGAACAAACTACAACTGCTGCCAGTTTTATCCAGGGTTGTCCATTTCCCCAAACAGCCCTGGACCAGGGTCTAAATAGAGTACTCATCGCAGAAGATGTGGATGTAGATCACGAAAGTGGATGTTATTATAAATAAAATGAACCTTGTCTGCCATTCCAGGCCACAGCATACAAAAAAACCGGCTGATTTAAAGAATATTAGGCCACTAACCTGAGGATCCAAACGGGAAATTTATTTATTACAAATGTGGAACAAGTTTTTATTTTTAAACATATTTGTTTCCAAAATTATAACAAATGGCTTTGCGGCTTGAAAATAAGTTCTTTAAGAAACAAAAGCTCATAGAATAAATTTTTTATAGGATTAAATTTTGTGTCCTTTGTCCTTTATGTACCAACATTTTTAATCAGGATCGATTCCACCCCTCGAAATTGATTATCTCCCTATTAATTAGCAATTGATTATAAAACAGATGCATTTTTTTTTCATGCTTTCTGAGGAAATTTAATAGAATTTCATAATAATTTGAAGAACTAAATTACTTTCTTATATTTTGTCGTCGAAATAACGGGAGGGAGATCTAAAATCCCAAAATTTTAGGGTTTTAGTCGCTTCTGTAACACCAAGTTAATGGACATAAAAATGTGCAACTCTATAATTTGATTTGAAGGAGCTTTAGCTGTGTAAAAAACGGAAAAAAATTGACTAGATTTGGCAAAAAATCTTGATGTCTCAAAAAGGCATTTCTCTAACTATAACGCAATTTACACACAAAACCACTAACTTTATTTGGAGTGGCTGTAAAGGTGCGAAAAATATTTCCTAATTTTTATGGTATTGTTCTGACATGAACCCTAAATACCGAATTACAACTCATTTGACCAAAAGGATGATGAAATTCATGGCATCCCTAGAGGTACCAAAATGCTAACCCTGAACGTTTTATTTAGTTGAATAATTGTGTCTACAATATGCTTTTAAGACGTTTGAGGTTGACGTTTTCTATAAATTACATAAAGAATGTCATTATTAACGAAATTAGGCCTTCCTGTTTTCGGCGAAGAATTTTCATATATTTTCAGTCCACTAATTAACTATGGTTTGCAGTAAGGGCATTTTAACATTTATTTTTAATCAGTTCGGGATCACTAGAATCTTGTCTTTTCTGTTATCTCGGAGCTACAACATTTTCCCTTGCAAATTTTCAAGTAAGGTTTTATAGAACTTTTATTTTTAAAACACTTGTTTCACTTTTATATAACAATTCTGTTAATTTCGCCAAAAAGTTGATCTAAAAATGCCTTTTATTCTTAGCTACACAGAGACACGAGACATATCGAATAAAGTAATTAATTTAAAATAAATTATAACTATAATATAAATCCAATTACTGTTTATTTCTCATTTAACGTAACTTTTTTCAAGAATTTAAATAAATAAAAGTTATATTCTCACCATAAACATTGATCATTATTACAAAAAATAACATTTATCTTAAAAACTTTTTTAAAACGTTTTACAGGAACTATTAATATGAAACTTTTTTAAAAAAGTGCCATAAAAGTTTCAACCCACAGTATGCATTGTTACAATTTTTTTTTTTTTTTTTTTGAAATTCTTTTATTCGTCCAGAGTAGCTTGATCAGTTCCTTTCCTCAACAGCCTTTTCTGTGAAACACTTCTTCACTTTTTGATTTTCCTTAATACATATTACTTTATATATACCTATTTCTAATACCTCTTATCAACCTTGATTCCCTCTAACTGAGACTTGTGTGTTCGGATTTATTTTTCCTCTCAATTTTGAATTACGTTCTTTCCAGCTGTTTCTTCCACTTGATTTACTATTTCGTTGATTCCTTTCGGTCTCCGAAAGAGTTTGATTCTAGTAATAGTTTGGTTCACTGTCAGTTACGAGATAGTTTCTTATGTCTTGGATGTCTCTCATACACCAGTACGTGGCCATTCTGCTTTTTTCGTACCTTAGGGGCTTAACCAGATGTAATTGTGGATGCCATACACTATTGATTATCGTATAAATATATTTTATAGAGAATGTTTTGTAGAGACATTTTTTCACAACTAGTTACAATGTGAAAACATTGTATTTTACTTTGATATTCTACAAACTAAAGAATCATAAATATTTTTCAGTTTTCAGCACTATTTATTTTTAGTTGGAATAGTTCTAAAAATGTATCCATGTTATGAAAGCTGCCCTTTCATCCATTTTCGATGTATAAATATATGTAATGTATTCAATTATTTCATTTATATGCATTCATAAAAAAAAAAATTAAAATAAACCTACCAATCAATAAATGTATTTTTAAAAATACAGTATTATATTTTTATATCTCAGTAAGTATGTTGATTCTATACATTTGTCATTTTATAAAGTTTTTAAAAGAATATAAACTTCCGCCACGTTTTTTTTTTTTTTTTTGTTCATCATTCTTCCCTCCATCAATATGGAAAGTCTATGATGTAAAGATATTTTAATTAAAGATTTAAACGTAAATAATGTAATATTAGATAAATATCGTTTATGTAAGGTTAAAATAAATACTAGAATGCTACAATCCCTTCCTAAATGAATCCAAAAAATAACTTACTGCTTTCTTCAGTCAAACCAATTTCATGAAGACTATTTTTAATAACTGAAAAATAATTCAGAGTGTTTTAATGAACTATTAATAGTCAATTGTGAATATATTTATAAATAAATTATTATTAAAGGCAAAGCCAAAACTCTTTAAGTCAGGTCTGGCCAATGGCGGATTGACAGGTTACTTTATGGAGAGTCTGAGTAATTTTACGCTTTTGTGGAAACTTTCGTTGAGTTCATACAAAAAATATTAGGTAAATAAATAAAATTATGAATTTGTATTATTTATTTATTACTGCTTAAAGGTAACTGGTCAATCAATATCTCATGTCATGAAAGAAAGGAAGTTGAGATAGAAGAGGTATGCAGTTCGGAACAATCCATCAGGAACCCTCTAAACAATGGATGCCCCAGTAGAAGGCAATATACCACGCGGAAGCCAAAAACATGAATAGATCCGTTTTAATCCTATAACGTTATACCTCTTTATTATTTTTTTGGAGTGAAAACTTCTTTAGTCGCGTTTTCACTTTTTTTGAGGAGATGGAATTAGATTGAGCCGTCAGATCTCCGATGTGTAACGCTCGGGTAAAGTCGGCTGGAGTCGAATAATTGAAGTGTTTTTGCATATGAATTAAAATATCTCAGAAACTAAAAATCGGACCTGCATACTGTAAGCGAGGGAATTGTTCAGCATTTCATCCTCTCTGTTATGGGCTATTATTCAAAATTGTATCTTTACGCGACACCGTGTTACAGAGGCGCACAAGCGGATCTACTGAGGGGGAGAGAGAGGAGGCTTTCGGGCTGAAACCCCCAAAATGGTAAAATATAACCATGTTTTATAGAAAAAATATTAAAAACCATCTCGTATTCTTGTTCGGATAATTACATTTAATAGGACTTCAAGAATCACTTAAACACAATTCCATACAGGTAATTAATTTCTTTCTTTTTTTTAAAAATATTATATATAAGAATTATCGTTATATACACTGACAGGCAAAAAATTCCACCCACTTGATTTATTCATGTTTTCATCTAAGCACATTTCACCCACTTGTAAAAAAAGTTGTATTTGTATATAATACATGGTATTTGTAGATAATACTTAGTATTTATGGAATTTTATAATCTTTTTTACCTTTAATAATCAAAATGTGATTGAGTAAGAAAGATTAGAGAAAAAAAAATTGAAAACCGAACCATTATTATTCTACAAGAAATGGATTACATCATCGTTTAGTAGCGCGTGTTTCCTCCTCTTGCCTTCACTAGTTCTTGAAGACGCCTCGGCATACTTCCACCAGTCGGGAAATATCCCTTTGCTGGAGGATAGCCCATTCCTCCCGAAGTGCCCTTTCAAGGTCCTGCAGTGTATCAGGAAGTGTTGCACGCGCTCTTATTCGCCTTCCGAGGTTATCGCATAAATGCTCAATGGGGTTCAAATCTGGAGAACGTGCTGGCTAGGCTTAAACCTCAATATTGTTCCGTTGAAGGGACGTCTGCACTATGCGGGCAACATGTGGGCGTGCATTATCGTGCATTAGAATAGAACGATCGCCGATTTCGTGGAGGATAGGCAACACTGAGGTTCCAAAATATCATCTAGATAGCGAACGGCCGTCAAAGACCCTCCACGAACAACAACCAATTCTGTGCGGCGTTCCATTGAAATCCCAGCCCACACCATTAAGGAACCACGTTGGAAAGGTTGGCTCTGGGAAAAATTACAGGCTGTATATCTTTCGTTTCTTCTTCTCCACACCCTTTCACGCCCGTCTGGAGATCGAAGAGCGAATCTTGACTCATCTGTAAAAAGTACAGCACTCCATTTGTCCATAGTCCAATGGATGTGTTCTCGAGCAAAAGCCAGCCGTGTTACTCTGTGAGTTCTGGTCAACTCTGGTCCTCTTATTGGACGAAATGCCATACTCATTTAATCTTATCCGAGCGGTACGTTCAGAAATTTGCACACCTCGAACTTCTTCGAGCTGATGAATCGCTTGAACAACGGTAAGGTGCCGGTTTCGTAAAGTCAAATTCTGAAAGTCAAAAACCGGTCATCCCGTGGTTCTGTTACCCTAGGCCGTCCAGAACCGGGCCTTCTATTGTAAGAACCAGTTTCCCGAAAACGCCTGACGGCGTCTCGAAATGTTTCATATGGAACTCCGATGGAATTAGCTGCATATCTAATGGAACGTCCATCATCAATAAGTGCCACACCACGCGCAACATCCTCAGCACTAAGAGGCATTTTTAAACTTAATATTGAAAAAATTAAAAGCCGGAGACTAAGAAATGTGCTGCAAGAAACGGCACTGAACTAATGATACTGATTAAACATATTGATTCCATAGAAAGTAAACATTGGAATCTAGAATCATTTCATTGAATTAAGGGTTATTGTCCTCTATATTAACATTCCTAATTTAAAACGAACAAAAAGATTACCTATTTATTCATTAAAAACAATAGACCAATCCAACGCAGAAATATTTTTAGATGAAAACATGAAAAAATCAAGTGGGTGGAATTTTTTGCCTGTCAGTGTATATGAAAAAAAAAGCTTTCGGGCTGAAGCCCCCCCTCCCAAATTTATTCCTGGATTCCCTACTTATCTCGCCTTTAGATAATCCACTTCTATCGTGTGGTCTAAAGCACACACCTTAGTTTTTTTTTTTACTGCATGTTTACATTAAGTTCGTTTACCTAATAGCGACTCGTAGATAAGTAACAAGTCAGCAAAGTGCCCTTGTAAGGTTGGGTTGACCAGACCTGCCTTAACTTCCATAGCTTACACTCAGTTTTTTCATGGTAATTTTGTTCTGTTAATTGGAATGGAAATTCAGGGACTGATGTGTTACTGTCAGTTGAAATCCTTTCCGGTGTACAGGTTCTCTCAATGGTAATATTTTTCATTATATCTTTTTATTTAATGAATGGTGTATCAGATACAGCTGTAAAAACAAAAACATATTTAACGACAATGAATTAAACAAACTTAATCTTTAATTCATAGAAATTTAATCATTTGAATTAAGAACTTCGGGTGTCGAAAAGAAACCAGCGAAATGAAAAAAATCCTTTTTCAAGATCCTTATCCCAAAACATTTTGCTTATTTTTCATTTTTTTCGTAACGTTTATAATTATTTTGTTTATTTATATTGTAGTAAATCTCCTTTTTGTTTTATCATGGTTCGTTTCTTAAATAAAGTGTTTTAAAAAGTAATTTGGCAGCCATAAACTGACGCAACCTAATTATTATGAAAAGAAATTGTTTTTTATTACCACCAGCTTGTTCTAAAATTTTAAAACTAAGTTTTATAATAGGCATAGACTGAAATTTATATCTTCAATAGTATTCATTAAAAAGTAGTAGGTCTGCATTTCTTATCAACAAATAGTCCAAGAAACAAACAATGCGATTACCTACCCCTTGTCTTGCCGGTTGTTGGTTCTTATTTAGATTTTCTGTGGTTAATGCTCAAGTGATCATTAATGTATATTTTTCGCAGAATAAATAACTTGAAAAACTATTTAAATACTTTAAACCAATTATCAGATCTTTACACTCTAAGTAAGTCCTATCCATACGTTACTAAGTGGATTGTTTCATGCCATTGTTACTGCAATGGACAATTCGCTCCCTATCCTAAAACACTTCATGCTAATGAGAACACATTCTCTCATAGTGTTCTGGAAAATATACCAGCCTATAACTTGATGATTTCCAATCCAGCTAAAGGACCAACTTTTGTTTCTCAAGAGAATGTGCAAATTAGTATAGATTATTTTAAGAACTCTGATCCCTTAAAAATACCGATCCAGGAATTGCTCTCATTGTTTGAAACAATGTGTCATTTGAAGAATCATGATTTTGCTGTTTTTGATGCTCTACAAAAAAAATTCCATGAAATGGACGATGAGCAGTTGGCTTTAGTTTTGAGGAATTTGCAGCATTCTACTGTTTTTCAAACCCATAAAAGGAATGAATTAGTTAGTTTTTGGAAAGAAATTGACAAAATTTGCTTAAAGAGGTGTAAATCTTGGCCTATAGAAAAATTGTTTTATTTCATTGACTTGTGGTATTGTCTTGGTCTTACTAAAAGGAGTGATTTTGTTTTTATATATTCTATGAAATATTTGAGCAAGCCACACAGGTAATAACTTTTTCATCACTAAATTATATAAAAGTATAAACTAATAAGCTTTGACATAAAAGTAATTGATTGTTCATGAAATGTGTTTGTAAAAAAAAGTATAAATCTTTGATCGTATAAGTTTTCTTCGTTTAAGTTGACCACTTCACTGTTTCAAGTTATTTATTTTATATTCTTTTGATGAATATCGGAGTTGTAGCCTAATTTAGAAGGTTAAAAGATAACTGGAATTGCTTAATTTATTTTTAATATTTAAAAATTAACAGATTCCTACTGTTTTATGGATCAAGTGCCTTTTAATTTGGTAGAGTTCTCTGGAGGATTTCTAAAATTAATCCATTTTGTAGCTTATAATTAGGATTTGGTAAGATACCTTTTTGCAATAAGTTTAAGTGGTTGTATGTTGTTTGGTTGTGAATCTGTTATATATCCAAAAGTGGCTGATATATTATCTATAGGTATATTTAGGCTATTTGATCTTACAACTCGAAGTGAATGAGTTTTAGTTTGGAAGTATCTATACTCTTTCAAGTACACAATAGATTAAATAAAAAAACATTGTGGTTTCTTAAGTTTTTAAATTTACAAGTATTATTTGTTTGTTAACACTGTTCAAATTTTATTCCATTTTGATGGGTAGTCACAAGATCTAATTAACACTATAAATGGAATTTTAAGTTAGGTCCAGTATTGACATGTTTAAGTGCATGTCCTCCCTTTATTTAGTTTGTGATCACAACTTGTGTCAAATTTTTTCTGGTCCTTTCCAATTAAAAGCCGCTTTCAACTGCCGCTCTCTATACTCTCTCAAAAGGGACATATAAACCTCCCAATGGGCTCTTTTCAGTTGAGGTCTGGCCCTTAGGATACATAGGAGGTCTGGCCCTCTATCTTCTTCTGGATACACTCAGAATTCCATTTATAGTGTGATTATGAGATCTTGTTCCCATTCATCTAAGTGGAACAACATTGGTAGAATAATACCTTGGTTTTAAAAAGCTGTGAACCAAGTTACAAACGAAATTAAAATATTATTTTTAGTTAAATAAAAAGTAAAATATTTTAATAACTTTAATGCATTTTAAATTTTAATAATGATATTGCAGAGTTAAAATTAATACCAGAGTTAAAAGCTCCTCCCCTCTCCCAGCACCCAGGCCCAAACTTGTAATTATTTTATCAAATTATCTTCCATTAGGTTGCCGGGCAATATGATACTGTGCATACGTGAGAGTCCACTCAACCACCCCGCCCCCTCAGAGAATGTTAAAGCAGGCAACACCTCAACTTGCTCGACCATCGTAACCTCATGATGTATATCACTTCAATATTATTGTTACCAATAAAAATTTAATTTAGATGATTGGAATCATTTCCTCTTTTTTTGTCCCTTCTGACTGAATTTATGGTTTGTGGAAAAGCCTGACAATTAACCATTCCTGAAATGATTATTAGCATTAATTGATATTTACATTTATTTATTTTAGACTTTCTTCTCAACAAGTTGTTCAGTTGTTATTTTATATGAATGTTCTGAGACATCCAAAAAATGTTTCAATTTATAATTTAGAATACCAGCTAGAGAGGTATATAGAAGATCTGAGCATAACAGAAATAGGAGTAGCCGTAATGGGCTTTTTTAAAACTCAAAACACTATTCATAGTGAAAAAATCATGAACCATATAATCGACCAAACTATTAATGAAATTAAGTCTGTTCCAGAAATAACTTTGGCTTGTATTTTAAAAGTAAGTTTCATGATATGTTTCTTTAAATTTCTTTATTTAAAAATAATGTTATTTATTTTATTTACAACATGACACTAAACTAGGATTTTCAGTTTTGTTGACGATAAAGAAATATTGATAAATTACCCTCATAAAATAACTATTGAATATTAAAATAACAACTGAGTTTCTGTAGAAACTACACTTTAGGCTGTTATTTTTTTAAAACCTCTTCTCATTGGCATTTATTTCATCATTTTTGAACCATATTATCAAAAAGTATTCTACCTTCTTGCTAAGTTGATATTTTCTTACCTTTTTCGCTTCAATCGATAGGGATGCCTGAATGTTATCCAAAAAAAAACTGACATCCTCTTTTTATGCCGTTATGTTAATCATAACAAGATATTCCATTCCATCACAAATTGCATTTAGCATATTTTCAGATTTTTTGTTATTGTGTTGCGCTTACCTGTAAACATTAACCTAAAGTGAATTACATAAACTAAACCATAGCAATACAGAAAGATTTATAATTTTTAACCATGAATCAGACTGAGAGATCAAAAATCATTATTATTACTAGTTCCTGCAATCAGGATGAAATAAAACTTCCAGGCATACTATTTCTTAATATTTATTAGCTAGTCAATGTAATATTTAAAAATGAAATGAAATGAATCAGTATTAGACTTGAGTGTCTATTACTAGTTCCATTGCTTATATGTTGTTCTAGTAATGCTCATCAAAGTTTTTAGGGGTTCATATATCATTTTATAAAATTTAAAACAATTAAAATAAATTCTACATTGTTTTTTAATTAAAAAATGTAAAAATACTGCCTAATAAATTAATTGAAAAGAAGATTGGCTGAAGCATTCAGTAAAAAAAATAAATGAGTTATATTTATTTTTAATTTATGCTGACGTTTCGTCCCAAAGTTCAGGGCTGATGAGACAAAAGATTTTCATGTCTTGCTTTATTTTTTACTTTTTTTTACTTAACTCCCCAATCAATCCACACCTACTAAATTAAAGTTATTCCAAATTATGCATGAAATTTTAAACTTAACTTCTATACAAAAGTGATAGGGAAACCTCAATGTAACAAGCACTAACTCTTGTTTTATTAAAAAATGAACTACCAAGCAGACATTAATGCATGAAATCAGATGTATTTCAGGTATCACATTTCTGATTGTGTCAGCTGAAAACCTATTTGTACTTAAAATATCTATAACACGTAGAAAGCTCATTAATCGTTCATGAATTTAAAAGTGTCTATTACTGGTACAGTTACCTTATACTAGAATAAGTTATATAAAAAACCTTGTTATAAGATAACAAAATATTTGTATATACTGTGTGGATCCATAAGTTCATTTAGTTTTTGAAGGGTGAAATAAAACAAGTTTTTTTCATACAAAGAATAAATTTTATTCAAAAATATATTTGCCATTTTTATTAATGATCTCTTGTGATCTTTCTAACAATTTCATTATTCTGCTCTCATAAAACATCTGGTACTTAAAAGCGTAAAACTGATAGAAATACGTTTTCACATCTTTCCCATCAGTGAACAATATCCCGTTGAGGGAGTTTTGGAGGGACTAGAATAAGTGGTAGTCAAATTCGTTTCGTTCCGATTCAGAAGAGAGTTGCAGATTGATATTCAATTGGCTAGATTTGCCTCAGTCATTTTGTGTGGCATCCAAACATTGAGGTAGGACACGTAGCCAAGCTGTTTTAAATGCCTTTAAATTGTTCCAAAACCTATTTTCAGAGCCTCCACAATTTCTCGTATCTGTAGCGACCAGTCTTGTTCGATCAGAGCCTTAATATCAATTGAATCAACATCGGTGGGCCAATCGCTGAGGGATTCATCTTTGAGACTTGTATCTCCAGTAAGAAACTTGGCAAACTATTTTTGAGCAGTAGATTCTGTTAAGGTTCATATACCTTGCATATCTTTTGTTAAGCCTCTGAAGCTTGCTTGCCTTTTCTGAAATAATAAAGTGCTACGTTTTGGGGTGTTAAATTTTATTCCCGATGCCACTGTATAATTATTGATGATAATTATCCTGAATTAATTAATAAAAAATTAGTAAAATAAATTTGGTTCTTTAACATCTTTGGTCCATGATTAATTAATTGGATTTCTTTTCACAAAGGCTGGTGTGTGTTTATTGTGCTTTATAATTACCTACATTTTACCTGTGATTATAATGATATAAATAGGTGGCATGATTAAAATAACTTTTACTTACAAACTTAATTTATTTCAATGCTTAATAAAGAATATATACAAATTATAGTTACAAGAATCAATGAATTTAATAATTAATTGTGAAGGCATGATTTCAGATGTACTGTTTTGAAATTTATATTGACATGAAATATTCTGACATTGTTAAAATTAATTGTTGGGAATAAAACTTATCAATTACATGTGACGTGGGGTAGTTGGTAGATTCCACCACTGCATCTGCTGATCTGAGGTCATCTTGTCATGGTTCAAAGCTGTGCCAGGATCATCATGGTCTATGTAGGGCCAAGGCTTCAGTCCTCAAGGCCGGATCTCCACATCAGACCTCTCCTCCAAGCTCGGCAGCGACATAAGACCTCTCCTCTATGCATCTCCTTAGATTTTATCGAAATATTCAGGGTGGGGCTAGAATGGTTCTCATTGGTTGACTTTTTATAGCATAAGAGATGACCACACCCCCCAGGCCGTATGGCTGTTTCCTCTTTTTGGAAGGTGTTTCTATTCCCTCCCTTACGTAGACCAACCTTCCAATCCTCTCCAAACATGCCCACCTAAGACCGGTGTCGGTCCTTTGGTCTTTTTGCCGACCTCTGTTCTCAAGTGTTCTATTGCCCCTGCTAAAAGGTTGCACTCCCTAGGGTCTTTCTCTCCCTCAGGTAACCGAACATCTGTTAGAAATTATGACCCAGACTACACTTATTCATTCAAAATAATCATAGCAATAATAATAATTCATAGCAAAAGCAAAATATGCCAAAACTGCACTTCATCATTGGACATATTCACTATGCTCTAGTACAAATAAAACTAATGCCAATGAAACCAAACAATGATTTCGAAGAGCGGACTTAGACCTTTCTAATAAATATCATTATTATCAGATAAGGAAAAGAGAACTAGAGATATTTAAAAAACAGTTTGCAGCACTAACAAAAACCAAACGAACTTATGGATTCATCCAATATATAAAAAAAAATGCAATCTAAAAAATTAACTATTCAATACTTTGTTTCTGTATAAGTAAATGTTTCTATAATAGTGGTCTTATAACTCTTTTATTCATAGAACCTCTATAAATTTAAAAATATAGCGCATTGGAACTTAGCATTGAGTTGGAATGGAGTGTTATCTTTTAGGCTATCAGAGAATTCTGACAAGATTATTCTTGAAAGAGTAGAAAGGTTGGGATTGATTCCATGGAATAGTACCTCAGATATCAAAATACAATATACAGTAGTTGTGCTTTGATTTAGAATTATTTAGAATATTTGGATATCCATGCTGCCTTTTGTCTCATTAGAAATAATAATAAAATGTATTGCATATAAAGAGAAGATCCTGAGTATCTTCATTATCATTTTTGATACATTTACTGTTCAAGAAGTCTAACAAAAATGAAGACATGAATCAAATACAAGTCTGATTCAAAAATTAGCCAGAATTCTGGATTTAGAAATAGCTGCCAGGATGCTTTAAGAAAGAACCTTAAGATAAATGAAGGTCATAAAAGCTGTTAAAAGACAGGAAATAATCACTTTGAGGAATGCTATTATCATTATATAAATAGGCAAACACAAAACGGTTCAGCCACTTATTCTCCTTTATTATTCAACCGATGGACAATTATATGTGGAGCAAGTTCATTTAAAATTTTGAAGTTTATATTTCCAATGCCAATGGGCTACGCTATGTACTAAACAATACAGAAAATTCAAAAAGAACATTGTTTGCAGAGAAGTTCTGCATAAAAATGGATTTAAACTCAGTTAGAAATTGCTAATTTAAATTTATTTTTTACTTGCTTAATCATAACATTAATTTATTGTGATAATAACACATAAATTAAAATGGAAATTAAATACTTTGAATGAGTCTATTTTATATTACTTATAAATAATTTTAAGTAGTTGAAGCTCGATTTTTAATTGAAATTGAAATTTTGTTTATACTAATAAGAATCATGATTTACTCTTTATTTATTGAATTTATTTTTTATTTAATTATGTTTTCCGCAAATTTTTAATGGCTATGGTTGAATTTCGACCACTGGAGGAACACTAGTTAATATAGAAATAGAATAGAAAAGAAATATTCCATATTTCTGAAATACTAGTTTAATATGATAAAGAAAAGATTCAGGTTTCTATGCGTTAATTTTAGAGTACTTTACTATCTATTGCTTATAAAATAATGATAATCCTACCAGACCTGGATAGATCTTTGCAATATAATGGCTGATGAGGCCACTAAGTTGTATTCAGAAGAGTGTTATCGTTTAACAAATGATAAACAACGAACAGTAAAAATTAGGTGAGATTGTACCTGCTTTATCCTTATTTATATAACAGTGGTATACAATTTCATAAATCAGAACTGTCTATCAAAGATAAGATGAATAAAAATAAGGATTCACAATCCAGGTGTTGTTTTTGTGGATTGCGTTTAATCATAGTTTTATGGAACTTATTAATGCATTTTTTATAGGCTCTTCGTTACAGTATGAAGATACTTTTTTGGGAAAGAATACCAGAATTATTAAATTCAGTTGAACAAGAACTCCCGAGACTAACAATACAATGTTCTGTCCATGCATCACTTCTAACAACCAAACCACAAATTGTGCATGAGGGAGTTCTGAGAAAGGTGTCACAAAAGCTTGTTGATAATATCACCACTTGTAGACTGAAGGTTTGTCTCATTCCTAACTAAAGATTTGTATTTCTAAAATTTATTTCTGATATTTGAAGATACTAAAAATATAGGTTTACAAAGTAGTTAACAATTTGATGTTGAGTCCCAGGGGTCTACATCATATTTGTTTTACTCTTCAATCAAAAATTTAATTAATTATGAATTGCTTTGGATACTGGATATTTTCTCTAACAATTATGTCCAATATTTTCTTGACACTGTAATAATATAAATTTCAAATATTCTGTTGCAGGATATGGAGAAAGCTGTTTTCCCTCTGGCACAGTTGAACTTTGATCCTCAAACAGAACCATGCATTTATAAGTCAATTCTCAATGAACTTAGTAATGATGAAAGAAAAGATGAAATAAATTACTTTCCAAAAACACTTATTGCCCTCGTACATTACCTCTGCCTGAAGGGGATACATGATGAAAATTTGATTCAGAAAGTTCTTGATATGGAATTTATATACCATGCTTATGGTATTTTTTTTTTTTTTATTTTATTATTTAATTATTTATATCTTTATCTTCTGATTTCGAATTATTATTGTCAGGAAAGAAAAAGTATTGGTTTGGACGTGAGATACTTTATATTGACACAACAATGGAATTGGAATGTCCTACCTATAATGGGCCAAGATTACCATCTGAAATTCTAAATTATCTCTCAATGGTGAAAATTCATTCATTAATTTCAGTTTTGGGTTTTATTATTATTTCATTCTGTATTAATTTTTCTAGCTCATAATATTTGAATGCTAGAAAAATGAATACTGAATTGAAGAGTTTACTACAAAAATACAATTTTTATATGTATTCTATTAAAAAAAAAATAGAATTTGTATGTACAAACTTCTCCAAAATAAGGCTACCCTTTTTTGCAGAAAACTCATAAATTTTTGACAGTGCAATGCACCCTAAATCAACTAAATTATCCAGGTTTATTTCTGGGAAATATTGTTTCTTCCTTTTAATGTTCAATCAGTGGTAATTAAAAAACTTCAAGGAAAATTTATGATTGTATGTTGTAATTTTTTTAAAAATATTTTTGACTTAAATTGAAACATATCACGAGGAAAAAAGGGCCAATTCCCAAAATCTTAAACTCCCATATGCAATAGAATCTTTGTAGTACAAAAATACTAAATGATCAGATCACTATAATTCTGTACCAAATCATCCAATTTCGATAATTTTTTTTTACTTTTTGTAAGGAATTTAGTAAGCTTTCAAATGCTCTGCTTTTTTTTATTCAATACCTGCTTAAGGAATAAATAAATAAAAACTCATAGGTTTTTTTATTTGATCTCCATTTGTTATTTGTTTAAGAAGGTCCTGTTTATGTCATTTCCTGTTGTGTATATGGCCCTAAATTCTTGCTCAAGTCATGTTGAAGTTGTAACATTTATTGTGATTTTCAAAAAAAAAAAAAAAAAAAAAAAATATATATATATATATATATGTAGAGAGAAAGCTTTGGCTCTGATATGGTTAAAAAAATAATATTTTTTTTATTGGTATGAAAATACATATTTGGAGATTTTCTGAGATGAGAAATACATATCTCAGCTTTGTTTCTCGTTAAAAAAATATTTGAAACCACATTGCTCCTTGGGTCTGTACAAATTGTTCCATTTTAGCATTTTACTCTTACTACAGTTATAAGCCAATTATAGATTTGTAATAGAGCTCTCCAGAGTGATATTAAATGAAAATAAGAGTAAAAAAAATAAAAATATTTTATTGAACTTAACTGTTATCGATTTTGATGATTTTTTTAAAAATATTTTGTAGGGAATTTAGTAACCTTTCAAATATTCATATGTATAATCAAACGAAAATTGAAACGAATTATTCACAAATTATAAATTCACTTGTAACGTCTCTTTCATTGAGATGGCACCATCACATAGTTTGAAACCTACCGCTTTTACATTAACTTTTATTTATGTCCAGGTATAAAATTAGGAACAAAATTACAATGTGCGCATTCTACATGATATCCCCTTTCTATTGATACCTCATTCGTCGAAATTCATCACTCTTGAGAGCCAGAAAAGAGATATATATTCAGAAATAATATATAAGATATTTTTAGCCTCTGAACCAGATCAATTGCACTTACAAAGATCTCAGGATAGATACAAAATGAAGGTAGGTAGATAGGTAGACAATATCACTTGGCAAAGTGAGCTGGTAATAGATAAGTGGCTATAGCTTAAAATTCTCACAATCTTCACTGTATGAAGCATGAGAAGAAGTACGTCATGAGACCAACATAATTTGTTGAAGTTAACATGCTAGCAGGAGTAGGAAATTGTACATGGTGTATAGATCAGAATATTTTGATGTACTAAATTGGGATAAGACATGAAAAGTGGTATTTCCCAATTTCATCTTATCTTATTGATGTATACATAAAAAATGCATGGTTGTCACAGAAAACCATGGACACAATATTCCTTAAATAAATGAAGAAGTATTGTAATGTTATTAGGCTCTCCAAAAAACATTGTCAGCTTACACAAATGAAATTTATCAAACAGCTTCCACCACTGTTATAGATATTTATTCATTTTGTAACAAAAGACGAATATTGGAAGAAGAATATTTACTATTTCAATCCACATCTTTGTGAACTATAATGCAAATCAATAGTGGGTCATATGAAAAATATATCTATAATCCATAAAACATAAAATACTTTTATGATGATTATAAAAATTAACTTGTGTTTTTATTTCTATCCTAGGTTTTTTTAAGAATAAGAAAAACCTGTCCCCAATTTCCAATTGTTGCCTTATGTCAACATATAACACTGCATAGGTGATTGTTAAAGAATGTTTAAGTTGTTAACATTTATTTAAATTATAAAATGGCAGTATAAAGTTATGGCAAAGAAATATGCCCTTTTTTATTTTTAAACTGAATATTATTGAAAGCTGAAAAATGTTATTCCTTATTATATATTTTATGTTTACTCTCTTCATTTATTTGTTACTCATGTTTCTGTTGCTTTATTCAGTTAAATATTTAACTTTTTATTTTTTCATAAGAAATATTCGGAGAATATTCCTGATCCAAATAAAAACAAAATGTCAAAGCACCACTCTTGGCATTTAGAAGTTAAAGGAACAGCTGAAGCAATATTTGGGAAAGACTATATTGTAGAGAAATATTTGTTACCAAATCATCCTCGAGCTGGTGAGTTGTCATTATTTTAATTTTAAAATAGGTAAGAAAAAAAAAATGATTTTATTGCATAATAAAATCAACAAATCCATTTCTATACGCTGCTATTTAGTTAAAAATCAGATGGCTCTAGTTTTTCAAAACAGTAGCGTAATAAATAGAAATAAGAAGATTAATCCTCTCACTCCCCTGACTAGGTGAGGTGAACAGGTGAAAGAATAGGAATGCTAAACACACGACTCAACTTAAATGTTCTACCCATCAATTAAAACAGAGGATTGTTTATTGTTTAAATCAATTTTAATTGTTTGTTTAATATTTTTGAAAAGCTATACAAACAAAATGCCTAACTGTGGTGTGCTTGGGTGTAATAGATGGCATTATTCAATTAAAAGTTAGGTTATTCTAATTAAATTAAAAAATCACCTCTTATGTCACACTCTCTTTTCGTAGCATTTTATTATAACATTTCACTGATATATTTTTGACAGGAAGAAAGTAGAACTTCCGAGTTGTCAATAAAACAAAAATGCAATGCCTCAAAGTTTTCTTAAGTTGCCAAAATATCTTACTAAGTTATGGAATGAATAAAAAGCTCCTATAAGAATTTTCAAATCAAAGGTGAACTAACATATTCTTGAAAATAATAATGGTTTTGGATTTGAAGGCCAGATCAGCTGAAAATCATTATTAGACTGTAAAATCTTCGAGAATTCTATTTATAAAAAAAAATAACATATTAGGAAAACAATATTATTTTTTTTAAAGTTACTAGGCATCCTCAAAACTAGCATCCCTGATTGAATTGAATCGGACGTCTTTGCAGTTCATATATATTTTTTTTGTATTGAAAAACTATTATTTTTTTCAACATCCCTGTCACCCCCAACATCTCATGTCATTCCACCTATTTTCATGGCAAGAGAAATTTTATGTTAATGAGTGAAACTAATATATTAAAATAGCTTGTCTTGATTTAGTCAAATTTTCCAAGTTTTTTCCTTACTAGCTTATTAATAATTAATTGCACTTACATTCACTCATATTTTATTGTTTCACCAAACTAATGTTTCTTATGATATTCTACCAACCAAAATTTTAAATTTATTTTAGGTAACAACAGCAGTAATGAAACAATTTCAAATTTTATTTGGCTTTGAATGAATCTTAATTACTACAGATAAATTTTAAAATGATTGCAATTAATTATAATGCTTTAAAGTTTTATTAGCAATTTTTTTTATATTTAGTAAAAGTAATCCAGGTTACTAATATTTTTGTAAGGAAACATTCCTAATTTATTTTAAAACATTATTAAATAGTTATAAAAAATTCTGACTTTTTTTTAGATATTGTTGTGAACTTAAATAATGATAAAGAGCCTCAACCACTTGACTATGATTTTAAAAACACCGAAGCGTTCACTGGCCTCATCAGAGCCCCAAAGAATGGTAACTACTGTGCAATAGTAGTTGCGAGTAAGAATATGTTTTTGTACCAGTCAACTATACCAAATGGAGAAACTGTATCAAAAATGAAACAACTTAGACTTGCAGGATATAAGCCAATTTTAGTAAGTGTTTAGATAGATAGATAGAAAAAAAATTTATTTTTGGTCAAAGTCCCTTTAGAATAGCAAAATTGTACAAAAAGAAAAGACTACTACTGGCCTAAAAGTTTGAAACAAAAAATAAAATAAAAAGTAAAGAAAACCTTAAGTGAACAAGCTATTACAAAACAGATAAAACTATGTACAAAACACTTAAAACTATGAACTAAACACTGAAAACTAGAACAAAACATTTAAAACTATATATAATGGTAGAACAGAATAAATATACACTTTATGAAATGAAGAATGAAAAAGAGACAAAATAGAATAAGTTCTTTTCATAAAAAAACTTTAATTGTATATAAAAAAAAAGTTAGTGATAATTGAATACAATTTTTTTTTAAATAGATGTATTGAATGGCTATCAAAAGTAGAAAATACATGTATTATCGAATATTTAATAGTTGACCGTTGCATTATTAACACTAATCATACCAAGACTTAATATATACCTATTTCTACCATAGCGGGTCAAATGACCCGACTTTATGTTTCATGCTTGAATGTATGAAATATGGATGTTAGGAAGGAAATAAAAATATAAATTAAATTTATTATGATTAAACAAAATAGTATGTTGAGCATTTCTATTACAAAAGCAAAAAATACAAACTTTTAATTCATAGTTCATCGCAGTGGTGCTCTTCCAGGTGTGCCACCTACTTGCATTTGTTGCCAAACAGATCCATCATTCGCAACATTTTCTTCATTTATTTCTACTTCACTTTCTTCCGAACTTGTGAGTAATCTTATTCTTTTTCAGCCACTACATACATTAACAATATTTTCCTCTTCATCGTCAGTATCTGTAGAATCAAACTCATTTTTATTTGCAACCGATATATCTTCATTTTCAGAAAATTCATCTTCACTCATTTCTGAAAACTCTTCGCCAATATTATTTATATCTTCTAAGAACTTGTACTGTCTTGTTTGCTTCGAAATTTTTCTGGGTAAAAAATGATCTGTATTGCTATAGCTATCGAAATAAAATATAAGCTAGGTACTTACCAAGACTTTCAATTTTTGCCACTTTTTCTTACACTGAAAAGCTATTTTCAATCTAAAATTTGATATTTTCTTGAAATTATTCTGAGCTATTTTCGTTGAACTACTTTACGCAACAGTCTTTGGAAGAATGTGCAACTTACTGACTACAAATATGACTAGATAATCTCATAAAACAAAAAAATTCTCTCCGGGTCAAATGACCTGTTGTGGTAGATATCGGTATACAACAAGGATTACTCAGAATAAACAAAACAAAAATATTTTTATAACTGTACATTAATTACTTAGAAAAAGTCATGAAGTCAAATGTGCAAACGCAATAAAATTATACGTGCATTTTCAATGGAAAAGTTCAAAATGGGTCATTTGACCCGTTATGGTATGTTTAGTGTTAAGGAAGGAGATGGTCCGGGGTAGCGGTCATAAATAGACTAAATAGTGGCTAAACTGTTAATAAGATATTAGTCATTTAGGATAAAGAAGGATATACATTATTGAAATTTTGGAAAGGAAATATACAATCGTAAATGAACCTTCGAGGTAAAAAAAACTTTTATCACATGTGCTTCCTCGTTTTGGAATTCCCTACCAACCTCCATACGTAAATCCTCATTTAAACATGATTTATTTTTCTATTCCCTCAGCAATCAATCTTCCAAATATATGTAAAAATAATGTTTTCATTTTATAGAGCTGTCAGCCGCATTTTATTATATATCATCCATATTGCTTATATATATAAATATGTGAACTTGCTCATATGTATTTATATAGAACGTCATATGTCTATTAGTGCCTTTTCTTCATTTTAATCTTAGATTTAGATAACTTGGTAATTTAATTTATTATTAATTGTTTCTAATGCCAGACAATTGTCATTTCATTGTTCATTGTAGTTATTTGTTGGTGAATTAATGCCACAGAATAAATTTACTTTTATTTTCTTTCTTCTTATGTCCATCTGGATTATTAAAACATTTTCAACAGTTGGAGAACTCTGATGCAGTATATATTTCTGTTTGTTTAACAAGTTCAATAAAATGTTAACATCATTGATTTAAATCCTTCTTCGATAAATTTACTATGTATTAATTTTTATTTATTTGTTTTAAGGTACATAGTGAGGACTGGCCTTCTGGAAATACATTAGAAAAAATTAAGCATTTAAAGGCTCTCATAGAGAATTCAACCTGATTATACTGTCAAAGGCGTTAATAATGTATAATAGTTCAATCCTTAAAGAAATATTAAGCCTAAATGTTCATAAAGATTACAGTAACGATGCCCTATTCTTCCATTATTAAGTACAAATATACAATTAATGGCTGGCTACATCTGATAAATGGAGCTGTTTTATGTATAATAGCATATTTTATTTTATAAATACATTTTTTTCATCAAATGTTCTATTTATTTCAGAGCACAACCATTTCTTTTCTATTCCTGAATATGGATATAAATTCAGTTGTTACTTAGATCCAAGATTTATGTTTCTTTAATTTAAATTAATATTATTGAAGGAACTTAGTTGACTGTTTTACGTATCATGGGTGATAAATATTCAGGATGCAGTCATGATAAGGTTTGAGTCGTCATAAAGAGGTAGTTTGAGCACTGAAGATATTCAAGTCCTAACGTCTTGGTTAGTATTTGAATATCTTTGGTGCTAGAACCACATGTTTGGGTTGAGACATCGGCACTAATAAAAACCTTATAATGACTGCTTCCTGAATATTTATCACCCATTAAATTAATATTGTTGATAATGAAACTATGTTACAATCAATCCCGCAGAAGATATTTCAAATTGGTTACATTATGATAATGTGTTATATTATTAAGCGAAATTCTCCAATTTCTTACTGAAATGTTTTTCGTCATCCTAATTCCAAAACCTAACTAAATTTTTATTCTATACCAAACTTCAGAGTGAATTTAGGTGAAGATAGGTGATTTTATCTCTTGGTAATTTTAAGTACAAACAAAGTTCTCACTGAAATAAGTTTTCAAAAAACACTTTTTTTGTTCTAAAACTACTGACGGATTATAAATTCATCAAACTTCATGACTTGTATCAGATAAAAAATTTAGTTATGGGGAGGTATTGGAAATAGGGTTACATGTTTTTACTTTCATACCTATACTAGGTAAGGAAAGTATTGTGATCTGGTAAAATTTCTGACATGCGGTTTTCTACGGATCTATACGTTTCATAGCTACCTGAGTCCAAAAAACACATTTTTAGCCATTGGTCTGTCTGTCTGTGCCAAGATTATCTCGAGAACTAGTGTACCAATTTAGTTGCTTCTTTTTTTATTTTGTAGAGTTTTGACTGCTGACGCCCATAAATTAGGTGCTCCATGCACAATAAATGAAAAATATATTTTTCTCTAGACTATAGTGCTAAAACAGCTCAAACGATTTTGATGAAACTTTCCTACAATTTTCTAATTAATATCCTTTCAATTTGTGCACATGTACTAAAGTCTTGAGAAAATACAGGCAAAATTTATAGAAAAGAAAAATGTTTTGGGGCCTAACTCACTAATTATGTATTCTACGGTAAAATTTATACGAAAAATTTTGAAAGGTAATTAAATTATCTATAAAACGAAAAAAAAATCATCCGAATCGAATCAGTATTATCGATGATACAGCGTATTTTATTTTCTATACATGTTTTAAATTATTACTTTACTACCTATGCTAAAGCATTGTGATCGGGTCAAATTTCTGATATGCGGTTTTCGACGAATCTATACGTTTCAGAGCCCTCTGAGTCCGAAAAATACTGTTTAGCCTATATTTTTTGAAAAGTAACGAAATTCATTTCGGACAATTATTAACGAATTTACAGCTATTCAATTTCATATGTAAGAATATTGGTCTAAGCGGTAAATGAGAGAAAAAAAGAAAATCTGTTGGCCGCATCACCCAAATGTTGTTTCATACATATCTTTTCTTGACTTTTAACAGAAATTATTGATCAACAAAATTGGGCTAAGGTAAAAAAGTGTTTGATTGGCAATATTAGAGTGTATTGAATTTTTTATGCTGATCCACAAGCCATTTTACATTTCTTTAGTTTATCTAAGAAATCTTTTCTTTGATAAATTTTCAGGAAAATAAATCTAATTCAATTTTTTTTTTCTTAATAGACATATTTAAAGATATAAAAACTTTTCTGAAATAGGAAAATGTGCGTGGACACACCAGATTTTTTTTTTTATCTTTGAACGAGAAGATTTCTAACATTTTCCTGGTGACTATCCATTGAAAACAATTCAACAGATTATTGCGTTTAGTTCATTGGACCTTAAAATTATATGAGAAAAATGAATCTGAAAATACTTTATTTTGTATCTTGAGTTTGAGTTAGATATCAACAGGGTTCTATCACCAACATATATTTTTTTTAAAGTAGATTAACAGCCCAGAATTTGATATCAAGATAATTCATAATTGGCTGTAAATGTGGGGATTAGTTCCTCACTCATCGAATGCAGAACAAATTATGAAAAGTCCCTGATTTTCCATGTCTGCTTGCTTTTATCAAAAATGGAAGGTCAAAGACAGCCTCCTAGCAGGTTCAGTCTTGTGTTATGTTAATCTCATATCTCCCTCAAAGATCATTGTTCTTAAATTCTGGAAGTACTAATTTAATTGGCAAGGATGCTTGTTTTGAATTCCATCTAAGTTCTTCAGATAAAAAAAATTATAAATGAGCTGTAAATTTGAAAAATTGGTTAATATTTGATGAAAAATAGTGGAGATGTGTTATTTTTAATAATGTGGTGACGATCTTAAAGCTGAATTCCATCACAGGCAATTTGGACTATAGAGGTAGTTATGATTGTTTCTAAGTTTTTTGACAACATTGAATGAAGTAGCTTTTTATGCTACAGACATTAATCAAAGCTATTGTTTATTTGTGTACTATTTATTTACTCAGTTTCATGAACAATTCATGTTTTCTCCTATGGTTCTGCTGAAACCTCTACTAATATGGTGGCCATAATGGAATATAGGTAGACGTTGTGGTTAAATGTTTCAGTTGAAGTCTATTTAGAGAAAAAATAATATTATAAATACAATGACTTAAGTAGCATTTATGTTTCTATCCTGTCTAATTTAACTCTCAGTTTCTTCTATCAAAATACCTTTTCATCGGAGACTTGGTCTCCAGGGTGACATATCTCATAGATTTTCTGTTAAACTACCTTTGGTATGCTAGATTTTCTTTTAAAATGCGAATCGTTAAAACTCAACATAGAACTTAAACCAATTAAGTAACTTGAATGGATGATAGTGGAAGGGATTATTAGACTTGAACATTTTAAGAATTTTATAGGCAATTGTAACTTCAGTGTTCAATACAGACAAGTATTAATTACTTCATTAAACATTCTTTTGTAATTTTATTTCAACATTTACAGTTTCCAAATATGCAAACTTTTTCGGCTCAATCAGCAATTTTATGCATATAAAACATATTTTACACAAAAAAAAATTAAAAATGTATAAATTCATACAAAATGCAGGATGTCTTAATTCACAATAAATATATATATCTGAATCAATTTCAATCCAGCTGAAAAAATATGCAATTGTATGAGAACCAGGGTTCTATTCATCACTAAACAAAGAGTTAAATAAAAATAATTCATGTTTGAAATTTAAAAGAGTAGATAGATTTTACATCTGCGTAAAGTAACAAACAACAGCAATGATTGTGGGAAAAATGGATCTTTTGGAAAAATTCTTAGTTTTATCGGACAATTTTTTCACATAACATGTCGAAAAAATAACAATGTTAGTAAACATAACATTAAAAGTTTAGTAAATCCTCAACATTTCGCATGAAAAGCTTTAAAAAAATTATGGATAAGTGATACATAAAAGTTATGCTAACAATAAGAAAACCCTGTACAGAGGTGTATCGGGAATCTGTAAATGGAGAGGATCGGCTAAACAGCCGAGCTTGGAGCTTACATAGCTCATACCATATAGCTTCCTACCATTATTTCCCTTTTAGTTACCAATCAATTTGTTTTTAATTCACTATATTTAACCATTTTTTTATAGCAGGTTCAAATGTGAAATTCAACTTAGAGCTAGACTGTTCACATACATACACACAGACCATTCTGTGGAACTTGGTTATTTCGACTCAGGGGGCCTCAAACTTATATTTCCATTGAAAATTTAGAGTCAAAAATGTTCCCGATCGCAATACTCACCCTTAAAACATATAACATATATAGGTAAGTGAAAGTAAAAATATGTGCTTAAAAGTTTAGCTATATCAAAAGTATAGTTTTGAGTAGATGTTTGTGAATTTCAATCGTTTTTATTGATTAAAAAACATTAAATGCAATAAAATAATACTACCACTATTATGGATCAAAAACAGTTACACTAAATGCATAATGTTTATATTTCATAGAGGGAAAATTCATCAAATTATTTAACGTACTAAAATTTTGCTAAGTGATTTGGCAATAAACAGATGATATATTCTATCACTTACATTAAAAATAGATAACATCACAGTTTTTCAATAACAGAAATTTATTGAAAATTTCAGAATCTAATTCGGCTCATTTGCTCCACATATTTTATATTTAACTTACAGTTTGTAGATCTAATTTTGTCTTTTTTAAATATCAATAACACTCCTGATTAGATTAGGATACAAACTATGTCATAATTATTTCAATAAAATAAATTGTATCAACAATTTTAAAATTTAATTTAGTCCTTAACATAAATTACAACCCTGAGAGAGAACGTAAGCTATTACACTACTTAGTCTACTACTTATTAAAAATAAATTCTTTTATCAGCCTTTATATTTCAATCGAGTATATTATGGAGTAGTTTTTTTGAAGTTTCATATGTAAGGAAGAGAGCAGCTGTTGCTGGCATAGTTCGAATGAGAGTAGGGCTTAGACCATTGTAGAGAGCTAAAAAACCTAAATAAGAAAAAAAAATTGTTATAATAATATTCAACAAATTATGCATAACAAATTTTTAACTGACCTTCTTTTCTTATAATTAGTAAAGTGTTCGAAACGAATGATCCCTCTAAACTGCTGACTTGTATCCTTGACTTTACTAAGTCTGCAGGAAATATGACAGTCCATAATGCTACGCCACCTGCGGCTCCAGCAACCATCGTTCCAAGTGGACCTTCATGATAAATTTTCAAACATAAAAAATTTAAAAAGAACTAATAATAACCAATTTTTACTATAATATAATCATTTTTATATCAGTAACTCAAAATCCAGAAAAAAAATTTAACATAGAGCAGAAAAACATACAAAAATTGTTTGCTTTATTTTCACTTCATATTGTGCTGAAATGTGTGAGTCTTAACAATTCATTTAAACATAATTATATCAAACAAAAGGTTATATTTTAACTCGAATAAGATTTTTTTAATATTTTTAACAAACAATTTCAAGTAATAAAATCTGGAGCGGTGCGCGCATCACACAATTTTCACTTACCACCCTCTTCTTAGCAGAAAAAGGTATTTTCAGACAAAGGAGAAGTGAAAGTAAAAATAATAGATGCTATATTTATTTATATTTCATTGAGGGTATTTTTATTTATCTTATAATATCGTGGGTATCTTATATATACACATTTTAATATTTATATCGCTGTAATCTATGCAATTAAATATTAAATAATACCAACAACAGCATTTATGAAAACCACATATGTATATTTATATAAAATTCTCGGATTCCGTGTTATATTAAGCTCATGATAAGTATGGAAACGTGTCCTAATCCTTCGGCGAGCCCACAGACCATTTTGTGGGACTTGGTTATTTGGACTCAAAGGATCTCAAAACGTGTGTTTCCGTTGAAAACTGAGATTTGAAAATTTTCACAATCGCAATACTTTCCTTTACTGTATATTTCATATATAAGTAAATGAAAGTAAAATGAATACAAGTACTACTAACAGTTTATCTCTACAACATTTCTCGAGAAAAGTTAGTTACTGATTTTAACTGCCAAAAAGTTATCAAAGAATTTTCAATAGAATTTTGAAGGAAAATTGTATGATCAATTGAATCAAAAGCCTTTGAAAAATCATAGAGAACAGATTATTATATTATGTTAATCTATAAAGAATTGAAGGTAATAAATAATTTTTAGCAGAGTAAGTTCTATTAAATAGTGAACCAGAAACAACTGAAGGAGATTGAGAACATTTTATATAAGGAAAGGGATAAGATGAAATGAGTATGCTTATTTCAGAAGTTGTTATAGGTTACACAGAATGGGGATCAAAAGGGGGCAGGGTGTTGCATACATGGTGTGCACACAAGCCTAGCGGGCTAACATGTGTGCACAGCAACGCGTTCCACGACAATCTGATGGAAAATAATTTAATAAAAATAATTACGAGTTCACTTCCTGGTGACGAGAGGGCTTTTAACTCTGGCACTAATTCCTTGAATAATGGATCCAGAAAACTAAGACTATTTTCAGAGATTAAAGTATCAAACTTCACGAAAGACTTGGCTGAGGTATGACCATAACAGTAGAATATTAAGTTTAAGGAGAACCTAGGATGAAAACATAAAGCCTTCATGTATTGGGCTTTATAAGGACTGGATATCTTAAAATTGTAGTGAAAAATAAGTTCAATAAAAAAGTCCATAAGCTATGATTTAGTATGGAATTGGAAAAAAAATAATGATTTTGCAAAATACATATTAAGATAAACAAAGTTATCAATAATCTGATTGAATAATAACTAAATTTCACAGTAACTTTAATAATTTAATCTAATTTAAGATAAATAATTATTAAAAAGTTTTACAGGCTATAAATAAAATGAAACTATAAATTCATTTAGGTAGTTTTAATTTTGGGGTATATGATAGAGAATAACATTTATAATTCAATTTTATCACCTAAGTTAAACAATTATAAAAATTTAAAACAAAAAATGATACTGTCTTTAATCAATAAATTTATTCTAAGAATGAAACATTATCTTTTGAATGTAAATGTGATGTAAGTAAAAAACTGAAGTGAGGTTCAACACTAGAATATTCAATATTTAACAGAAGAAAATCATTAAAAGTAGGAATAGAATATTAATAAGTGTTTTTAGGTAGTGTAGTGGTATTTACAACTTTTCCTGGTTGACAACATGCACCTGGTCTATAAGTCAAGTTTTTTCTAAAAATAATTTCTAATAATACAACTAGATAAACCATTGTAGAAATTTTTAAATCTTTAAATATCTCCCAATTTAAACCTTGTTGTGTTGATAAGGACAATGTCCAGACAGGGCCGTGGCGTGAGTTTACGGCGACCAGGGCGAGATTTTACTGGCTCTCCCCAACTCTATCTTAAATCTGCTAATAACCTAATACCCCATGTTTAAATAAAAAAAAGAGGCATAATAATAGTAACAAAGGCTTAGCTATACCAAAAGTTTGATGCCCTTGCTACCAATCTCTGCCAACTTTAACGTTATTGTATTTAGTTTTTATAGTTTCTGTATGGAGGGCAAAGGTTGTGGGAGGAACAAAACAAAGATATTTTTAAAAAATGAAAACAAAAATCATCTTTTAAAATTAAATTGGGTTCTTTGTTAATTGGCTTCAATGTTTATTCCCAATCCCGTGGGGCCCTCCGAGCCCAGTCACCATGTGTCCAGAAGTAATCTAATTTTGACAACAAATGATTATATGACTAATATCCACTACACAATATTAAATCAATCCTACATGGTCCATACAATCTAATTCTAATAAGTGATGCTAATTTCTCTATTCGCTAGAAAATGTTAATAAGCCTCTTCCAACAATCAGTGATTCAGCAGCAAATTAATTATAAACCGGTAATAAATAAAAAAATGAAATAACTTTTGCTGAAAACTACATTACCACAGTCAGACTTAGAACATCCAGGAGGTGCAAACAAGGTCCTGGTTCCTTCGTAAGCACCAAAAAAGACAAAATATCCAGGCATTTCTCTGGCGACAGTTGAACCAAGGCCTCGAAACATACCTTTCATACCTTCCCTTCGAATTATTTCTTTGGTTAATGAATATGGAGTTACTTTGAACTGGAAAAGAAATTTATTTAATAGTTCTGGATAGTATTTTTTACAGAATCAATAAAAAGTATTCCATAAATTAATATAAACTACAACAGCACTGAATCTAGTTTTCGTAACAAGAAATTTTTCTAAATTGTGAATCAATAAAAAAATCGGGTTTAATTAGAATTAGATCACCCAAAGCATAAATATTTTACAAGAATTGTATACTGAATCCTGCTTAACAGACAGAAAGTCTTCAAAAGGTTTAAATGTTAAAGTGATATAAAGGCTGAGTGTCTAGAGCGGATCGAGAGGTAGTTGTCGGGAGGAGAACTATTAGGGTGACCAAAGAATTAGGGAGAAATATTACCTTGCCTAAGAGAGAAATTTTAATAAATGAATTTCAATGATGAATCAACAATCAATTTCTTACAAGGCAAGTTTTTTAATTTTCCTCTCTTCCTAATGCATGATAATTTATTCATGAGTATTGGTATCAGTAGGTATATTTTAAACAGTGATAGTTTTTTTCGATCGCTATTTTAGGAGGGGAAGTTTCTGAGCTATTGAAAAAATCTCCATACTTGGGCAAAATTGTATGCGTCCAAACATCTTCCACAAGATTGTCCTCTCAAATATAAGCAATTTTTATTTTTTATCTGCCTTTGTTATAATTCAGACCTCTCAGCCATACATTAATGCTGGCCGAATAAGTTTTATATATCACCATTGTCTCCTAGGAGAGGAACCAGCTCTTAAACTTTCTTATCATAAGCGTATAGTAGCTTCTATTGGTAGCATTGATTTCTCTCTTAATGTCCTGGGACATGTCATTCTCAACTTAACCTCTGTTCCAAGTAAACTAAGTTTCAATGCTCTTCATTGAGAAGATTGTAGAGTTCACTGTATGAAACAGAGGTTGTTGACCAGTAAGGCCTTGGAGGCTTCATTGAAAAATTTAGGAAATCATCCAAAATTAGGCATATTTATGCACCATACTTCAATCATAACTCTATTTTCATAATACTTTGCAAATATAACAGATGTAATAGAATAAAATGTTTAGTTAAACAAAAATTGTAATTGTATAAAAGTTTAACTATCTCATAAAAGAGAAAAATTTATAGAGCATTAAAAATGTATAGTGTTGTGAAAACGTCTTCGAACAAACCAATTTTGTTTTTTTCCTTACGCTGTATGATCATGACTCTTCTCTTCTGCCATAAGATCTCTTGCTAAAGTTTTGCCAATTTTGACCAACCAGTAATGTCAGAAGAAAAGTTATGCCTTATTTCTTCTAGAAGAGGACATATAAATAACTTGATGTCATGACTAATAATGTGCTGCAAAATGAGCAGTGAGGGTCATCTCTCACTCCGATCCTGTGGAGGTGAGCATTCAAAGAGTCATGGTCTGTGATTGGTCAGAAAGCGACAACCAACTCAGGCCGAAGAAGATCAGGTGGAGCACAATGATTTGCCATATATTTACATAAGAATATGACCTTTTACCATTTTCTGAAATAAAAGTAACATTAAATAGAAAATGAAAAGAAATTGTGAAATATAAAATGATAAATTAAATTTTTGAAAAAAAAAAAACGGAGAATACCAATATTAGAACAATTTTTACAGATATATTCAGTTTCCTTGAGTTAATACAAAAGCTCTTGATGTTAATAATATAGAATAAAGACTGAAATGGATAACAGAGTAGTAAAATTTAAACAATAAGGTAGCATATCCTGAAAATAATGTCAATTCAACGGATAGGTCCCTTGGTTTGTTGTTCATTGAAAATAATAATAATTTAAATATATATTACAGCTACAATGTCTGCAAGGTTACATCAGTTTACAATTAGGAAGATAATAACACTTTTAAATTGAACCATTTGTGATTTTTATCAAATTTGGTTAGTGCAAAGACTTTTTCACATCACTGTACTTGAAATAGAGCCAAAAGAAAAAAACAATTAAGAAACACTTAATTAAGATCTTCAAAATAGAAAGTAAAATTTAATGTACATAGTGATCAGCAAGCTGCCAAAAATGAACAAATATTGATAGAAATTCCAAGATCTGCGTTGTTTGTAGTAAAATTGAAAATTTAAATCATGAACTAAGACATAATGCTAAAACTGGCATTGTATATGTTAATGCTCAGGTAGACAACAATGCTTTATTTTCTTCCAAAAATAATTTCTGGATAAAACAATGGCAGTTATCCTGTTATTCTTTTAAAAACTTCATGAATAAAGTGAAACTCAATTCTTAAAAGAAAAACTAGTCAATCAATGAATAGATATACTAATTATTTACTCAGAATAAATGAGGAATTAGCTATCAGATCTCCATCTCCACATCTCCATTCCAATTTCGTTTCCAAATTGGTAGTAAAAACTGATTTCCTCATCATTAGGTTTCTTTAAAAAGCAATCTCCATTCATTATTCCATGAAGGAAATATATATTTTTTAAATAAGTAAAGCTAATATCGAGTACAGCTCTGGGAAACTGCCAAACCTAATTGGAATATCAGTTGTGGTCAAAGTGGAGATGTCTTCTTTTGATGGCAAATTCCTCCTATACAAAGAAAACCTAAATATTAACAGTAGTAAAATAAAAACTTGTACATCTATTTTATAGAAGCCAAAAAAACAACTAAATAACTAAGCATAAGGAAGGCTACAGGTTTACAAGTTATAACCAGAATTATTAGTTAAAGAGAAAATGTTAGGAACAAATGATGTGTTTAAACATAAATCCACAGGAATCTGCTATTCCGATTATTATTATTAACAGACTTAGGATGTTTTCACTTTCTACAGTCTTTTTCTTCTGCTTTCTCATCCATTCATTTGCCTCTCAGTATGGGAGTGTCTCAAGCCAACGGCACCAGGAGTCTTGGTCACTTGCCATGTTTCTCAGCTCTCCAACAGTATTTTGTCAACCAATCCCTTCGATGTGACTAAGAATCGGACAATACCTATATTAATATCAGCATATTGGCCTTTTGGCCAATATCAAAAGCCGATATACAAGCCTTTTTTTTTTTTTTTTTTAGCAAAGACTGATATATTGGCCTTATGATCTTATTTTATCGAGATTGGTAGAGTTTGACCATTTTTTTATCAAGATTCATAGAGTTTCACTTGCAATATTATTTTTATTGCTAATATATGTGTTAATTAATCATGAAGGGATCGACATAAACATAAATTTAGGCAGATGTATCAGCCTTACAACTTTATTTGATTGAGATTTAAAGAATAAAAAGTCAAATGAAAAAAATAGAACATCTTAGGACACCATGAATGAAGTGGAGAAAATTGGTATCAGTAGTATAATTTATTTCTAAGCCAATATATTGGTCTTTGGAATATCGATATCTAATCAAATGATCAAATAATATGAAAGTAGAAGACCGAAAAAAAAAAAAAATTGAAAAATGGTCAAGCTCTATCCATCTCTATAAAATGTAGTTATCAGGCCTATATATCGCTCTTTGGAATATCGGTATCAGCTAACATTTATGTTTATATCGATTGATTGACATATTTATTTGTAAATATACAAATAATATTTCAAGTTAAACTTTATAAATCTTGATAAGATAAGGTCATAAGGCTGGTATATATCGGTATTCACACACATTACGAGCAAGGGAGTACCAAAAAAATTAAGAACGAAAATGGTCAAACTCTACCAATCTTGTTAAAATAAAGTCATAAGGCTAATATATATCAGTTTTTGCTCAAAATTATATTTATGCCGATCCCTTAACGATTGATTATAATATTCCAAATTTGAATCTCAAAAAAATAAGGTCGTGAGGCTGATATATTGGTCTTTAGAATAGCTCTGTATGTTCAAATAAAGGTAAGCACCTTACTTTACATAGAGACCAAAAAAAATACAGAAAAGGAAGAACTAAAAGAAAACAACAATAATAAATTATAAAAAAAAAAAAAAACGATCAATCTATTAATCTAGATAAAAAAGGTCACAAGGCCAATCAAAATAGGATATTGATTAAAATCTTAATGCCAAAAAAATTAAAAAGGTCGTTTGGTCGTTGTTTTGGTCTTCACCCAAATTTATATTTATGTCGATCCCTTTATGGCGATTGACTGACAAATTTGTAACCAATAATAATAATATTCCAAGATTGAATCTCGATAAAATAAGGTCGTGAGGCCGATATATATGGGTCTTTGGGCTATTGCTATCTGCACAACTTAGACAAAGGGGAGGACAAAATAAATAAATTTAAAAAAATAGTTAAACTCTACCAATCTCGATAAAATGAAGTTATCAGGGCGAGATATCGATTTTTATTAGATCAGTATCTGCACAAATTTATGTTTATGTCGATTCCTTAAAGACTGATTGACACGTTTGTTATGAATACAAATAATATTTATTCCAAGAGAAACTCCAGGCCAATATATCGGTCTTGGGGGTAACCAGTATTTGATCAAATTAGGGAAAAGAAAGAACTAAAAATAATAATGATGATAAATTTAAAAAAAAAATGGTTGTCTACTAATCTGGAAAAAATAAGGTTGTAAGGCTGATATATCAGTCTTTATTCAAATTTATGTTTATGCCCATAATTTACAATTGATTGACATATTTATTAGCAATAAAAATAATATTCCAAGAATGAATCTCGATAAAATAAGGTCATAAGAATAATATATTGGTCTTTAGAGTATAGGTTTCAGCACAAATTTTGTAAAGAGTATATATATATATATATATATATATATATATATATATATATATATATATATATATATATATATATATATATATATATATGTGTGTGTGTGTGTGTGTTTTTAGAATATTGGTCTAACCGTAGATGTTACATGCACAATGTTACATTGACACTTTCATGCTGTAATTACAAGAATTTTCTATGCGACTGAATTAGACATAAAGAACGAAAGGCCGATATGCTGAAATATATGTTTATTGATCTTTTATTGTTAAAAATTTGTGTGTAAGCGTATGCATAGATGTTCTATTTATTCTTTATAAACTGTACAAATCTTGGCAGAAAGGGGGAAAAAAGACCAATTTAGCCAATATATCACCCTCTGAAATATCGGTTTCGGCCAAAATTTGTATATCAGTCAATCCCTAGATGTGACCAAAGTAGGAATTCCTGGGGTCTATACCTCTGGGCCTCTTGCCCAATGGTATTACCTCCATCGTTTTGATAGGGTGGTGTTCCATGCCACATAGGTGCCAAGTCGATTTTCTATTACTTTCTGGACAGGACATATCCTTAGTTCTTCCCTGATTCTCTCATTTCTAATGCAATCTCTTCTTATCTTTCCTATTATTTTCGTCAGAAACCTCATCTCAGTTGCTGTGATTCTGCTCGGAAATTTTTCAGTCAGTACTTTTCGTACAAGAAACACTTATAAATATGATCTAATACCTGACTTGTCTTTTTTACTGGTCCAGTCATTTCTAATTCTCGGGCTGCTTGCATCTGCACTTTAATCAACTCAGTTGGGCATAAAGTGAATGATGAAAAAAATGCTGCAAGAAAACCAGCTGTGGCATTACTCATAGTGGATAAATTTTCGACATCCTAAAACAGTTAAGCACAATTAATTATGCATAAATTATTTTAAAGATAAATCTTCTATGAATATTATTTAATAAATATATTTGCTATCTAATCATCCCAATTGCCCAATATACAATAAATTTAATTTAATAAAAAATTTATATTGATAATATTAAAGAAAAAAAGGAAGACATTTTCAATAAAAGTAAAACTAATAAAACTCCCAAATTTTTATTTTATAATTTAACCATTCTTAGATTGGTTTTAAATTACTAAATGCTGTAATTTTGCAAAAGGTTTTTGTGAACGAATCCTATTTAATGAAAAAATGGTATTTACAAATCAATTACTGAACCAAATTCCTTCATGGTTGATGGTAGTACAGAGCTTTGTTTTATATTAATGAAAGTTGTACATCACCTTTTTCGTATTAGGTCTCCTTATGGTAATGCTAGTAGATCCATAAAAAAGCAAAAAAAAAATACAAAGACAAAATTTACTTATAATAATATAATTTACTTTAGAAACGACAATGTGTTGTAAATGTATTTTTGGGGTAGTTTTTGGGTTAAATTCAGATTTTGAACTGGAAATGAGCTGTTTTCTATTGAGCATGAAATCTAAACATTGATGTTTCATAAACTAGCGATGAGTTTTCCCAAAAGTAATGTATAACAAGTTGTAAAGAAATAAGTTTCAACCTTTTCATTCAATTGGACCTGCACACTTCAACCTCACAAGAAGAGGACCCGCACCAGGGAGGCCGCCGGAACAGGGAGGAGTGGAATAAAGCTATAAATAGCAAATCTACATATGACGATTAGTCTCGTTGCAGAAGCAGGCAGTTATGCAGTGACGTGTAACAACCCAGTTCTGCAAAACCCGTATTGCCTTAATGGCATGGTAGGGTTCAAATAAATAAAGTTACAATCAAACATGATTGTAGGGCATGTGGTGTAAATGATGTTTCGCTCAGGCAAATACTGACTAAGAAATTGAAATTAAAGTTTTCTTTTTCATAAGATTTAGTCAAATCAGGGCCATCGAGAAAAACACAACAAAGGCACAATTTTTCCTGGGTCACAATCAAATCTGAAATTCAGCATTGTAACCCAACCTTGTCTTACATAATGTATGTAAAAATATTATGCAAGTATTATATGATAAATAAAATATTTTGTTTTACAGAATTCAGAGGGTATAAAATAAAACCTTGTAGGCTTTGCCACAGTGGCTGAAAGATGGAAAAATCCTATTTTTTGAAGTTATTTTATTTTCGTCAATGATAAATAGATTACCTATAAATAGTTACCTAAGATATTTCACTAATTTAATTGGTAAAATATTGATTTTGAACGTTGTACCTCCTATGTAGCCTCCCAAATCCGACCATAGAATAATGTTTGAATTACAAAGAAAATTGTTCGACATTATTATTGCCATTCACATTTTGTATGTTTGGTGCGATTTTCCTTTATATTCATAGACAGGTATTCCAAACTGTAAAACTGTGTGAAAAAAGAAATTACTAATCCAAATTTTCAAGTCCACAATACTATTTTGATAAAGTACTAAAATAAATGGAAAAACAAATTTTTCTTGGTGGGAGACCGCAGGTCTAACATCTACTTGTTTTGTTTATTAAGACTAGAATCCTAATAAGATATTAAAACAGATACTGGCTGAGTCCACCTGCATCTGTAATTTATTCATGTAAATTTAATTAAACTTATGAGTGTATTTTAGAGGAGTGTCTAAAAATGAATAAATAACCTTTTTTTTTTTTTAAATAAATATCATTTATTTATTTTTACTTTTTTCATTGAACGCCCCAATCAACTTCTCTTCAATAGTTTTAGGTATATTGTTTTGTAATATATAAATTAATCTATATTTTTTTTGTATTTTAAATTAGTCATTGAGCCCTAAAAATATCAATTAATTTGTTTAAAAATGAGAATTGGTTTGGTTTTATTTATTGGCATTAAAAATAAAAATTCTATCGTATTTTTATTATATGTCATATATTATTATTATTTTAACTGATCGGCTCTATACTCTTTAGTTTCTTTCATAAGTTAGTTCTCGGGCAAGTAAGTTATGAGCCTACTGTGCCCAGAGCCTGATGGAGGGATTGCCTCCTTTACAGCTTTCAGGCCAGCTCTCCCATTACTTCACGGGGAAGATGTTATACCACCGCTACTGACCTGATACGGTGTTTCATTCCTAAGAATACACCCATTCAGGCTGTAATGGGACCCTCCTCCTTTACCAGGGCTTGGGACCTGCAGCTATATATTTATATTGTAATGTTCTCGTTCCCTCCAAAATTAAACAACCAGTTTCTTTTCAATATAACATTTATTTCTCACACATATACAAATTTCCAGTTTGGGTTTAGACAACTAACACACATCCTCCATTATACAATAAAAAGGCATACATAATTTTATTACACTTGTTAATAAATTTCCATTCTATTCCACTCCTCAACCAATCGATCACATTTCAAAAGTCATTGATTTATTAGTCTTATTGTCAATCATTATTATCAGTCTGTGTTTTTAAATTTTTTTTCATGATTATAGGATTTAATTTGAGATGATGAAAATGGAAATCCATGAGTGGTTCGACAGCATTAGGAGAAGCCATTTACATTTATTTATTAGGGTAATGACAACTTTAAATATATTATCAGAATAAAAGCCCCAAATTATAATAAATTAAAATGTGTATGTATTTTATTGGTTTATTAGCCTCTACCTCGGCAGGTACTTATTCCAAGAGGATTACCATACAAACAACAGACCTTATTAATTTATTATTTTCACCCTACCTTACCATACAGCAATACAGGTTTTGGTCAGGGTTGCATAATAAACAATTTATCAAGCGTGTGACACAACTTACACAAATAAACAATTTATCAAGCATCATGACGTACCATCCCGTTTTCCTGCCTATATTGTCCCTAAGTCCTTCGAATACAGTGCAGGTCATTAATACTTGTTCGGCAGTTTCTGGAATGCCGCACCTGGGACACAGCGGGTCGATGTTCTTGCCAAAACTGTGCAGTTTGGCCCAAAAGCCTCCATGTCCCGTGAGGACTTGCGAAACCCAGTAGTCCGAGAGCACCCATTTCGCATTTAATCTTGAGTGCACTGTCGGAAAGAACTTCCTTAGCATCGCTCCTTTTGAGGTTGTCGACCATTGTCGATTTCATTCCTCCATTCAGTTGTTATTGGAATAATTATATATTCGACTAAATATTAATTCAAATAAATTTTTATTCGAATAATTTTTTTTCCAATTGAAATTTTAGATGGTAAATAAATGACTAAAAATTTATTCGGATGAAATTCCAATAGTTTTTATCATATATTTATTAATGGTTAAAGATAATGACTAAAAAGTTAATCATTTTTTTATCCGAATAAATTTTTTATGGACTAACGCCCAACTTTGGAAAATACCTACCTTTTTTTATGCTTAATTATTTTAATACTTAAATTCTTGTAAATAACTATGTTATAAATATCTCCAGATATATTTATTTAGTCTCACTCTTAAGTTGCTGTGTTAGACATATAGCCTAACCTAGGCTGTCAAAGCTCAGCTAGCTTCGACATTCCAGGAACACACTAGTCATCTAGACCTGACATTACTATAGTATTACCACATAAGTAATACTACCACACTCTAAAACTAATATACTTAAAATATACTATACAATGTCAGACATAAATATCTCCATACCAAAGGATCTTAATAAAAATAGTTTATTAACGATTCACCTAATCTTAAAGATAAAGAGTTAAATTCATAAATTCAAAGTCTACTAACTGCAAAGACAATATAGTATTGATGTTAAATGATGTTCAGATTTCAAGTTTCTAACCGAAGTATTAGTAAGAAGAGCCACAAATTTTTGGCAACCACCATATGCGGCAAAAAGCACAGAATTCTCAGCAACACTAGCAATTAGGGCGGGAACTGTACCTGCGTACAGACCACGCCTTACTCCTTCAGTTCGGAAAGTTTGTTTAAAGCAGTCCCATGCTCCAGAGTACAGGCTAGGAAACGTTTGTAATTTGACTTTCACTGTGTCTAATGGCTGTCCAATATAAACAACTGCCATCCCTCCTGTTAAAAATAAGAAATATCAAATAGCAATTAGTGACAATAAACAGAGATTAAAAATAAATAAATGTGTATGTGTATAAATATTGGTTAAGTTGCTGAAAGAGAACATTAGAAAAAAATTCTTAAAAACAGTATGAATAATAAATTTTAAATATCTCAGATATATAGTTTATAATGGCTAGCTGAATTTGTTGTTAGACCAAGTGTAGTGGATTATGTAACAGGTGTAATCTCATTACATCATAGATGTTAATAAAATTGATTCATTTATAATTTAAAATTATTAACGTACACTTTTAACATCATACTGGTGAGAAACTAAATAACAACTAGATTTATAAATTTGAAACGAAAAATAAAAACATCCTAATCAATAAATTATAAACAATTATAGTAATCAAATATTTTAAAAAATTCCTAGTTTAAAAATATAGTACAAAGTGAGCAATTTAAAAGTTAAACTTGTTTTTTGTATTTAATTTGATAATATGAAAATTTTACTTTGTATAATTTTATACTATTAAAATACAGAAAACATTAATTCATAAATAAATAACACACTGCTATCCTAAAAAGAAATTAGCATTTACCTAAAGAACCACTAATGAAATCAATTGTTCCATCCAACCAATCTCTTTTTCTTTCTTGAATTTCCATCTTATCAAGTTTTTTCAAAATACTTTTGTAGTATCGTCAGACAATTGAACTGAAAGTTAATTTAAGAATAGCAATATTTCAAAATAATATACCATTTCATTTTTATTTCTAATGAATTCCTGATACAACCAAGAGATAACTCAAATTCAAACCAAATGATATGTATTCAAGTAAACTGTTATCAATTTCTTATCAAGTGATAACATTACATCAGCGTGTAAGATAATCGATTTCAAATTATTAATGAACAATTATTACATTAGTTTGTTTTCTACCTAAATATATTATTAAAACAATAGGGTATGTGATAAAAATATCTTGTTGTGGAGTATATATGAGATATGTATTATTATAACAAAAAATCGATATATCGTAATTTAGTTATTGAAATGAAAAGAAACAACAGAGCCATTGCTACCTCCAAGTCAACAAAGAAGGTGAATACGTCTAATTTTTCTTAAAGGAGAAGAAATAGGATCATCCGCTTGGCAGTTGAGTATAGTACTTTTAATGACTTGTATTTACCCTATTTGTTATTAAAGTATGATAAAATGTCCTGGTATCATCAATGGTCTGACGGATTAAAGAAGAGAGCCTGTAGATATTTACTACAAAGGTATTTAGGACAGTTTTTAGAAGAAAAACTTAGCCTAGATCAACTTGAAGTAAATGTATTCAATGGAACTGGGTCTGTATCTAATGTTAGTTTGGATGTCCAAGCTCTCAATGACCTAGGAGAAAAAAAAAATTTACCAATTGAATTTGTGGATGGATTTTTGGCTGAAATATCTGTATCGATTCCTTGGGCAACCCTTCTTACTGATTCTATTTTCATTGAAGTGTCTGGATTACAAATAACTATACAGCCTAGGCAAAGAGTTGACAATGGAGAATCTATGTTGGAATCAGTATGGAGTTCCATGGCTAGTAGCATGCAGCTGGCTGCTGAATGTTTTCAACAAGATTCTACACTACAAGATGAAACAGTTTTAGAAAATGAAAATACTATGGAAGGTGTTGAAATATTTGCTCAAACTATTGAATCTGTACTAACCCGTGTTAAAATTAAGTTTATTGACACCACATTACGTTTAGAACATTTGCCAAAAGGAGGGAAAAATGGAATAGCTGTAGAAATTAGAATAAAAATAATAGAATATTGTGATGAAACTAGTGATGAGGGCAATGATAGCGAAGACAAAAAAATGCCCATGTTTAGTATTAAAAAATTTCATTGTGATGGAATTTGTTTTTACACAGATGAATTCCCAGTTGAAAGTAGAACTTTTTCCCGCTCAGTTCTACTTGAAGAAAGTGATATGAGTAGGAGTTGTAACAAAGAAAAGATAGAACCTGTTCCAATATTAATATGTAAACTATCAGGTGTTCAAGAAATTAGACTTAAATCTAAAAAGTTGGAAAATATTACTCCAGGACCAAAATTTGATTTAGATTTTTCTTTTGGTTCGTTGTCATTATTTCTTTCTCCAAGGCAACTTCATTTATTAATTGAAATTGTTCACAGTTTAAGTATTCCTCACATTCAGGATACTAGCAATGTAAAATATAAGAAAAGTGGTGATAAAATGTTAACGTCTGAAGACTACAAGAAAATAGAGCAAGATTTAAATGATAAATTAAACCTACAAGGTGCTTGTAATATAAACAAAACTGTATTAGGTAAGGGTTGGGTTTCTAATTCTATGGAAGAAAGTTATGAAGAATTTTTTCCTTTTGGTGCAAGATGTTCTCAGTCAGCTAGTCTGTATTCAAACAATACTGACATGTCTTGGGAAACAAGTGCTTCTACTGTATATAATAGCAAAGCTGATCTTCATTCTTATGCATCATCTAATTTAGGTATGTATCATGATAAGTTAGAAAAGGGAAAGTCATCTGATTATGAATTATGTGGAGAAATAACAGCCTTCCACTTAAGATTGTCAAGTATAGCTGTGGTAATTTTGCATGAAGACATTTTAACATTTGGTGTCGATACTTATACACTCACGCCATCTTCCGTCTCAACACTGAATAATTTATCAATTCAGTTTTTTGATCAAATTGGAAAAGGTGGCATTTTTGGTGGCAGTAACAAAGATTTTGAATTTTCGAAAGCTTCCTTTCTAAATGCCTGTAATCTTGATCATATAAGGATAATGGGTGCAGCCATCATTGTGGAAGGAAAGGAAGGGGGAAGTTTATACAACAGATTCTGTAACACCAGGATTTCTGTAGCTAATTTTGAACTTTTAGAATGCCTTATTGAACCAAATTCTGGAAAACCAGAATATGTTGAATTATTAAAATTTATGAAAAATTCTCAGGAATGCCCTATTGAAGCTCATTATCCTATTTCAAATCAACCTGACCTAAAAGTGTATATTGTTCAAAACAAGAAAACAAGACCATCACACATTTCTACTAAAACTGAAGTAACATTTTCTTTACAGCAATGTTTGTGTGAAATTGATCTTTCATTGTATGATAGATTATCTTCCTTGTTGAATGGTCAGCCTCTGTGTCACACAGATTTTATATCAAAAGGCTTTCCAAAGAATACTCCTTTTTATGAAGCCTTTGAAAATACTACTATTATAGATCATCACATCAGTTTGAAAATTCAATGCCCCTTTTTTGTATTAAAATTCAGATTTCCTATACCTGATCTCCGCCCTGATATTGATAAAGGCAGACATCCTTGGTGGAAAAGGTCAATAAGAAAAGATGTGTTGTATATTAATTTAGTTGACCCAATTTTTCAAACAGAAATAAATTATCTTGGGGCATTTGTCGACTATAATTTACAATGCAGTCGTATAACTCTATTATTCCAAGAAGGCGATTCAAATGTCCCTGTTCCATTTTTGTACTCAGCACCAAAAGATGCTAATGAATCTGTACAGCATCACTTTTATGAATTTCCGAGACTTTCCATTAAACTTAGTTCCCCCAAAGCTATTGATGAGATGGAAGATAATGGAGAGAAAGATGATGCTAATGGGCTAACTTGTTCATTTATGGAAACACCAATTAAAGAACCATCACCATTTACTTCAAAACGATTTGTTAAAAGTAATCCATCTGATAATGCTTCTGAAGGAGAAGAAATCATTACTCCGTCTAATAAAGAAGATTTGAATAAATTTATTAATGATTCACTCGAAAATTCAAGTATTCAAATTGATGTTATACTGCCTTATATCCATGTAGATTTTTCATCTAAACATCTTTATGAAGTGTTGTACAATAGGTTTAGTTCTGATATTTCATTATGGCAATCTTCAGCTTTGAAAGTTACTCCTATTAATTTAAGTTCAGATTCTGATAATATTTTTCCATCTGGTTTCATTGGCAAATCTTTCTCTCTATGCAAATCTGGACTTCAATTAGGAGATTTTGATGATGAATTTGTTCATTCTGGGTATCATCCAACTTCATTAGATCAAAAGCCTATTTATAAATTTAATCAACAAAGCCATCTAGCTTTTAAAATTCAAATAAACAGTGGTTACCTTAATATTTGTCCTAATTTAAAAGATTCATCTGGTAATATAGTTCCCGACAAACATGGACAGCTTCAGTTTACCTTGGATAAAGCTAACATATTCAGTGTCAATAATTATAAAGGAACTTTACAGAAAAATTATGTTTGTTTCCAAGTTGAAAATATGCGTATGATGCATCAGCCAGTTGTCGAAAATACTCATAAAAATTCTGACTCTTATTTAAAAGACATTATTTATAAAAGTAAGGAAGGGATGTTACATAATAAAGTAGATGTTTCACAAACTAATACCAAGCCTGATATGTTCACTGCAGCTATTAGTTCTAGTATAGATTCAAGAAGAGTGAAGACAATTTGTGTTGCTTGTGGTATTAATGGTGCCACTTTAAGACATTATGTTTCTCAATCTGAGCACTCTTGGTTAACACAACTATTGGATTTTTTTGATGTTGTTGACTATCCAGTGAAAGGGTATGATTCTCCTCAAGCTCTTACAGAGCTCCATTTTAATCTAGAAGACTCTGCAGTGGACTATAGACCTAAATACCTCAAAACCCAATGTGTGATCTATTTTGGAAATTTCAGTATCATTAGTTCTATGTCAGCAAAAATAAAATCTTCAAGATTGCGTTTTATAGCAGAAGAAACTAATTTATTTATTTCTGAAAAATGTTCTAAACACATTGATATAAACTTGCGAAATGACTACATTTCAGTTATAGATCTTGGTTTGTTTGACCTTTCGTTACAACTTAATGATCAGCCTGACCTTCCAAAAGTTGATTTAAGAGCTTCTAGCGACATATTAAATATTCGAACGTGTGTTGATTCCGCGTGTTCATTAGCTCAATTAATAAAATATTATGCTTCAAATGGGGATATGAATGTAATTCAACAAGAAGAAGAGAATCAATCAACAGATCCATATTTGGAAAAAACCTCTGAGAGTGATGATACTGATCCATCTTCTCCAAGTCGAGGGGAAGTTCAAGGTATGATGGAAGATGCAATGAAAGAAATAACTAGTGACATTGAATCTGTTAAAGTATCTGATCAAGAAGTAAACGATGAAGTTGAAGTTTTTTATTTCCCTGACGAAGGCAAAAAATTCGAGGGCAAAGAGTGTGTATTTGATTGGGCTGCTGGGGATATTGATTCTGAAAGTGAATTTTGTTTTGTCGATCATGAGAGTGCTGCAGATTATCCTAACCCCAATTCACCTCCAATAGTCCGAATACTGACTAATGATCCTATTGTTATAATAGACAATTATTTTACTGTTTCTCCCGGAAAAATCGACCATCTTCTTGCACCTAAGCATTATCCCTCTCCTGTTTACATATATACTCTATCAGATATAAATGTTGTATGGCATATGTTTGGTGGAAATGACTTCAGTTGTACTACTGTTGCCAAAAAAAATATATCATTTGATTTAACAGATAATAATAAGTCAAGCATTGAGATCAATACAGAAACTGATCCGTTTGGTGTTGGGTATAAAAAAACATGCTCTGCTAAGTACTGCAAAAATGGCAAGAACGCCAGAAATAAAAGAAACAAAAAATGGTATGTTGTTGGTGGGCAAAATAGAAAGCATGATGTATTGATGCAGCTAAACTTTAGTAAGCTTCGTTTTCAACATGAAATTTATCCTGAAAAAACAACTCAAGCGTCAAGACAGGTTTTATTGATTCATAATTTTGAAATATGCGATAAACTTAAATCATCTGAAATAAATAAATTTTTATATCAATACTCAAGTGAAACAAAGCCACTTCAGTCCAATGCTAATATGATAATGGTGAAAGCTGTACATTTACGTCCAGATACAAGAAGAGATGTGCAGGAAACTTGTTTGAAAATATCAATGCTTCCTCTGAGATTAAATATAGACCAAGATTCAATTGAGTTTTTAATTGATTTCTTGTATAAACTATCTGTTATGAATACCAAACAAAATCCGAAGAAAGGTTTATCTCATCACCCAAGTGGAAAAAAATATAATCCTAAATGTCAACTTCATGATAATTATAAAGATCAACAATCAAACAGAACCCAAACTGATGAAGAAATGACTTCTGAGAATATATCTAAATCTCATTCTTCTCCTTTATACATAAAAAAATTTGTTTTTTCCCCAGAAGTACCTATAAGAATAGATTATGTGGGGAAAAGAGTAGATATGAGCCATGGGCCGATGGCAGGCATTATAATGGGACTTGGGCAGCTCAACTGCCTTCAAATCAAATTAAAAAGACTTTCTTACAAACATGGATTATTAGGATTAGACAGGCTTATAAAATATGCTTGTGATGAATGGATCCATGATATTACTAAAACTCAAATCCCTAGCTTAATTGGTGGTGTTGGTCCTATGCATGCTCTTTTTCAATTGTTTGCTGGAATCAAAGACCTTTTCTGGCTTCCAATAGAGCAATATCAAAAGGATGGAAGAATATTTCGAGGCATTCAAAGAGGAGCAAATTCTTTCACTACTTCTACAGTAATAGCTGCTTTGGAACTGACTGCTAGGATTGTTCAAGCCATTCAAAGTATTGCAGAAGCAGCATTCGACATGGTATCGCCTGGCCCTAGTGTAAGAAGAATACATGGTACAAAATCTAAAAAACCTCACAGATATTCCCATCCTGCAGATATTAGAGAAGGTGTTACAAATGCTTATGCCTTGGTTAAGGAAGGATTAGAAGAGACAGCTGAGACATTAGTTCGAGTAGCCAGTGCAGAAGCAGAACAGAAAGGTGCCGTTGGAGCTGTTGGCGGTGTCCTCAGGCAACTTCCACCGTCTATGGTAGCTCCTATTATTATAGCTAGTGCAGCTACTTCCAATCTTATTGGTGGAGTGAGAAATCAACTTGCTCCTGATTCCAGAAGAGAAGCTTCTTTTAAATGGAAAAATAATGAAACTTGAGTTTATAAACATCACAATTAAAAACTGTACGTACATTTTAAAAAACAGTTATTGTATATTAACTTTAATTTAAACTTAAGCATTTTACGCTTGTGAGCAAAATCTTGTTGCTATAATTTACATTTTTGTGTATACATTTTATTCTTTCAGGGATGTCAAATTTTGTATTTTGTTAATAAAATAAAATATAGACTGTCTCTCTTATACCTATGCATCACATTTTATTTTTATATTTTATTTATGTGTTATTAACTTTTTAACATGCCTTTAAGACAGTCCAAATCGCCAATTAAATCTAAAAACGTTTTTATGTATATTATATTGTGTTGTATAAATATGAATATTATATTATACATAATTTTTTAATAATTGAAGTTAGGTATATTTGTGTGATTATTTCTGGATTGAAATGTTTTTTTTTTTTAATTTGTGGATGGGTTCAGCTAGTTTTTGAATATACTGAGTTATTTCTATAAAATTATGTATATTTTTTCATTAAGCCTTTAGGCCCCCCACTTTTTTTTTTCTTTTTTTTTAAGAACATAACTGTATAATGTTAGTGATAATATGATAACTAGTCACAGCTATTGATTAAGTTAGACCATCTGGTATCCATGTTAGTTTTGTTTTGAAGTTCATGATGAATGTTGGTCCAAATCATTTATACGCTTCTTTCAAATTAAGTTTTTATACTTAATTCTGGAAGTTAGTTGAAAGGAAATAGATTAATTATTTTTTTATATAGATTTGCTGTATTTTTTAATAAATAAATGTTTGATTATGAAGTTTTGTGTACTTATATGAAAGAATATATATATACATATATAATCCCTTATCAAATCTAAATGATACACCGATTTCTAGTTATATATAATATATGAACTGTTAAGTCCGTAAGTGATTTAACCAAAAAAATAAAGCTTTTAGATATTCAACATTTAGGCGATATGTTAAAAATTGTCAATCTCAAACGTTTTCAACTGTTTAAAAGCATGAAATAAATGTATTCAATAATTAATTAATTAATTAAAATTGGTCACTATTTTTACATTCAATGGCTCATATGAAAAATATATTGGAAATAATGTTCTTAAAAAATTGTGAAATAAAAAAAATAACTTTTTATGCTTTCATAAATTTCATTTAAGAGTCAAGCTGTGCTATTAAGAAAGAACTGGGATTGATACAATGGAAAAAAAAGAATATTTTTATATTGAATTTAAACTATGATATACACGGCAACATTTTTTAGCCCTGTTTCACTTTCATATATATGTGTATGACTTATTCTGTACCTAAGTGTGTACTTTTTTTTTTAAATTTCATTGTTATGAATTTTAAGGAAGATTTGTTAAAAAAATGCAATAATTAATAGTAATTCTTATAAATAACAATTATAATCATCATACTATGTTTAATAGAAAGGAAAAGATAATGACGAAAATTATATTTTATTGCATGGTAGATTGATCACCTTCAAGATCTACAAAATGATATTTTATTCTGATGGTCAGGACATTAAACCGGTCCTGGCCTTAGACTTTAGGCATAATAATGATTTTCAAATAAATTTGTTATGAAACTGTATTTTTCGCGCAGATCTCTATTATAGTAAGTGATCTGTATTTATAAGTGACAAACTAAGTGTTCCTGATTGTAAAATTTACGTTTTCATGAAAATAATTGAAGCCACCATCAGATTTATTTATTTTAAACATAAATTTTAGCACTATAAACATTCAGTTTGTCATTTATTAATACACGTCATTTATTAATACTGCAGTATAGTTGTATGTTGAAAAAAAAAAATGTGATTAATTTATAATTTTTTTAAACAGAACTTAGCTTAGTTAAGCTGCTCATAAGTCTTCTTTAAATGGTTTTCACAATAACAAACTCTATTTTCATTTAAAGTCAATTTTGTCTAGTTTATATTTAAACAATTATTAATTACTTAAACTAAATATTTCTTTAGTTATCGCTTCCTATTCAACAAAAAACATGAAACTTGGAGTTCCTACTTTTCTGCTGAAAATTGGTCCATTATTTATATGAAATTTCTTATAGGCCTATCACTCCTATAAAATTTTCCCTCTACTCACGGGACATCCTGTACATGATTAAATTGTGGACAAGGGCGTACGCAGCTTTCATATTGGGGACAAGACAGAAAATCTCAGGTAGATAAATGATTTCAAACTCTGTGATATTACATTAAGTAGTTTGTAGTTATTACAATTTGTAAATATTTTTATATGAAATACTATGTATACATAGAACAATTTAAAAAAAATAAATTCCTTGAATTTTTGACAAACCTTTTGTATTATATTATGTTTTTTCAAATTATTTAGGGGGGGGCAACACTCACCCCACCTGCTGTGTATGCCCATGATTGTAGAATGATAAATATATGGTGGAAAAAAAAAACTACTCCAAATTATTTCAATGCATACTTAAGTAAGTATTATCACCTTAAACTTAATAAAATTACAAATACAAATATTTTACACGATTGAATGAACAATTTAATATCACAATACAAAGACATAACTTCCTACCTGAGAATAGAAAAACCATATAACTTCCAATGCTATATTACCTCATCATTTCTACTCATTCTCACTTAGCATTATCCTAAAACCTGTTCATTGTAGCTTACTGTTTATTTAGTAGGTAAGGTATTAAATATTAATTTTCAATGATCACAAAGATAATTTAGTTTCCTTTGAACTTAGTTTAGTATATCTAAATAATAAATGTGTATTCTAACTGCGGTAATTTTAGAGAATAATTATTTTTTCTCAACAAAGTTTTTGCAAATCTGTTTTTTTTTTTTTTTTTCACTGGAGAACAAATAAGCTTTTGAAACCTTTCTAAAATACTGTTATATTTATTGATTGATCCACAGAAAAAATTTATAATTTAACATAAACAATAATAGAAATTATACATATATATGAGTTTATGTATAATTTTTTATGTCATCTATTGTCTTTCATATCATGTATCCATATAAGTATACAAAGTTCAGTCTATGATTTTCACAGCGCATGCAATACTGTTTTTCTATGTATACTGTTCAGTTATTTTATAGTCTTCTATTTTTTTTTAACCTCTCTCCGTCTTGTGTTTTGCTCAGAACAGGCAACCTACGAACACTTTAAAAGTAAGTTCATAGTTACTACATTTTCTCAGCCCCAAACCAACTTCTTAATTGCATTCAATGCAGTGCCAGCCTTATGGCTGGGCAAGCAGATTAATTGCCCAGGGGCGCTCGTCATTTGTTATAAATAGAAAAAAAAAATTAAGAGTTCAGGATTTTTTTACAATTGACAGTCTATTTTATTGATTTAAAACTTTATTTGTAAAGAAGCTTTCGGTGTCCATGCACCATATTCATCTCTATAATTATAATATCCCAATTAACAGTTAATTAACAATATCTGATACATAATTATTTGAAATGTTATGCAATTATTATCAGATCATGCCATACCTTTTATTAGTTTTGTCTATTTAAAAACATAAATCATAAGAACAGCGTTCTTGTTCTTCGTCTCATGTCAGCTTTCTCCGAGAATAGGACTCCTCTTTGTCGAACATCTTACTGAGTGCTGAGGATTTACTGTCAGCACACTCTATATTATCGCAACTATTTGGTAACTAAAGTTACCCTACCTTTTTTTAATTTACTATTATTTGAATTTTTATGGATGGTTGTTATTTGTGAATAGTGTTGTGAGATGTGGGCTGCTTCCTGTTTTGAATTTAGCACATTTCTTTCATTTATTGCTATATAAATGGATTCTAAAATTTTTAGTTTTGATCGGTGATTTGATTTATGAAGTATTTTAATATTTTCGAAATCTATTTCATGTCTGGTTTTTTTCATGGTTTGATAAAGCGGTAACTGTTTTTGAGATAGGTTTAAGGGTACTTTTGTGGTTATATATTCTGGTTTTTATATCGGTCGATGTCATTTCTATATATGATATGTCACAATTTTTACAGGGCTATCATAAATTAAATTTCTATTGTTTTGGATAGGTGTTGGGTCCTTTTTCTATGTCAGTAAGTTTCATATGGGATGTCTGGGTTTGAGGACGAATTTGAAATCGTCTATGTCTAATTTTTTAAAGGTTTTTATGTCAGTTTCTTAATGTGCGTTAAGGATTTAATTTTTTATTATTATTTTTTAATGGAAACTGGTTCGAGTATATTACTATTTTCTGAAATACAGATCACTTACTGTGATGGAGATCTGCGTGAAAAATACAGTTTCATAACCAATTTTTTTGAAAATCATTGTTTTTTTAGGTATAAAACATGAAAACTGTAAAACACACTTAATCAATTTTCATCATCACATAGTTCTGATGATAAAAATTGATGAAGTGTGGTATAAGATTGTTAAATAGAATAGAAAAAAAAAGTAAAATGTTAATAACAGGCATTAGAAAGAAGAACAGGAGATGAAGAAAAACCATAAGGAAGTGAAAAATAAATGTTTCTGAAGATGGACAGAGTCCGAAACATTAGAATTATGAATAAATTGGCATATATGCAAGAGAAAAGTTTTAATGCTTATACCTAAAATAACACAAAACTCTTCCTTAAGTAAATTATAAACATAATTTTTTAAGAAACAATTTCATAAATAAAATGTCTATTTAGACAATTATGATTATTGTAATATATCCTAGATCATGGAAAAACCAGAATTAAAACCTTTACAACAATTAATTATAGTAATTTTTCCTTAAAACATCGGTACTTTTAGATGACAGGATAGAAATCACATCACTTTTTTTAGACAATTTGATGTGAATCTCAATTTTTTCCCAAATAAACCTAAATTTAATTAGTGTAGTCTTAAAGCTTTATTAATGAGTTCCCTAAAAGTGGGGTAACTGGAGTATAGTTGTATGATGGAAAAAAAAATTGTGAATAATTTATAATTTTTTTAAACAGAACTTAGCTTAGTTTAGCTGCTCATAAGTCTTCTTTAACTGGTTTTGTCTAGTTCATAATGAAGCAATTGTTCATTACTTAAATTAAATATTTCTTTAGTAATCACTTCCTATTCAAGGAAAAACGTGATCTACTTAAAAAAAAATATATATATGTTTGTATGTATGTACCAAAACATATTGTTATAAATATAAAACATAAGTGACACATGTAAGCTTCTATATATATAATTTGAAAAATGTTTTGCAAGAAGCTTGCATTTGTAACACTTATTTCTCAGGGTGTCCCATATTTTAATAACATATGCCACTACAATTTTCAAATTAAAAAAATCTGTTCACATTAAAAATAATTTTTTTATTGTTCAAATAAACCTTGCCAGATTCTATATTTATGTTTGTCTTTTCATTTAAATAAATCAACATATTAAATAATTATTTTTTTGTTATCTTTCTGTTATCAATTTACTGAGGTGGTATCCACCTCAGTAAATTCTGTTAGGCATTTGGTAATTTGAATTTTATCTTTTTGGCAGTCATGTTTATAGTTGGCAACCATCCTAGGAAATTCTGTTCAACATTTAATAATTTAAATTTTATTTTTTTGCCACCTATAGTTGCACAAGGGCCTATAATGAATTAAAACTATTCACCTCCATTTCACAGAACATAAATAGTATTTAAAAATATTATGAGACCATTATTAATAAACCTCATGGTTTATAAATATGGCTTAAATACTTTTCCCCATTGAATAATGCTTAATCTAGCAAAAAATAGGTGCTGCTTTGATGAATAAAGGGTTTAACTAGGTCATTTTCCCTAAATCCACCATAATTGTTATATGCAATAAGACCATACAGAAATTATTCATTCTAAAACCAAAACTTGACTTCATGTATTTGAGTAACTCAGTAATATTCCCTTTATACAGCCAGTTAATTAAATGAAATTCCAATTCCTTTTTTGTTGCAAAGTTTTTATATTAATTAGCCTACTTTATATAACAGAGGACAAGATGGCAGAGCACATTGGAGCATAGGTCCCAGAGTGTCCAGTTCTGAACAATGTGATTTCAAGTCTTCCCACTTCAACTCTTTTTTTTTTTTTTTTTGTCCTCTTTCCCTGCCTTTCAGACTATACGAAGTTATTCCTGGGTCAGGAGAAAGGGTGGGGTTTTAACGACTGAGTTAAAAGCTCCCTGGCACAATTATATTAATATGTCACGTGTCAGCCAACTCTACGACTCTGGTAAATATGCAGTGGCAACCTCAAGGTAGCTGTCAGGAATTGTCAAAAAGAACCACAAGTTCCATTCACTGAACTAATTCTCTCCAACAATACCACTGCCTTAAATAATAGAATTTTACAGTGACAGAAGTAGGAAGGTATTTTTTTTATTTTGAAGGAGATCAAATAAATCAAAAATATAGAAGTTTTTTGGAATTTTATTGTTACATTAAAAAATAGACAAGGTTTAAATAGGTAACAAAAAATATAAAGTAAATTTAGAGCAGATTGAATACGTTATAAGTCTTCTTGCATCATCCGCCACTAACAAGAAAAAGGCTATTTAATAATTATATTTTTAATTTGTTCTGTAATAAGCATATTGAATGAATACAAAAGTTAACATACATTGACTAAGATGCATACAATGAAAAAAAAATTATATATGCATACATATAAAACAAAAATATTCACAAATTATTATTTATTTAATCTCTTCCTCTTCTACCATACAGCACTGTGAGGATCTCTTCGATAGAGCTTGATCCAAGAATCTCTATCTTCGGCCATCCGTCTTCTCCTTCCCCATTCCAGTTGGAATTCTGTGGAAGACATCCCGGATTGCGCCTTACCATGTCTTCCTCTTGGTCTCTGCCCTTCCACCTTTGTTTCATACACCACTTTCACCAACCTGTCCTGTTCCATTCTAACATGGCCAAACCATCTATCTCAGCTGGCCTAAATTCCAGGTATGACATTTTCTTATTTCAGAATCGGTCTCTACTTACTTGTTTTTCCATCCATTCTTCTTAAGTACAGCATCTCCATAACTTGAACTTGGCTCTTGTGTTTTGTGGTGATAGTCTAAGATTCACTTGAATAGGTGAGAATAGGTAAGAAAGTATTTTTATAAATTAATTTCTTTGTGCTCTTTGACACTTCTTTTTTCCCTATAAAATCTTTCTTGTGGAAATTGAAACATCTGCTGGCAGCTTTTATCCTTTCATCTTATTCACCATCTATTCAACCATATTCGTTCAGGTGAGCACCAAGATACTTAAAATTTCTTACTTGCTCTTACCTTGTATGGTTCAGTCTGAAGATTGAACAAATTATTAATATTTCTATCAAACAATAAAAATCATAAATATTGTTCTGAATGTAAGGCAAAACTAATAAATAACTATAAACATGAACACATCACACAAGTATCATTGAGATTATTCTTAGATCACAAGAACAGGCTCAGAGGCACTTTAACAATCTAAACATGTTTGTACGTTCAACTCTGCACACATAGCATCTCATAACTGAACAAATCTCATTGGCAGGAGGTAAAACTGTTAAAGATTTCAACAGCAGAGGGGAAATCAACATAGGTTTCACTTGTGCACTTAGCTTTCTGCAACAAAAAAGTTTCAACTTTTAAATGATTAAAATCGCCACCACTGTTTATATGACATGAAAATGAAAAAAATCATTTATAAAAAAAGAAAATTGTAAAATTTATTTAATATTATAAACATTTTACAGTAAATGAAAAACAGAATATCTTTGAATTATAAAAATCATACATGCATCATTGAGATCATTCTTGAACCCATTTGACAAGATCAGAAGCACTTTCAACAATCAACATAACTGAATCCTGTTTGTTAGTTGCACTTCGTAAACATTACACTTTATGGCTGGGTCAATCTTTCCTTTGGTAGATGGTGAGAACCCGAACGAGTTAAGCATTCAGCATGGGCTGCACAGTTACTGTTAGAACCCTATAAAAAAAATGTTTTATCTTTGAGTGACCAAAAATTTTATTTATAATAATAAATATAATATAAAGGTAGGTTTCTTCCTTGTATAGGATATGATTGAGATGCAAAATCCAAGTTTTCGATCTCGGCACCTCCCCTGGATCATTTTTGAATATCCCAAAAACTGCTATATTTTCGGTTTCGTTCATTTTATTCATGAAGAAGCACGCTTTCAACAAAAACTATTCTATATATTTTTAAACTAGATTAAATATGCTACAATTTAAGACAAGAACAAGCTCAGTAAATCAAATAATTTATGAGATACAGGCTTTTAAAGTTTGGAAAATTTTATTTCTCATTTAAATTATTTTTCAGGTTTGATCATATGCAATTGTCTATTATTTTCAATAACCTGCCTGATATGAGTCAGTGAAGTAAATATTTAATTAATTTAATATTTAGAAGGAGGAGTGATAGGGAGGAAAGGTTTGGTGGGAGAGGGTAGTCCATGGGCCAGATTCCCCTCCTGTACACCTTCCACCCACATCATTCTAAACAGCATATCGTTGTGTTCCTTTTAACTATTTATTAAAAAGAAGTCAATGTTTTCACAAAAAAAAAAAAAAAAAAAATGGCCGCACTGTCCCAAATTGGTGTCCAAGCATGGCGATTTTCGGTCACTGAGATTCAGCAGTTGGCTTAATTTTGCCATAATTGGTCTTTTATTAAATCTGGATAGTCAAAAAATAATAAAACAACATAAAATATACCAGTGAAGTCAATTTTTTCAAGTCATGCAAACTAAAGTTGAAAATCAAGCACCATTTGTAATTGAATGGCCAAAAATAACGAAAAACGCCTTGAAATAAAACATTTATCTTTCTAAATCACTGATTAATTATTAACATATTTGAAATGGTTCTTTAGAAAAAGCACTTAATGAGCAGAAAAGCGGCACTGGTGTAGGCACCTACAGTCCTCTGCCACCTCCTTCAGTTTTTATAAATGGCATAGTTATAGTATAGTGTTATTCTCTTCATCTATATATTACATAATTCTTTAATCAAATAATGTTTCCATCAGTTCTATGTTATATTTTCAAAGATTTTGGATTTTCTCAACAGTGATCACAGAATTTCTTCTATATAGGAGTTTTTCTTCTTCCCTTTTATATATTTATATCTTTTTCTATGATTTGTCCCCATGTCTCGAACACTGGTCTCTGAAATTAAATTTCTGAGTCGAGGAGAGTTTTGAAAGGTGTGTTTGAAGGAGAGTTTACTAGGAAGAAGATCGAACGCAATAAATGACTCAGGTCATTCTAGCTCACTTATTTTATCAATTACCTTATAATATTAGATTCACATAAATTGACATAGGGTTTATATCTCTTGTTATTTATAGCCATTCCTATATCCATGTATCCTACTCCTTCAAAATAATAAATAAAATAAATATTTACTTCACTAACTCTTATGAGGGAATTTATTAAAGATATAAACATGAAAATTAGCTAAACACTTTCAAGTTTCAAAAATTTCATTCACTTCATTTACAATGTTTGTATGTTCGTTTAATAACATGTAAATGTTTGTTAAATAACGGTTTATTTCGATATCAGTCTTCCGGTTGTGAAAAGTGATCTCATCCTCTCTCACCAAACCTCCCCTCTCCTTCGAAATTAAAAAATTTAGTTAATGATCTATATAAATAATTATTTGGAATAATTATTATTTAAAATTTTGGCTAAAGCCTTGTAATAATAATTTTTAAAAATAATGTTAAAATGAATAAAAATTTACTTCACTTAATCACTTAAGACAGGTTATTGAAGATATAAACACAATTACATATGAAAAATAGCTTAAAATTTTCAGGTTTGTAAAATTTTCAAAATTTTGAAAACCTGTATCTCAAAAATGATTAAACTTACCGAAACCTGTTTCAGTCTTAGATTGAAGCAAATTCAATCTAGTTTAAAAATGTATTGAATGTTTTTGGTCGAAAAAGTGCTCATTAATAATCAAAATGAGGAAAAGCATAAAAAAGTGTGAAAATATAGTAGATTTTGGGATTTTCATGAGTGATCTGGGGGGAGGGAGAAGCATTGAGGTCAAAATTTGGAGTTTGCATCTCAGTCACATCCCATACAAGAAAAAAAAAAAGAAACATTCTATTCCTATTTGATGCAACACAGACATCCCTTCCTTTTTATGATAAGGTTACTAGGCTATTAAAGCTTACAGCTATCAAATCATTAAGACCATTAAAATAACAAAACACTATTAATTATTAATTTATCAACAAAAAAAAACCTCGTAACTCCATCTATTTTTGTAAATCACATCCCTGAAATAGCTCAAGTCTTTGAGCTATATATGCCTAGAGAGATTTGAAAGTACATCTGTATATTTAACCTATAAATGGATTGTACAACTATTAGTTATTAAACTCTTATTTTCCTTTGTAAAGTTTACTAAAATAGAGATTTTCATTGCCTGCCGTAGATAGGTCAAAAGTGGTCACACTAATTGTAAGTGGATAATATTGGGATTTCACAAAGGGCTAATTCATCAAATTATTCAATAATTTAGTTTTTAAAAGGTTACATGATGATATTTATAGTCGATAGGTACCTAATTATTTAAATATAATATCGGATCTAGAGTTATTAAACTACGTTAAATGTATTTAAGATTATAAACATGTTTTACACATCCTATATAATTATACATTATATTTTACTTCTTCTTTTACACAAGTACAATGAAATATTTTTTTTAACAATGTAATTGCCTTGATTCGGTGGATTTTATATACTTTTTTACACATAAAAATAATTTAAAAATTTAACATATAGTTCGGAAATTTCATTTAATTTCCTTGGAAACATGGGATTTCCCTTAAATAATATTAGTTTTCAGAAATTATTATTTATAATTTTTTTCATCACTCTATTATCTTTTAAAACTTTCTGTATTAAATATTGTTTTTTTCTAAAATATTTCATTTTCCAACGATATAATACTTTATACTTCTTATAATACCTTATATATATACCTTCCGACTATTATTTCTGAAGATTCATTTTCAACCTAAATAAACATCTTTCCTTTTTTCTCCTTTCCACACACACACATAAATATACCGAGTTTAATCAAAATCATTAGAGATATTTTTGAGAAAATTGTAAAAATGATGATATAAAGTGGCACTTCCGATAAGCCGATTTTAAGGAAAAAGTTGCTGTAACATCCCAGTCACATACTTAACTTAAATGTATATTTGCAGTTTTGTACAACTTTTCGTTTTTGAACTAGAATGTTCACACACAGACCATTTTGTGAGACTTGCTTATTTGGACTCAAAAGACCTCAAAATGTGTATTTCCATTGAAAACTCAGATTCAAAAATTTTCACAATCGCAATTCCCCCAACTTTCCCGCACATTCGCAACTTTTCCTTACTATATATACATATATATATATATATATATATATATATATATATATACATGTATATGTATGTGAAAGTAAAAATGCCTTTATTTTCAGCTTCTTAAAAAATAAGAAAGATCTATAGGCACTTCTATAATTTTTATTTTAAATATTATTACCTAAAAATAACAAATACAATTGAATTGGTAATAATATGACAAGCATGACTTGAAGAGTAACTACCCATTGGTAGTACCTCCAATACTTCTATAATTAATTTCAGTTAGAAAAAATTAAAAAAGATTTGAAAACAACTTTTTGTCCATTACACTCCTAATACATTTGACATGACATACTGCACATCTAGAATGAAAGGAGCACAATGCAAAAATGTCATTTTTTGTCAGGAATCTGTATGAAAATTGTATCTTACTACAATAAATTGCTGTTACTACAGTTAGCACATAGCCTAGTTTGTTAATAACATAAACTCAATTTAGTTATAGTTTTACGATCAAATTTAATTTATTTTATAGTGTTCATATACATGTGATAATTTGCTATTCTACTACAAAAAAACAGTAAAGTATAAAATCTGTTAAAGTGTAAAGATCTGTTAAAAATTATCTGAGCCGGACTGACATGATAGAACAGAAGCGAAAATGATAGCTGTAAAAAGAGCGGAATGGAACACACTTGTAGATGCCATATATATATTACATATATGTATTTGCAGTATGCCAATGATCAAGTCATAATAGTATCAGATCCGGGCGATGTGAGCTATATGATGAGGAAGTTGCTAGACCTGTATTCCAGATGGGTGAAACAGAGTGCATGATTTTCAATGCTCCAAAAATTTTCCCCTTGAAATTGATGACTGAACGCTCAATGTCAGCCAACAGTTCAAGTACCTCGGATATTGGCTATCTTCAAAGGGAGGTAGTGAGGTTGACATCGAACATAAAATAAACAATGGGAAAAGAATAATAAGTTCGATAAATTCAACCCTATGGAGTAAAGAAATAAGATTGGAAACTAAAAAGAAGATCTACCATTCATTTGTAGAAATCGTAGCCACCTACGGATCAGAAGTTTGGACAATTACAAAAAAGGCAGAATATAGGTTGCTTTCCATGGAAATGGATTTCTGGAGAAGAAGCTGTAGCATATCTACAATCGAGTGGATCCCAAACGCAGCAATTAGAGACAAGGTCGGATGTCAAAAGAACATCCTTCACCTGACTGAGACCAAAAGGTATGGCCACTTAATGCGAATGGATGAGAACCGCTGGCCAAAGAAAATTTATAATTATATGCTACCTGAAAGAAGGAAGCGTGGAAGGCCAAAGAAGAAATGGATAGAGTACGTGCAGGAAGAGGGCTCCATGAAGGAGATTGGACGGACAGAGAGCAGTGGCTTTTGGGTGTTAGGGATATAACTCCTTAAGTTGTAGAAAAACCCCTCCAAAAAAATAAAATAAAAAATATGTGTATATATATATATATATATATATAAATGTTCAGAAAAAATTAAAACAATAATGAGGAGAATAAAAAGTAAAATTGAATATTATCCATATAATAGAAGTAGTTTATCATGTTGCTGATAAAATTTGTAACCCACATCCAACTCAAATAAAAAAAGAAACTATTATAATGTCTGAAGATTTATATAATTTTAGATTTATTTTAAAAACTACATAAGGATTCCTAGAAACGAAAAATTCGGTACTTTAAAATTGAGTTCAACTAAGAAATTATTGTATTAAGTTTTCAGATGACAAAAACAAAAATCCTGAAAAAAAACCTTTGAAAATTATCAATATTATTGTTTTAATGAAAGTTGAATGAAATATTTTCTTTAATTACTCACTCGTGACTAATTCCAACTCCTATTACTCCTTTTACAAAGTTAGTTATTTTTTCCAAGAAATTCATTGACTCCTTAGACACTAATATTTATCATAAATCATAGATTAGGTCTGTAAGTCCAATAACCATACATCCAAAAAAGATTTGAGAATATTAGAATACCCCTCCCATTAACCAGTTATTATTTGCCAAGTACTGTTAGAAATACATAAATTATATCAAATAATAAATTAGCAATTATAGGAGTAGTTCAAATTGATGTGTACAGATTAGGCCTAAATAGGAGAAAATTATATTGGAGCATTTACAAACATTTGGAACTTACAGAAAAAAACTTTATATACTAACAAAGATATATATTAGTTGATATACAGAAAAACATATTGAACAAACACAAAAGGATTAAAAAAAAAAAAAGATCATACATGTATAGCTGAAATTATTCTTGGACCCCTAGGACAGGTTCAGAGGCACTTTCAACAATCAACATAATTGAACCTTGTTCATTAGTTGCACTTCTTACACATTCCACTTGATGACTCGTCCAATCCTTTCTTTGGCAGAAGGTAGAACAGTATGGAGTTCTACGGCAGAGAGAACATTCGGCATAGGCGTCTCTGTTACAATTAGCACACTACAACAAAAAACAATTTCTTTTTAAATTAAAAACATCATCACTGTTAAAAAAACAAAACAACAGCTATGTTCTTAAATGACAGAAGTATTAAATCACCGATCAGTCCAGAAAGATATATTAGAAAATTAATTATACAGATTTTCTACTCACATAAATTATAAGCACTGTACAATGGATGAAAAAAATTCTTAAAATAGGGCAAATTAAGAGTAGTAGTTACAGTTAAGAAAGTTGATCAATGGGAAAGGTTGTATCCCTGCACAGTTTGCCAGATGAGATTTTTGGTTACATATTTAGAATTGCAACTGCTTGTTCTATTGAATGAAATATTGAAAAATATGGAGTATTTTTGTTTCAATTAAATCTTTAAAATATTTTATTAAAAGGATATATATATTAATTTTTCTGAGTTATCTGTTATTATTTAAAATAATTACCTCATATAAATAAAAAAAAAATGTTTGCCTTTTTCTCTTATATCTTCTGAATGGGAAAATGGAATTTTGTGGTTCAAATTATTTTATTTAGCTTTCCCTCATATATATATCGTAAAAAAGTGACTTTTAAAAGGCAAGCTAAAAAGAAAACGGGTGTGAACATTTTTTTTGCTTTACAAGTTATATCTCAATAATGGAAAAGCCAATCGGCTATCAAATAATAGGTGAAGGATGAGACAAAACATTGAAAGCATTTTCCTCCATCAAAATACTTGTAACTTAACTAAACCGACTAAAAATACGTTTATTATACACTAGAGATCTTGTTTATAATAATTTTTCGGTATTTCTACAAGAGATATTTGGATGCAGACGTAGGAAATCTCTACAGTTTATATCTGGACAAATCACTTTAAATTTTCATTGTTGATGTTAAATGGTAGATAATTGATTAAACCTAAAAACTAAATAAATTTTTCATGCCTATAAATCTATCAAAGTGTATAAGTAGATATGCATATATATTTCATAAGGATAGATAGGATTATTTCTGTAACTTTTTTCTGTCATTTGTAACTTATGTTCAATGATACTGAAATTTATTCCTATTTATAAGTTAACCACTTTGAACGACATTTTTTGTATTAGTGAAGTATGTTTACAACCTTTCTGAACTTAGTTGCTGTAAATGTGTTTTATTTATTTTGATTTCATTCAGCTTCAATTTATTATTCTATATATATATATATATATATATATATATATATATATATATATATATATATATATATATATATATTATATTTTATATGCATAGAATTAATATTCTCTTTTTCTTATTTACTTTTTTTAATTTTAATTATTTATCTTTATTTCCATTTTGTACGAATGAATACTTCTAGTCCTAATACTTAATGCCCCTCAATGTGGCAGATTGTATTAATAGTCAACAAACAAATTAATACTACCAAGCTAAATAGTGAAAAATCTACAAAACTAAAACGTTTTTGTGTAATTTCCTTCATAATACTGTCCTCATGTCCAGGATTGGGGAAGAATAATCCTGGGATATCTCCTGCCTGTCATAAAAGGGGCATAGAGTTGGACCGGCGACCCAACTCATGTAAAAAATATTGCTAAAAAAACCTCAACAAAGCCTTGGAAATGGACTGTCGTATGGTACACGACCCTGCATGGCACAGACTAAACATTTGACGATTGGAATCTGGAATGTATGTGGACTAATGGAGTCATGCACTGGAAGAGTATGGAATGGATGTGGTGACATTACAGGAGATTAGATGGAGAAAGGAGCCTACAATGATGGAATTGAATAAATATATTCTTATCAATAGTGGACATACCAGGAATATAATCTGTACAGGTTTTATGGTCAAAAAACCCCTAAAACATGCATTACTAAGTTATGGAACAATAAATGAAAGGATCTGCTACATTAGGCTGAAAGGAAGATTTTTCAATATGTTTATAATTAGTGTGCACACACCAACAGAAGAAAAAAACGGATGAAGAAATGGAGGAATTCTATGCATAACTAGAAAGGGCATATGATAAAGTTCCCAAATACTATATAAAAATTATCTCAGGAGATTTCTACGTAAAAATTGGAAGAGGGAACAAGGTGAAGTCTGTTGGAAAATATATAATAACTAATGACAATGGTTACAGAATAGTAGATTTTGCAACAAGCAAAAATATGAAAATAATAAGCACCACCTTCCAGCACAAGCCTATACACCAACAAACTTGGACATCTCCAGATGGCAAGACTAAAAATGAAATTTATCATGTCATGGTCGATAGTAACCATCAAAGATGTGAGGAGCTGCAAAGGGGCGGACAAATCTAGTGACTACTTCTTGGTTTAGATGAAATACAGGCCAAAACTAGCTACAAGATCGAAGAGGAAAAATGCAAAGAATACTAAAAAACATAATACTAGAACCTAAAAATACCTGAGATCCAAAAAGAGTAAAAAAAAAGAAAGTTGAGCAATATCTGAGAAGCAGACGCATTAGAAAAAGAAACCGTACAAAATAGATGGGATAGAATCAAGACTGCTGTAACAAAGGCTGTGAAGGATACATTTGGAGAAGAAGAGAACATAAGAAAATACCACTGATTTGATCAGGAAAGCCAAATCTCCATGGATGAAAGAAGAAAGCTTATGTAAAGACGATACAGAAAACTACTTGTGATTCAGTGGAAAACTATAAACAAAAGAGGGAAGCGACCAAGAAACTATGCAGAAGCAAGAAGAGGAGGACAAAACAATGATTGAGGATTTCGAGAGTAAAATTATCAGAAGCTTCTACAATAAAATGAAATCATTGAGGAGTGGATTCCAACCCCAAGTAAGTTGCTGTAAAGACAAGGATGACTCACTACTGGAGAGACAAAAGGAAATAACTAAAAGATGGAGGGAGAAGTTACTTTAGTGAACTATTTAATCCCGATCCGAAAGAAATGCCAATAGTACTGGTACTGGTGGGGGGAACTAGTTTGGAAAGTGGACCTATAATTATCCTATAAAGGACCTATCGTGGTCCTTTTTGCCAACCCCTCACGGCTACCTTGAGGTTGCTGCCACGTACTTACCAGAGTGGGAACGCACGATTCGTTTCCCGGGGCCACCGAGAAATGAAAAGTAACTGACCCAGGTGGGAATCTAACCCACAACGTTCAGAACCAAGCACTCTGGGACCCATGTCCCAACTTGCTCGGCCATCCCGTCCTCCAATGCCAATAGTTAATAAGCACAGTAAATCAGAAACTGATACAGATCTAGATCCCTCAGACCCAGAAGAGATAGAGGAAATTATCATAAACCTGAAAAATAACAAAGCCACCAGAATCGATGGTATTACCGACGAGATGCTTAAATGTTGGGGAGATGCATTGGACCGGAAGATCTACGAACTTATCCTAGAACTATAGGAAAAAGAACAAATGCTCAAAGAATGGTATACAGCCATTATAATACCTATTCATAAAAAGAGTGATAAACTTAACTGCTATAATTACTAAGGAATAACAATACTGAGCACAGTTTACAAGGTACTAGCCGTTCTAAAATAATGGTAATGGCATAAAAAAGTAATTGGTGATTATCAGTTTGGATTCCGACCTAGAAGATCGACGATCGATCATATCTTCACCTTCAGGATCATGTTGGAGAAGTCCTATGAATGGAATGTCAACTTACATCACCTTTTCATAGACGAACATTATAAAAGCCTAAGGATCCTAGACTGTTCCCTAAAACTCATTAGGACGGTAAGAATGACCTTACAGTACAGTAGGGGCATAGGATCCAAGGAGAATTGTCTGCAGACTTCGCCAAACAAAATGGAGTGAAACAAGGAGACCCTTTATCACCAGTGTTATTTAATATGGTACTAAAAATAATTATTATGGCTATGCAAACGAAGACTGGCAGCTGTATTTATGATAAAGAGACAAAGTACCTGGCATTTGCTGACGATGTAGTCATAAAAGGAACACCATGTGCTCTTTCAGAAGCATACAAAGAACGTGAAGAGTCAGCAATTAAAACAGATCTCGAAAAAAACTAAATACACGATATCAGCCAATAATAGCACAACTGGCTGATCCCTAATAATTGAAGGATATAGTTTCGAAAATGTTACAAAATTCAAGTACCTCGGCACAATGGTCATGGAAAATAATGAAATAGAAGAAGAAATAAAAGCTAGAATTCAAAACGGCAATAAATGCTATAGTGAGCTCAGAAAAAATCTTCTAAATCGAAACATATCCTGAGAAATCAAAGTAAAAATACATGACGCCCTCCTCCAACCAGTAGTGATGTATGCTAGTAAGGCGTGGACCCTTAGGAAGCGACAGGAGAGTTTTCTCAACACATGGGAGAGGAAAATTCTGAGGAAAATATATAGCCCAACCAAAGTCGAAAGTGGGTGCTAATAAAAACAAAGAAGGAACTTAGGCACTTATATGAAGACCTAGATTTGGTTTCATGTATCAAGAAGGGGAGGAATAAGATGGTTTGGACATGTGCATTGAATAGATCAGGAAAAACTCTGAAGGAAGATAATAGAGGGATGCCAAGATGGTAAAAGAGAAAGAGGTAGGTCCAGGCTGCGGTGGTTGGAAGATGTTGAGGTTGACCTATGGTTTCTGGTGATGACGGATTGGAGAAGAGCTGCAGAAGATCGCTCCAAGTGGAGGAGAATTATTTAGGAGCGTAAGGCCCTTCATGGACCATAGCGCCAGTGTGAGTGAGTCTTTCAAAAAATTAAAAAAAAAAAATTATTTTAAGTTGAACAAATAAAGATTTAATAGTAAACAATTTTGCTAGATTGGAGTTTACACAAGACTAATTTTAACATTCCAATAATTGGATTAATTTTATTTTCATTTATGATTTAATATAATATATGGGATCCTGGCTTGAAAAAATGAATATTCTTGAACTGTAGAACAAGCACAAAAAAATAATTTAAAGTCCCAAAGTGACGTTTTATGTAACTGAATCTGATAACAGTAATATAACAATGTAAAATTTACTTCATTTTATAATTATGGAACATATTTAAGAAATGGAAATAAAATATTAAAATTTACCTTCTTATTGTCATTATTATCTTCAGAAGGTTCCAATGCAACTGTTGTAATAGGATCAACAACATGAACAGCAGAATCAAACACAGCTCTGAAAAATATGAAGCTCTTTAATATATATATTATTTCATCAATTATTAGATGTTCTAAAACTATCAAGAATATTTGAAGAGGTTGTAGCAATTTGTAAGAATATTTCAAGAGCAACAAAAAGATATATTTAGACCCTGGTCCAATCCACATAAAAAAGAAGGAAATTTAATCGAGTATTATGTTTTAAATAAGCTATGTTTTTTATTGAGTATGAGGCAATAACAAAAAAACTATTTAAGTAAGGCAATTTCAAATCACGCTATAATTAACTAGACAAAATTTTCTTCAAAAACAATTTGTTTCTGTAACTGCCTACACTTTGTCTCGCAAGAGGAAGTCACAGTCAAGGGGCGGACATAGCACAGGGTGAATAGAGCAGGCACTCCAGGGGCCAATTCTTAAGAGGCACTGGGAAGGAGATCAAAATTCCTAACGTTTCAGGAACATGGGATCGTTTTTGATAGCATTGATTGCAATGAGGTGCTCGCGATGAATTCAGACCTTCAAGTTGATAAAAGAGGTATACTATTTAATTTGATGATAGGCAGGAATAACGATCATAGACTGTGCAATGAAGTTATGATAGGCAAGAATAACTCTCATATACTGTCCATATATTAACAATAGAGTTAACTGTTATACCAACGGATCCTCGGATGGAACAAGGATAAGGTCCTGGAGTCTGGAGAAAGGATAAACCTAATGAGGAAATATTCATATCTCTAGGTAGACAAACGTCTTTCAGACCGAGATTTTAACTAACGATTTCTGTGCACAATCACTAGTAGGGGAAGGCATTATGAATAGATTGATTAAAATATATAAGGATAGTCAAGCGGCAATCGGGGCCCTGAATAGCTATGCAACCCACTTTAAGTCGGTAGATAAATATAAAGCCATCTGAAGCTTCTCTGTAATACCAACAAGGAGAGGGTCGAATGGGTGCCTGGGCACTCAGGCATTCCAGGAAATGAGAAAGCCGATTGCCTTCCTAGGAAGCCTCTGCACAAGTGGCAGTTGCACCAGAGCCCTAGAATAAACCTTGGCTGCACCAAAAGGAATACTAAGGCAATTGGTAATAAATTTAGGCTACATCGGAAACAAACTTATTTTAAGTTGTTCCAAGTAAGGCTCTGTCAAAAGAGGAGTAAATCATTTCTTCTAATGGACAGGAGCATCATTAGGTGTGTAAGAGGACTGTTTATTGGTCAGTCGACTCAATAAGAACCTAGAGAGGTTCCAAGTTAGAGAACTTGGACTTCAATGTGACTTACACCTACAGGCTGTGTGGCTTGGAGGATAACAGCCTATCACATTATTTGTAGATGCGATACTTTCATTTTGGATGTGATCATATCACTGACCATAAGCGCTGCGAACTAATAGATCCTATTAGTATCAATAGGTTCGCAAAGGCATCTGACCTGTTTTAATAGAGTTAAGGACGATGTACAATAGGTCTCCATGAGGTCACAGTGCATCCCCACATCAGAAAAAAAAAATCTGGATTGAGGTGAAACCTATTAAAATTAATTTTTTTTTTTTTTTTTTTAATTATGCCTTTAGATGGTATTGAAAATGGACAAAATGGCCCTCTAAGAATATCTAGTTTAACAATTTTATAAAATGATGATTATGGGAAAGAAAATGAAATATATCCAGTAGCTGTTTCAGTTTTAAACAATACAAAGAAGATTTTGAAACAGAGAAATGAGCAATAAGATCAACTATTCTAATACACGGTGGGCCAGACCCCCTTACCGTGCACCCCCCCCCACATCCCTATAAATTGCATATCGTTGTGTTCCTTGTAACAATTTATTAAAAAAAAGCCAATGTTCCCACAAAAAAAAGTGAACGCACTGCCCCAAAATGGCGTCCAAAGATGGCGGATTGACGACTTTGACTTTAGTTAGTTTTTTGGTCACTGAGAATCAGCATTAAGCTTAATTTCCTCATAGTTGGTCTTTTATTAAAGCTGAATAGTTATAGAATAATAAAACATGAAGAAATATTAAAAAATAATTGGCTAAGGCTATGAAAAACATCAGTAAAGTCAATTTTTTTAACAAAAAAATTTTCAAGTTACAAATCAAGCGTCGTTTGTAATTAAACGGCCTACAATAACGCAAAACGTGCTGAAATAAACCATCTGGAGAATATATTTCTCTTTCTGAAACGCTGATTATTTTTTACAAATGTTTGAGTAGTTCCGTAAAAAATGCACTTATGCGGCAGAAAAGCGGTACTGGCGTGGGTGCCTACAGGCCTCTACCACACCATTCAGTGCCCATAAATGGCTTAGATATAGTGATATAATAACATTTTTGGTACATTATATTGGTTTTATTAACGAACAAACATTAATGCAATAATTTAATAGTAAAAAAAAAAATTTAATTAAAAAAAAAATTTATTATTATTTTTTTAAATTTTAACCTCCTTTATTCTATACGTAGGTCGTTTAAGAATACCTCAATTGTAAAAATGGTATAATTATAATAATAAAACTTAATTAAAAAATATTTTGCTAAATATCTTGATTTTTTTTTTATTTAACGTTTGCAATTTAACACAGTGTTTTGAATATTTACTGATTCTTAGAAGTAATTAAAATTTTTATATACTTCCCAGGAAATGAGTCATATTCATACCTTTTTTATAAACTAAAATAATATATACCTAAACTGAACTATATATAATGAATAGCTACCGGGTTGTTTAGTAAAACTCATATATCACTAATTAAAAAATTAATTTTTATTTCCTTTATTTTGTGTAGAAGTTGGACTATATCATAAATAAATAGGAAATTTTAATATTGAATGAATTATTCTCTATGCACAAAGAAAGATATAAAGGGTGACCCTATAAGTTCTTCTATAAACCAAAACTGATTGTTTGGATTTGATCTCAAAATGAGGAAAAACGTGAACTTAAACGAGAAAATTGGAAAAATACATTAAGTGAACGAGAAAGGAAGTGCCAAAACCTCGGAATAGATAAAAAGGACCAGTTATATCCATTATATAGCTAAATGAATGTATAGTAGATAGATGAACAGAATATTTCAAGATGCTGCTAAAACGGGATCAATTGCAGTATGGATGATATTAAGTTGACGATGTAGGTTTATTATGGTGAAAACCACTTTATTTTCGATTGCTGAAGGTGCACATCGGGACTATATTAACTTTGAAGATGAATATAGAGATGTACATTGAGAAAGTTATAGCTCATAGCTTTCCTTCTGTTTAGTGGATTTTTAAAAGATTTTTTAAGGTATCTTATATTAGTTGTAGCTCGTTATTCTTCTCGTTATTCTTGAATTGTTCGGAATTTGTACCATATCATAAAAAATAGGAAATTTTAATATTGAATGTATTATTTTCTCTGCACAAAGAAAGATGGAAAGTGCGAAACCGAACTGCTTTGACAGTTTTGCGCGTACATAGGCAACAAGCATATTAGAAAATAATATGAAAGGACTGTGGTTTTTACCTTTACAAGAAAGGAGGTACTAGGAAATGTAATACCCATCAAGACCCATTCCTGTTTAGTGTACCAAACAAATTATACACAAGAATCGTACAAGCTGGAATAAGAAATATTGTCGATTGCCAAAGTGATATGGATTGAGAAACTCAAGTTGCACATTGGAAGAGAAGTTGAAAATTGGGACTGTCTTCACTTTAAGGAAGGTTATAGAGAAGTCCACATAAAAAGAAAAATAGCTCTCTATCTGCTCAGTGTCTCACACTTTGGATTATGCTAATATCTAACTGTCTTTCAGAAAAACTCGTTTTCCTTTTAGATCCCTTAAAAAATCTTTTGAAAATCCACTAAACAGAAGGAAAGCTATGAGCTATAACTTTCTCGATATACCTCTCTATATCCTGCTTCAAAGTTAATATAGTCCCGATGTGCACCTTCAGCAATCGAAAATAAAGTGGTTTTCACCATAATAAACCTACATCGTCCACTCAATATCATACAAACTGCAATTGATCCCGTTTTAGCAGCATCTTGAAATATTCTGTTCATCTATCTACTATACATTCATTTAGCTATATAATGGATACAGGTCCTTTTTATCTATTCCGAGGTTTTGGCACTTCTTTTCTCGTTCGTTTAATGTATTTTTCCAATTTTCTCGTTTAAGTTCACGTTTTTCCTCATTTTGAGATCAAATCCAAACAATCAGTTTTGGTTTATAGAAGAACTTATAGGGTCACCCTTTATATATTTCTTTGTGCATAGAGAATAATTCATTCAATATTAAAATTTCCTATTTATTTATGAAATAGTCCAACTTCTGCACAAAATAAAGGAAATAAAAATTAATTTTTTAATTAGTGATATATGAGTTTTACTAAACAACCCGGTAGCTATTAATTATATATAGTTCAGATTAGGTATATATTATTTTAGTTTATAAAAAAGGTATGAATATGACTCATTTCCTGGGAAGTATATAAAAATTTTAATTACTTCTAAGAATCAGTAAATATTCAAAACACAGTATTAAATTGCAAACGTTAAATAAAAAAAAAATCAAGATATTTAGCAAAATATTTTTTAATTAAGTTTTATTATTATAATTATACCATTTTTACAATAGAGGTATTCTTAAACGACCTACGTATAGAATAAAGGAGGTTAAAATTTAAAAAAAAAATAATAAATTTTTTTTTTTAATTTAATTTTTTTTTTTTACTATTAAATTATTGCATTAATATTTGTTCGTTAATAAAACCAATATAATGTACCAAAAATGTTATTATATCACTATAACTAAGCCATTTATGGGCACTGAATGGTGTGGTAGAGGCCTGTAGGCACCCACGCCAGTACCGCTTTTCTGCCGCATAAGTGCATTTTTTACGGAACTACTTAAACATTTGTAAAAAATAATTAGCGTTTCAGAAAGAGAAATATATTCTCCAGATGGTTTATTTCAGCACGTTTTGCGTTATTGTAAGCCGTTTAATTACAAACGACGTTTGATTTGTAACTTGAAATTTTTTTTTTTTTTAAATTGACTTTACTGGTGTTTTTCATAGCCTTAGCCAATTATTTTTTAATATTTCTTCATGTTTTATTATTCTATAACTATTCAGCTTTAATAAAAGACCAACTATGAGGAAATTAAGCTTAATGCTGATTCTCAGTGACCAAAAAACTAACTCAAGTCAAAGTCGTCAATCCGCCATCTTTGGACGCCATTTTGGGGCAGTGCGTTCACTTTTTTTTGTGGGAACATTGGCTTTTTTTTAATAAATTGTTACAAGGAACACAACGATATGCAATTTATAGGGATGTGGGGGGGGGGGTGCACGGTAAGGCGGTCTGGCCCACAGACTATAATGGTAATGATAATTTCAGTGAGAGAAATCTATAACATCACATTATTTGGGAGGTCAAAAATTTTAATTTTTCTCTGTACTCAACTTTCAGCTAAAATTATTTCTGATTTTTTTTTAAATAAAAACAAACACATGCTTTCTAGTGAATTACCTCGAACAAGCTACTTGAGCTTCAACTCGAGCAGTAAGGACAGCTTGCTCTTTGTCCCTTTTATGCTCCAAATGCAAGTGGTCCCTCTCCGTCTTCCACTGATCTTTAAGTTCATCCACATCTTTGCGTAACTGGAATGCCATTTTCAACAGTGTACTAGATGTCTTGTCAAGACGAGCTATTAATTCAGATAAGGGTCCAGGAAAAGCTGAATTGGCATCTTCGGTCACATGCTGGTCATCATCGTTACTATTAGGACTTACGTTCGCAGCTATGTTAGTTGCTGCAATTTCTTGAGAGCTATCCAATCCTGTGAATAAATTTAATTTTAAAAATTTGCATAGAGTAAAATAATGCAATGTGTCTCGGCAATACAATATTCCTGTCGGTGGCGATACAGTTATATTACTACGCATTGCATCATAGCACCCACACAGAGCGTGACACAGACAAAGTGTATCATATAGAAGGGACATATCGCATTTTGTTTGTAGGAGCCTTTAAGCTTTAAAATTTCTATTCAAGAAATATCCTTCAGTTTTTCTTATTTTATATTATGTCATCTGTGAGTAAATAATAATAAAATCAAATACTGTACCATTAGAATCACAGCTCTCATCTCCATTAACTCCATTACTCTGGTCTCTTCTAACTTTTCTTAAATTTCCGTCTGCATTTTCTTTTCTTCTTTTCCTTTTATAAGGAGTGAAAAGACGAACAGGCCCCACCTAGAAAAAATGAAGTGTGGTTATAATTGAGACTAATAATCAAAGTAAATTCTTTAAATACATATTTTAAAAAAAAACATTATGGTATAGGAAAGACAACAATGAATAAAAACTAAGCTAGACAAGTGAATAAGACAGTGTTATATAAAATTTAATCGTATTAAAAATAAACAATATGGATTAATTACTAAAAAAATGGCGAACAATATAATTATGAGGATATTAAACATAGTAATATTTTTATGAGAATGATAAATAGTGAAGATTTGGAGTATAGATATGTTTTATTATGCTTACAGACATTTGACTAAAGCGTGTGGGTCATAATCATGGCAATAGTTCTGAGAGATTAAGAAAATTAAGAAAGATTGAAACTTAAGACTGAAAGATTAAGCTTAAGAAAACATGGTTTACAAAGATATATATTCTAAAGAGCTTATCAGATAAATAGCACCCATTAAGAAAGCAACAAGTTTAAGAAACATATTTTCTTCAGTTATAAATAATTTAATAAGTGAAATGCATCCTATGATATATGCAGTATGTACAGCAAAAGGTCTCCTGGACCAAAACACAGCATTGCCCAGCAGAATCCTACAATTTGAAAGCAATCTCAAGATAACTATGAGTCATAGTCGTAAATTGTCATATGATCCTAAAATATTAAAACAATTAGCTCTCAACAAAATAGATGCTCATTACTTCAACTGCGTAAAGATATACATAGATGCCTCCAAATTCTACAACTAAACCGCAATAGATACAGCTAAAGAACACACAATTTTGTTTTCCATACCAGCCAAATTAAGCATTTTCAGTCCTGAACTTTTCAGTCTTAAAAGTCACTGATTATTTTTGACATACATATTCAAATACTGACATAGTTATTTTCACAGACTCGGCCTCCTCTTATAAACTACTAAAACCTGACCATAACAAAAAAATTATATCACATGTAACATTCTAAATAATTAACAACATTATATTAGGCAACAACCACTACGAAGTTCAGTGGATGCCAAGCCACCCAGGATTGTCTGGAAAAGAGGATCCTGGCAGAACTGCAAGGACAATACAAACAATGAAAGAAAACAATAAGGTACCCATGACGGATCTCTTAAGATTTACTTATGAAAGAACCAATAAAATGGAAATGGGAAAATGGGTACAACTGGAAGTCCCAAACAAAAGGGAGAGACCATTATCAGGTACAGCCCCAATTGGGTTTTGTTCCATGATTTTCTCTGAATCTGCAACTCGAGCGACAAAATATAGCACAAATTATAAGACAATGGACTAACCACAGATACTCCATTAAATATCTTAATCTTATGAGAATTGAAAAAGGAGGAAAGTGTGAAGTCTGTATAAAGCCAGAAGAGCCACGGCATATACTTTTTAAATACAGAAAATATGATTTAGCACTGGAGGAAAAGGCAACATTTTAAAAAACCTGTGTAGAGAGAAGTATAGAAGATTGAAATGTTTTTTTTAAAATACACAAACTAGAATTTAGTTTAGGTGGAAATTTGAAGAAAGAAATTTGATAATGTAAACATATTTCTTACAAAATGATTATTGAAAGGAATAGGATTTACAGACATATCATGATGGTCATTTGTAACAATAAATAAAAAATAAAATAAAAATTTGTTACTGTCAAATCTACAAGAACTGCATTTATAGCTAGGTTTGTAGGAACACATGGAAACATTAGGAAGCCTAACAAAACATATCTTGATAGCAAGTCCTGACTACTTATCATCCTTATAACTTTCAAATAACAGTCAACTAACATATTTACCTTTATATCATTAATTTTAATATTACCCATCAAAATAACTTCTATAGTTAATTTTTCTTTGGTGTAAAAACCAAGGGTTGGAACTTTTATGGAACTTTTTAAAAAGTTACACTTTCACAATTTCTGTGAAATGTTTTTGTAGTAAGTTCCAGATTTATAGAAAAAGAATAACTTTTATTTAGTCAATTCCTTAAAAAAGGTTCAGTTAAATGAAAAATAAACAACAGTAATTTGGCTTAAATTAGACTTATAATTTGTCTTGAATGAACTACACATGAATCTAATGTGCCGTTTGTTTGAATAGCTAAGAATAAAAGTAATTTTTTAGATAGACTTTTTAGTGAAATCAACAGAATTTTGAATAGAATTTCTGGAAAATCTATACTTGAAATGTTGTAAGTAAAGAAATTCTAGTTTCAAAACAACTGAAAAACTATCGACAATAGATATTCTCCGATGATATCGAAACTTTTTGAGATAAAAGTTTTTTTTTCGTTCCAAGCCCTGATAAAAACATATTTCTTACCGCACGTTCATCATCACAGCAGGCAGCACATGTACAACTTGTTGCGTGAGGAGTGAGTATACCACCATCAATCAGAGATTGTAAGCTTCTACCACCAAACCTTTAACAACAAAGTTTATTGAATAAAAACAATTATGACACAGTATATGAGATATTTAGCTGGTGTAGCCGTGCGAGCTAAGTTGCTTGCAATAGATAATCAAAATTAAGCAATGCCGAGCATGGTTAGCGCTTGGATGGGTGATCGTCAACAAGGCAAAGCAAAGCCATGCTGCCCGGTACCCCTCCCCCCGGGTATGTGAGGTCCGCCAGGCTACTGGAGGCAACTCACACCAACCGGGCGTAGGACTGATGACCCTACCCCGTGCACTTAAATCGGGAATCTGGATGTGGCCTTTGATCACATCTTGTGGTCAAAGATCTTAATGGTCTGCAATGGCCAAAAAAAAAAATCTAATTGGCTGAAAGTGGCATGAATTTTTCATTTTTATCCTTCAGTGAAGATTAGGAAAAAAAAGAAAACCCAACAAATTTTAGAAATATTCCAATGCGTGATTTCAAAGATAAATTGTAGACTGTGAGGACTTAATCCTATGGTAATTAGTTGGGCAAAGCGGTTTCAGCTTTGAAACTTCCACTGAAGAAATATTTTAAAGTTTTATTTATTTTTATACAATCTGTGAGTAAAAACATTTAATTTAAAATGTGTTTCATTAGGTTTTATAAATAAGTAATATTCACTAAACTGTAAAAATAAAGTAACAGAACTTAAAGAGTATTAGAATAGTTCACAGCAGAGTTCACTCCTCCTATTCCTCCATCTCTACCATAATCCCGATCATATTATCCGATTATTTATTTTCAATAATTAGCTGAATCTTATTTATTATTTCAAATAAGCAATATTAATTTTATGTATCAAATTTCTTTATCAAATTAGTTTTACTTTTACTTCCATTTTTTATAATGTTTTTCCCCTGCAAGTACCCCATCATCAATATAAATTACAACATTAACATACACCCAACTAATAAGTTAATGTTGCTGAAAGGTAATGCAGATGGTGTAAATAATAATAACTGAATAACTTAATTTTCAATAAAGAAAATAAATTCATTCATTAAATTGAATACCTAATGCTCCTCTTCCAATCTTTACTAGATGCTCTTCCACAAAGAGCTTCAAATTCGCTCGGGGTATACCAATTATTTCCAAGCTTGATGCAACGACCTCGACCTCCAGAACCAAATCTTGATTTATGAAGTTCTGCACTTGTATTCTGAGAATTTAAATAATATATTAATATATTTTACTATAATACAAGAAAATCTTCTCAATATTTTTAGATTCATTGTCAAGTACTAATAAAAAAATGTTATAAAACAAAGAAAAAGTTGAAAAATGCCTGATGGCGAATGTTTGTTGAACATAATTCAAATTTGTTTTTTCCAACTCTAAAAATTCAAGCATAATTCAGAGCTTTAAAGGAATTCAAGGATACTGGACACTCTGTAATATACACCAAGGTGTAAGGAGGGATTGTATATAAAATGCAAAAAAATTGTTTGGTTATCTATCTTTTAAAAATTTTATTATTTTCTTTTTAATTCAGTAACTTATCATATTATTTTTTTGTCGTTAGTTTTATAGGAGATATGAAAGTAGAGTTTTGAGGACAGCTGTTCGACAGCATATTGTTTGATTGTGTGTAAAAGTTATTAAAATTTACTATATATTTAAATTGGATATTTTTGTAGCTTTTTGGAATAGCTCGTTTCTTATAAGTGTTTGTGTAAAGCCCCAATCAGTTTTGCTTTTGATAGAGCATACATTTTGAGAGGAACAAACAAGTTGGAAAAGATAAGGAGAAACTAGAAAGGTAAAATGATTGGAATTTAACAGTCAGGCACATTTTGACTGAATGTTACACATATGAAGCACAACGAAATGAAGTTGAATTGGAGAATGATATCACTGAAATTTTGAAAAACAGCACCAAATTGTTTACATTCCTTCAAATAATGCACCTATATAACAAAGTTTAAATTTTGCTAACTCTTTTTGGGAAATTTAAATGTTTTAAATATCCTATATTTTCAATTTATTGTTAAATTTTATCTGATGTAATATAAATACTGTGTAAGGGCTAAAATAACCCATAAGAGGTTCAAGACCCCCCTCCCCCATTGTTATAAATAAATAATGGAAGTTTTATAAGAGTAAATTATAATTAAATTGCCTAGTTTTTTGACCAAGTAGTAAAAAATCTCAAACTTCAGTTTTCCCTACATTAGATATACCTGAGTATACTCAATTATAATGCAATTTGATATTTAAGTGATAAGTATAGGCAAACAGTTTAAGAGAGAATCTTATAGATAGAGCTAAGACCAGGAGATTATGCTCAATGAGGAAATAAGCCTTTCCCTCTACATAACTTAAAACAGCTACAAATGTACCATAATGATTTTTTTTTTTTTTTTACATTCTTTCAATCACGAGCATTAATGTATAGATTGAATGTTACTTGAGTAATGAAGTTCTTTGAGTTGCACTCCTTTGAGTAGTTTGCCTGTGTATTGAACATTGCAATATTTTTATTTTTTATGAAGATGATAACTAGTCAAGATTTGCAGGACAGAATGTTTTATTAGGATTGCTGACATTTTGACTCAAACATTTGTGTCATCATCAGGGCTTAAAAGAAATTTTTAGAATAAGTTCATTTTACTTATAAGATTAAAATAAATTTTCTAGAGAAATAATTAAATTTAATTAACAAATCAATTGTTGAAGGAAAGCAGTAACGATATACTTTTTATATACTAAAAGTTGACATAATACAAAAAATGTTTCACCTTGCATCGAACTGGAAGAACTGGCTGACTTGCTGAAGCCAACCATGATGCATTATTTGGAAGGCCAGAATCATCATTTTCAATCACAATATGCGTCGCCTTTAGAACGTCCTGAAATTGTAGCAATCAATATTACTTAATAAATAATTGATAACATAGTATATTTTATTTTTTGTATGGAGTTAGCTTTCCCCTTGTTCTATATTGAAGATGGTAAATTTTACAAAATATTAGTTAAGAAAAAAATATAAAAAATTGTATAAAAGTCTTGAACGCTACTATTATCACATCACAAGACTACAATCTTACTATTTATATACTATAATATTTTCAAACACTGACAGTTTCTTGATTTATTTATTTTGAACTAGACCAATCTCCAGAACTGATTATTTTCAAGTCAAAATATGAGTATATAATGTTAATAAATTTAAAGAGATATACAGAAATGAAGTACAGTACCTCACTTCGAAACCACTGAGCTGTGCGATGGCCTGAATCCTCTTCTTTGTCAGGATGATTGTCACATATACAACTATTTTCCATGCATAAAATTGGCCTCAAACTTCCTGAACTAGCCATCTAAAAAATTAAATACAATATCACATAAATTTACATTAGGTTAAGGGCACCATTCTTTCATAATTTACATGGCTTAAAGATTCTGTTGTCTTTTAAATATTGTAGAATTTAACTTCTTTTTCAATCAACTTCAAGTAAAGGTTGTTTATTCCATTTATTCTTCTTGCTTCCATGTGCAGTTCACATTCCATTAATATGAGTTTATTGTTAGGTATTGCTGGTAATGGGTAAATTTTGATGGGCATTTTTCCTTGATCAAGTAAAAATGCATATGTTTTAACTACCCGATTCTCAATCTTGTTATCGATACTTCTGTTCTTGTTCCCAATACAAGATTCCATGACTTGGTCACATTTCTAATTTACTTTAATTCGCTAGATGTATAAACCTGAAGCCAATTTTCAATCTGTATAGTTTTATTATATTATAAAGGATATGAAATTCGATCAAGTGACAGAAAGTTGGAATTTGGCTTGGTAGTAATCATCAATTTTTTTAAAAGGAATTGATTGGCTGGTTTAAAAATATATACCAAGTAAGAACAATAAAAATTTCTCAGTTTCCATGGAGAACAAATCATTATCTATATCTCAAGATAGGTGATTCATTGTTTCAGAATAAAATCTGCAGGATGATCTTTTATTAAAATAAAGGATTGGCAAAGAAAATAAATGTGCACATGCTCAACCAAATTTAGTGGATGGGCTTTGGTAAAATCAATGGAATTTGAAACAATTGATATAGGAATTTCAAGTACCACCCAGTACTATACCAGTACCTGAAAATTTCATATGAAGGTAGGTAGGTAGGTGTAATACCTGTCCCGAGAATTTGACTACAGACAACTGGCCTGGGCGGGTTGAAATTCATTTTTGCAGACACACGGAATGAATCTTAACCTTCCCACTCTGATTAAAATAGGTTTGGTTATATCTCTAGATTATTGATTAATTGTATTTTAGAAGGTTAATAACCTGTAAACATACAGAGTAATTATATCTACAGTTTGAGTTTGAATCTCATATTGCTTTTTACTCCCTCTGATAGTATTTACAAAACATTTAGAAATGTATACATAAATTAGAAGATTACAATGTAGATATTTCAATATATGTACATATTTTGCAAGTAATATTGCAGAGTTAGGGAAAAATAAATGTTTTTACTTTGTGCCATATAAGTTCACCCTCAGGTTGCCAACTAACCTTGGTCTAAATTTTATCGTTTTATTTAACTATGTTTTGTAGATATTGTTTGCTGCACTCTACCCACAAATCTTTTACTGAAATAATTAAAATCTGGTGTGCGCATCACACAACTTTCACCACTCTACTTTGAATAAAAATTATTTTCTGGCAATGTTGGGCTACTATAAAATTTTTGAAGTACATTTTTAACGGTACTAAAGCTTAAACTTTGAAGCTAACAATTCATTAAGACCATCAAAATAATACAACCCTATTTGCTATATCAATTGCTGGCAACAAAAACCTCATATATCCATCAGTCTAATTGAAACACATAACTCCAGTCCTGAGATCCATATACAGAGAGATTTGTAAGTACAGATATTTAATTATGAATAAGTAAGAATCGACATGTATGGGTGTGTATAAATATTAAAATATATATAAATATTATCTTTTTTGTATGTTCGATATTGTTTTTTCTATAACTCTCAGCTTTCCAACGATATATTATATGCATTTTTCCTTTATTCTCCTTTAGTAAATTATCAAATTCTTTCATAGTTTATATTGAGTAATTTTTCATTACTAATAATAATTAGACAGTTAATTATTTAAAATAAACCAAATTAAGGGTACTTGACAGGAAGAAATTTTGAAAAATCGGCATTTAAGCCCATTCAGGCTGCATCAATGAGGATAAAACCTAACTTAAATTAAGAATCATTTAAAAATACACTGACTTATTGAGTTTAATCAAAATCTTTACAGCTATTTTCAACTGAGAAAATTGTCAAAATTAGTTAAACCGATAATATAAAGTGGCACTTTCGGTTTGCTGATATATTCATAAATAGACAAAAAAGTTGCTGTAACATCTCAGGCATATCAAAACCTTAAATATTTTACTTTCATATGACTTTTCATTTTTGAGCTCGATTGTTAACAAACATACATACATACACAAACACATAAACCATTTCGCGGAACTGGGTTATTGGTTATTCATGTACTCAGGTGACCACAAAACAAAAGGGATATGAAAATTTTCACGATCACCATACTTTCTCTATCTATATATTTCATATCATCAGTTTATTGCAAAAATCATCAAGTGATATTTCATAATTTTAACTAATCAAGAATTTTTAACAATTTTTCCTATATGAAATCAGAAAATTGTGCACTTGTAACTTTATTTGATGTGTGAAAGGGTATGTTTCTTTTTCATGCCCTTACAGTGATTTTATATAGATAAATAAAGCCGAAATTCACAAAAACATTTTTGAAAGTTAACATATTAAAAAATGTACTGTGACTTTTTGCAATAAACAGGTGATATTTAAGTGAAAGTTAAAATACACAGTATTCCATGAACATTATGATCAGAGTGATCTCAGCACCACTTGCCACTTTTAGAGCTTTGACGAAGAAATAATAAAGAAAAACATCTTTTCTAGGTTTCTCATAACTATTCGAAATTTTAAAGTCCACTTTAATTGAGTTGGTAACAAATAAATTATTACTTATTTGTATGGAATTTATGGATTTTTTTTGTTACTTTTCTTCAATCTTGATCATTTTATTTATTATGTTCCGTATGTATATTATTTAAGTTAGCCAATACGGTTTGAAATTTTCATATGTTTTCTGAATTAATAACTTTTACTATAAGGTACAATTTTGTTGATACTGACCACCATCTCGACTGCTAGTTAAGCACAGCTTTAGTGGAATAGAAAAGGTATTACCATCATTGATACTGCCCACGGCAGCGCAAAATAGGCTTCTTTTTATTCCTCTAAAGCAGGGCTTAACTGCTTAACTATTTAATACTTAAAATTAAGTTCATCCCTATATTCAATAATCAGCTCACAAGAAACCTAAATTTTTTGAAATTTACAAGTATTTTAAGCAGTCTTAAAACATGGTAGATGATGAAAAGAAAAATTTGAGTGCTCAATTGTTTGTTGGTTACAATGATGAACATTCAACCAACAGTCATTTACTAAATCTTAATAAAACCATTAATATTTCAAGAGATAAATTTCTTATACATTATATCAAGAGCTCTTGAAATCAGCCATAAGGAATTAGGTGTTCCAAAGAACTTTAATTCACAAAAAATATCAGATGCCTATAAAATCGAAAATCTTAATTATTAATGGGAAGAAGTAAAGGTCATGAGAGAAAATATTGCATTGGAATCTGAAGATCACTCAGCACTGTACTCTTTCTTACAAATTTGGATATTTACAGCATTCCAATAACAGTGTGATCATATGATCTGTGTCATCCATCCAGACAGGACACATCAACTGGTAAATAAATTAACATTATGGAGAAGCCAAATCTTAAAAATTAAAACTGCTTAATAGCGAATAACTCGTGTCTTCAGTAGAAAAGAAATAACAATAAACATCTTACTTGTAATTGTTCGGGTGTTATAACATTGTAAGTGCCGCCAGCAGAAACATTAATTAAAGATCCAACAGGAACCGAAGACGAAACAGAAACACTTTCCACAGGAGTTACTGACACAGAAGAGTGAGTATCACAGGATTCTGAAGTTTGGTTTTCGTCGCTTTCTGTTTTGGTCCCTGAATGACCCGTCATCTCCGAAATTGGGACTTCTTTCGAACTTGGATCTTCCATCTTCTGTACAATACGGGAAATCAGGGGAGTTTAAAATCCAACGTCTAAAGATATCTAAATTAAACGTCCAAAAATCCTTAACTTTGTACTTTCACCCTTACATGGTAGGGTGTAATGGCGGAGTCAGTAGCCAGGCCAATCATATTTCCCCCTAAACTAATTTGAATTTTCACCCAGATCCGTTGACTTGAATCTTTAATATTAGAAATGTTTAACTCTTATTTTTCTCTTATTGTAACCAAAATCATCTCAATAGAAGTAGAGGGGGTTAAATAATAATAGAAATTTAATTAATTTTATTTAACATTTTATTAATATTATTTATTTATTTATTTAATGAAATTTACAACTGTGTAAACAGTACAACTAGTAAAAATGCACACATTAGAAATAATGACATGAACAGACTTGAAGGGATACTGCCCAATGGTAGCACTCCCTATTTAATTCGAGGTGAGAAGATCACGAGGCCAGCTTCTTTTCAGACGTCTAAGGGGATTATCAAGAATCGAGCAACGGTGAAAATAAGTGGATTAATATTAATTTAATGCAGGATATTAAACATAACTTAAATTTGTCATACTAGTTAAAAGATCAGGTCAAATTAATAATTGCAATCAAACTTGAAACCGATAAATATAAACATTTAAGTACGGAAAGGTATTATATCAAAGTACCTATTGTTACTCAAAGATAAAAATAAAGGAATTCAAATTATTAGTAAAAATTTAAAAGGTCAACGAACGCTGATTTTACTAAATTTGTGATGAACTGAGGCAAATTACTATAAATGGCTCTGCAGCTTGAAAATGAGTTTTTCCTAACAGAGAAACTCATGGAACAAAAGTTGTAGAGCATCAAATTTTGTGTCCACGGAGTACAAACAGTTTTAATGCAGTGTACGAAAACCAGTGCTGTGGGGAGGGCTTTTAACACTGGCATTGATCCCTCACCCCCTCCTCTGGTCTGGGAAAAACTCTGTATAGTCTAAAATGCGAAAAAGAGGAGGGGGAAAAATACATACACAGAAATGGCATTTTGGACATCATTCAAATTTGCAAATATTTTGCTACTTAGAAAGTGTTAAAACGATAAAACAAATGGAAATCCGATGGTAATACATCCGGCAAGTATGGTGGTAGAGGCAGTAACTGCTACCCCAATTCAATAGTTTTTTCCAGGGTTCATCTTACTCTCATGGCGTAAGTTGAAAAATAGGATTTTAAGTATTGGCACGTGGGACGTAACGAGTTTGAATTCAGAAGGTGGGTTAAAATCGGTTGCGAATGAGGTTAATGGATACAATTTGGATGTTGTGACTCTGCAAGAGGTTCGCTGGCCAGGGGAGGGCTCGATGAGGGAACGAAAATACACTATTTGGTACGGAGGAAGCGGAAATCATTGTTTAGGTACCGGGTTTCTAATTAGGAATAGATTGTTATCCGCATTGAGAGACGTACAGTTGTTTAATGATAAAATTTCCGTAGCTATATTTCAGAGACGTTGGTTTGAAACCGCATTAATAAACATACATTGTCCGACCGAAGACAATGAAGATGATGTCAAATGCGAATTTTACGATAAACTCGAATGGGTTTATGATAAACTACCGCGAAACTCCATGAAAATAATTGTAGGTGGCGCAAACGCAAAGGTGGGAAGGGAAGAAGTTTATGTTCCGACGATTGGTAAAGTAAGTTTGCACGAATAGAGTAATGATAATGGGAACCGAATGGTAAACTTTGCCATCTCAGAAAATTTTATAATTAAAAGTACTACATTGGCTTTTTTCGTGTGTTACATTTTGGCTTTAAGACTTGTAAAGGCAAGTCCTATTTTGCTAATAAAATATTTTAATTTTCATTGTAAGATGAAATTATACTGGATATTTATTGAATATTTCTAGATAGGTGATTACTCAATGTAACTAAATATTGAATGTAACTTATATAGAACTTAAACTAGGAAGACTAATGTTAAAACTGAGGAGGCAGTAGTTTCATGACAATTAAATGAGAATAAGAAGTGATTTTTATTATATAATTGCTTTTATGTCATTCAAAAACTTTATCAAGTCACCGGCGTTATCTTTATTCATCGACCGAAGAAAGTTAGCTCCATAATCCGTAGTTTGCGATCTTATTCTTCGCTTCTCGGATATTTTGCACTTGAAGGCAATGTGTCTTGGATCCTCCAAGCATTGGCATGTTGGACAGTGACCACTCTTAGCTATACCCATTAGATGTAAATATTTATTAGTTCCATATAGCTGTCCTCGGAAGTAATCAAGAGGATATTGAGAGACTCGCCCGGACTCTATTAAAAGAAGCAGAGCAAATCGAACTACAGATCAATGTAGATAAAACAAAATACATGATAGTTAGCCGAAACATCCACTCTAATAATATGATCTGCGTGGAACCTAAGTTATTTCCGAAAGTAGACAGATTCAAATACCTCGGCTCCACAATAACCTCAATAAATGATCAACTAACAAAGATAGACCAGCTAATAACAAGTGCGAACAGATCTTTCTTCTCTCTTTCAAGCGTCTGAAATCCAGAAAAATCTCCAGAAATCTAAAAGTAAGGATGTACAATGACGTGAAGCCAGTTCTGCTGTACGGTTGTGAAACCAAGACTGAGCTCTAATCGGCACACTAGAAGCCAGAATTGAGAGATTCGAAAGAAAAGTTCTACGTAGGATAACAGGACCTATACGGAACCAGAACCTTGACACATGGAGGAGAAGGAAATATAAATAACTGCTGAAAGAAACGGTCAGTCAATATCTCATGACATGAAGACAAGGAGGTTAAGATGGGCAGAGCATGTAGCTCGTAGCAATCCATCAGAACGCCTTTACACGACAATGAATGCTAGAACAGTAGGCAAGAGACCACGTGGAAGGCCAAAAACCAGATGGATAGATAGGATAAACAAAGATACGGCTGAGCTTCATGCCGCAAACTGGAAAGCAGTAGCCCAAGATAGGCAGAGGTGGAGAAGGCTGGTTCAGGCGGCCAAAGATCTACAAGGTCTGTAGAGCCAACCAACAAAAAAACCATGGAACCAGTGCTATCTTCTGTTGAACTGCATGGTGGTCCTTACCCTTCGAGGCACATTCCCAGTTGTAGAAATGTTGTCAATCTTTTATTATTTTCCCCCTCACTACTCTTATCAAATCCAGGAAAGGAACCTTAGCATTTATTGGATGTAGTTGGTTTTGATTTACCGTTTTGTCTGCCATTTCATCTCCTATTATTCCTACGTGCACCGGCACCCACTGGAAAAAGTAATTGTTGCTGCCGTTGTATATTAGTGATATGATTTTAAAGAAAATTGTGTCAGTGCTTTATTTTGATAGGTTAATTTTAGGTGTTTACATGCAGTCGCTGAGTCTGTCAGAATAACTATTTTTTGGTTTATGTATGGGTTTTCGCTGTATATTATGGCGTTAAGAATGGCATATAGTTCGGGGCTGAAAATACTAAAATCAACTGGTATTGATAATGAAAATTTCTAGTTCTTTTGGAGATCATATACAGCTCGTGGGGATCATACACGTCTGAAATTAGGGATGAAAATAACAATATCCTTATCGATTCGGTTGACATATTAAATAAGTTTAAGAATCACTTTGAGTATATTTTAAATACGGTAAATTATGATCAGTGTCCTCCTTCTGAGTGCCAGGGTTCTGAACCGTTTATAGAAGAACCTAGGAAAGAGAAAGTTGAAGTAGCTACCGGAAAATTAAAATCTTATAAAGCAGCAGGAACCGATAATATTCCTACTGAACTAATTAATTCATGCGGAGAAGCTGCAGTTTCTAAAATACATTGGTTGGTTAAAAAGATCTGGGAGAATGAGAAATAACTTGAAGAATAGAAAGAATCTATTCTTAATCCGATTCACAAAAAGGGCCCATGGACGGATTGTAACTATCGAGGAATTTCACTCCTTTCGGTATGTTATAAAATATTCACTTTAATCTTAACTAGTCGAATCACGGAATATGCCGAGGAAATTACCGAAGATTAACAATGCCAATTTAGACGGAATCGTTAGAATATTGATCAAATATTTTCTTTACGGCAAATATTAGAGAAAAAATGGAGTACAACGGAGTTATTCACCAGCTGTATATCAATTTCAAAAAGGCTTACAATTCTATTCACTACTAGAAACTGTATAATAAAGGGTTGGATATGGGTGGGACAACACCCGTGCTGGGTGGGCTATGCGGATGATCTGGTACTGTTAAGCAAAGATGTGGAATCTATAAAACTAAATACGGCAACCTTAATGAAAGCCGTTTAATAATTATGGCTCGAAAGAAACACGGATAAGACAAAATATGTGGTTAGCTGCAAAAATGGCGATATTACTGGTGATATCGATATAGATGGTAATAGGTTTGGACAGGTAGAGAAGTTTAGATATGTAGGGTCTACGATAACTATTAAAAAACGAAATTGAAGAAGAGATTAAGGTTAGACTGAAGGCAGGAAATGCTTTTTATTTTTCGGTGACACAACTACTTAGCTCGCGCCTCTTGTCCCGGAACTTAAAACTTATAATTATAAAACCATTATCTTACCTGCAGTTCTTTACGGATGCGAAACGTGGCCGCTTACATTAAGGGATGAGAAACTTCTAAAGGTTTTTGAAAATAAATTATTGCGTAGAATATTCGGACTGAAGAAGGATAAGTTAACCGGAGATTTCAGACGGTTACACAACGCCGAATTGTTTGAATTGTATCCGGGTAATATAATTGAGGTGATTTCATCGCGACGAATCAAACGGGCTTGTAATATTGTTGGGTTTAGTAACGAAAGAATTCCTAAAAGGTTAATATTTGCTGCTCCGAATGGTAAACGTCCGAGGGGTAGACCGAAGCGAAGGTGGGAAGAATGAATTAAAGCCGATCTGAAGGGACTGGGTTTGGACGGCGAACGGTGGAAGGAGGTGTATAATAAGCGATTGGTGGTGTTGGCATCGAACCTTCGGGTTCGTTAAGCCTTTTATTATTTATCGTCTTACGCAGTGCGATCTTGCATTTTCGTATTGCAGAATAACGCCTTTTCTGTCCACAATCGCGGGCCACTTAAAGATTGATGTACAC